TTTCACCTAAGTCCATCCTTAACTAGGTATTATGAAGTTCTAGTTTTTACAAAGTTCGCTGATCTATTTATGTATCTTGTTCAATCATAACACGAAAAATTGAATCAAAAATTCTAATATGGCTACCTTTATCTGATTTTTAACTTTATATTGTGTTTTTAAGCGTTGAATATCATTGTTTTGTCTCATTTGACGCTAAAAGTAAAGGAGGCTTTTGGCGCTTGACGATGAAGGCTATTCCTATCGTTTAATAATCTTTTATTATGTTTTTAATTTATTATGTAGATATAGGAAGATGTGGTATGAGTGCCAATGAGACAACTCTCCATCCAAGTTACAATTTATAAAAGTAAACCATTATAGGTCAAGGTACGGCCTTCATCACGGAGCATTGGCTCACACCAAACAGCAAGCTATAAAGGGCCCCAAAAATTACTAGTGTAAAACCATTCAAACGGAAAAACCAACGGGCTAATCTATATAAAAACGAGAAACGAGAAACACGCATGATCTACATAAACAGACGACAACTACTGTAACCAGATTCCTTACTTAGGACAGGTGCAAACATTTGCAGCGGGATTAAACGTTTTAATGGTACCAAACCTTCTCCCTCTTCTGAAACAATAGTATAACATCACAACATAGAAAAACACACTATAAAATATCAATTGGAAGGCTTAACCTAATAAAAAAACGTAAATTAACACACAATGAACGAATAAATTTGACCTGTGACACCTGAATGCAAATACACAGTTTATAAAAAATTACAAGGGATAAATAATTAAAGTCAAAAGTAAATAAACAGGTTTATACAAAGTTAAAGTATGATATCACTGTGAAATGTCAAACAATTTTTAGAAAATCATCACTTTTGAAGAAACCTGCGTCATATCATACACAGGTGAATGAAAATAATTTTGTTGTTAAGTATACTTCTTCTTCTGTGTGTATAAATTCTTCCGTTTAGGAATACCAAGAAATTTCTTTAATATCAATAAAACTAATCTAACACTTGGTACATATGGGGTGAATATCAACAATAAAACTATACAACTAGTGCTAGTTAAAACTTCCTGTACAGGTCCAAGAACAGCATCTAAGGAAAAATGAAATAATTTGGATGTTCATAGTACGAAATATTGAAAATTTGTAGTAATACCAAATAATCACAGTTGGTATATAGACAAGATCCATGTTAACATTAAATAACAAAAAAGCATTACAAATAGTATCAACAGGTCAAATTAAAAAGAAAGTACGATTTGAAAGTACTCGCAGTAACTGACAGCTAGTTAAAAGCCAAAACAATTAATAATAAAAAATCATGCATCAGAGACTAAAATCAACTAAAATACATCCCAGGGATTTAGTATTTTAACGTCATGGACAGTCAAAGAAGACATGACTTGTGCAATGCCAAAAATAAATGTATCGTCAGGTAGTAGGATAGTTAGGAGTGACTTCTTTATAGATAAAAATGAACGTGTGTGTATGTCTCTATACATCCCGTTTGAAAAGCAAATACAAATTAAGTCATGTTTTAATTTGCTAATGACAAAATCGATATTAGTGCCAATGTAAACTATATTCAGAGATTTAATTACAACATTGGTACGATAACCCTTACTAATAAGTTTGTTTAAATGTTCGATGAATTTACACGGATCACATAATGATTTCCGCGCTTTAAGTACAATATTACCATAAAATTTAGGATGTGAAATACCATTTTTAATAAGTTTTCTACAGGTACAGCCAAATTTACTAATCAAATCTTTGTATCTATGAAAATTTTTTGTAAATATTTTAAGTAATTTATGGTAACGAAATCCCTGACTTAATAATTTACCAGTCATCAGGGATGGGGTAATCGTAATCTGTAATCGTAATCGATTGTAATTGATTACATTTTTTCAAGTAATCGACAGTAACCTGTAATCGACAACATTTTCGATTACATGTAATCGTAATTTAATCGATTACAGCAAAAATTATCAATTACTTTTCGATTACATTTCGATTACTTTAGTAAAATAGTTTGAAGAAATATAACCTTGTTTAAATGAAAATAGACAACTGCATGTATTCATCAGTTTATAGTACTTACAGAAAAAATAGAATGTATTAATATAACTTGAGAGTTTATCAGATACCTTATTCAGATCTGTTGTCTCAAGTTGCGTTATGATTAACTAGATCTCTTAACAAATTTTACTATATTCCAGCATTTGAAACAATTGACTTTTAATGCTCATCAATAATTTAAGACCTTTTATATTTAAAATAAGAAAATAGTCCTAAGTTAAGTTCTGTACTACATTAAAGTAGTAAGCTTATTTGTAATAAAATTCCTTAAAGTATAATTTTCAAAAAGGGTTAGAACTTTAGCTTAGAACAGATAAACTGTTGATTCGTAATAATGTTATAATATAAAAATTAAGAAAGTATACAAAATCGTATTGGCAATTCTTGTTCGATAATAGATACTTGTATCCCATTTTGACACTAAAAATATATATTGTGTATGATTTTGATGAAAGAATACAATATAAAGAAGCGAATGATGCAATAGTAGATGTCATTTCAAGAATGTTCTCATATTTATCATCACTCACTTAAGAATTTTTAAATAGTTCGGATCCTCAGTAAGAGCTTCTATCTAGAAAACAACTGTCAACATTATATTTGGAAACTGGTTTAAAAGCTGTTTTTGTAAAGTTCTAAATTTTACACTATAAATATGTTGAGCAACATACCGGTAATTGTGTTTAACTTTCTATACTATTTTTGTATATTATTTTGAAGCATGTAATTGACAGTAATCGAAAAGTAATGTAATTACTTTTGACAAAGTAATCGATTGCAATCGATTACATACAAAAATCTGAGTAATCGATTATTAATCCATTACACTAAAATCCTTCAAGTAATCGATTATTAATCGATTACATTTGTCAGTAATCATGCCCATCCCTGCCAGTGATGCATTGATTACGTTCGTTAAAATCTATGACATCACTACACATACGGGCATACCGAACGAGTTGGGATATATAAACACCGTATGATGGAGCCAAAGGCACATCGCCGTCTAAAATAGGAAAATTAACAATAGGGAATGAAAAATCGTCTCTTTTGTCGTAAATTTTAGTATGGAGTTTCCCTTTAGAAATTGAAATGTCTAAATCTAGAAAAGGACAACTGCTGCTGTTTATGTTAGATTTAGTTAAAGTAAGTTCTTTTGGGTAAATTTCGGTAGTATATTTAGAGAACTCTGGAATATTTAACGAAAAAATATCATCCAGATAACGGTAGGTATTGTTGAATGTATCAACCAAATGTAACAATGATGTGTCTTTACTGAGTTTGGTCATAAACTGAGATTTATAGCAATACAAGAATAAATCTGCTATTGAAGGGGCGCAGTTAGTGCCCATATAAATACCTACTACCTGACGATACACTTTATCGCCGAAACGTACATGCATGTTATTTAGGAGAAAATTTAAAGCTTCAATCATATCTTCACATTTCCAGTAAGTGTATCTAGCATACTTTCCTTTTTCGTCAGAGGAAAAGGCTTTAAACGAGTTACAGCAAATAAATTCACAATGAGATTTTTCGAAAGACCATTTTATTAAATATGAAAATTTTGTCTTTATTAGATTGTGTGGAAGTGTAGTGTAGAGAGTAGAAAAATCACAACTGTCAACAGAATTAAAAGTACCATCAAAAGCATGTATTTTATCTAAAACCTCTAAAGAATTTTTAACACCCCACAAATAATTAATACCATTATTTTCATAAGCTTTATTACAAAAGTTAATAACCAGTTCTTTGATAGTAGTAAGGGAGGTAGTAAGAAGCACTGATAGATTAGTAGTAGAACACTTACTAGATGCGGAGATGAAACGGAATTTAAATGGTTTTTTGTGTAATTTCGGTAACCAGTACATGGTAGGGACTTTCAAATGTTCTGAAGAGGCTTTAAGCTGGGTAGTGGCGGTGATATTGTTGTTAACGATTTGACTCTCAGTGGTGCGTACGGACCTGAATGTAGAGGAATTGATAATTTCGTTTTGAAGAACTTCCGTGTAGTATATGCGTCATACCACCACTACATTATTGGCTGTCTTGTCTGCCGGTACGAACACAAACCGCTCTGCGAGTACTTGGAGTTTATTTTTTATTCTAGAAATAGGAATATCATGGACCCTATTATTAATTTCAGAATTGTTTTCAAAATGAGATATTCGAATATTAACAGTATTCATAATTTTATTCAAATAACTGTCTAGAGATTTTTTATCAGATTTGTCACGTTTGCACCAATTTTTACAGTAGGCAGACAGAGCGTCTTTAATGAGCTGACGACACTGTTTCCAATCTATTAAAGATGGAGTACGGTATTTCGGTCCTTTCTTTAGAAAAGTTTTGACCTCACGGTTTATTATCATGTTTTATTTTATTATGTACATGTATGTACAAGATTAATCATGTTTTATTTTATTATATACTGCAGCTGTGCTATTTGCGCAGTCAAATTGCATTGACCGTATAATCATTTATGATATAGTCACTGACCGTATATCGCATTGCTTATGACGTTAACAATGCGTTTCCGTAGAGTTTATTTATGCCGTCATTAAAAGTTCAATTTCGCAGAATTTTACGTCGTTCGCTCCAAATTAAAAAAAATGATGATTTTTACCCTAAATATTTCATTTGGAACAGTTATAGGAGTTGCAGTATATAAAGAATAACCATACATTGTCTCGAAATATAAATTGTATTTGTACTCGGCTCAAAACAGGATAGAAATGCTCGGCAAAGCCTCGCTTTCTACCTGTTTCTAAGCCTTGTACAAATAAAATTTATATTTCGAGACAATGTATGGTTATTCTATATATGTACATGTATGTACAAGATTTATCATGTTTTATTTTATTATGTACATGTATGTACAAGATTTATCATGTTTTATTTATTTTCAGAGACAAAGGAACAGACATCTGATCTCACCAGTTTGCACAACAAATCTTCAGAAACCATAGCAACAACTGATGATTCTCAGGAAACCATCCATATACTATATCATCAATATGCTTATACAAAAACAATAATTATTCATATACAGTTGTGATGGATATGTTAGTTTCGAACATTAAAATTTCAAATGCCATAAAATTACTTGGCCCGGTGAATTTACAGCTTGGACGAATGTTATTACGAATAAGAGAAACAAGTACCTGTGTAATATCAATTGAACAATGCACTGCAATTACAAAAATAGAAAAAAATAAAAAAATAATATAGCAAATGAATATCACTATACCAAAACCCGTATTAATCATGCCTCACCTATTGGCATAACTCCGACGCTACCTTATATAAAAAAATCAGATAGCAATAAGAACCAATAGTCCTGTAAAGACACAAACAAAAGAGACAAAATGACTGAAAGACAAGAAAAGACCGCAAAACACTTCACAGAATAGGCCAAAAAATAGCGGTATGAACCACAATAGTGCGGGGATTACTTGAGGTGCTCCGGAAGGGTGAGCAGTTTATGCTCCTGGAACGACACCATGTCACCGATTAAACCATAAACTGTATACTTGCATATGAAAGGTTTATTTTATCTTTTTAAGCATTTGAGCCGAAAACGAAAAACCATCTTGATATTTATCAATAGTGTTTTCAACTTTTTCTGCACGCTTTTCTGTAGAAACCTATTTCATTGGCCTTTGAAGATTCATTTTCTCAATAAGTTACTGGAAGATGAAAATGGTAATATTGCAGAGAACTTATGTTTGCACCTGGTTACGACTAGCAGACAAAAATCTGGTGTCCAATCTATTTGTTTTGCTGTAGAACACAAGCGCCAGAATTTGAACCTTATTTAAAACGAAAAAATCGATAGATGCTTTAATCGTAAGAACAATTATTGCCAATTTATCTTTATAATTGTATTTCATTTCTTGGGAAAAGAAGTATACGCATTGTATTCATTTTATCTTAACTATTAAGCACACTTATTTGCTTTGACAGGATTATAGAGTTTTTCATTTTGTTCAGAATGTAAAATGAAATTTATTATAAACAATATGTGTCGGTACGATTTTCATTTAAACATGGTATAACTTGCTCCGAGGACAATTGCAGTAGTTGTCCTCGATATAATATATCCTGCAGTTTTCATCCTTCAATTTTCCTCGATACAAACTATTCTGAATTCATCACCCTGAAATCGTCTTCGAAAAGCTGCTACCCTGCAAATATAATCCTACCATTGTCCTCGATACAAACTGTCATTGTACTCGAAACAAGCTATTCAGCAATTTTCATTCTGCAATTCCTATCGTAAAACTCCTTCACTAACACGTTTCACTTTTTGAAAAGAAGCTTTTTTTATTTCTCTCTTTAAAAATGTTCACTGGTATGGCCACCATTTGAATTTCATTAAAAACTTATAACTTATAAAAACATTTGGTTAAACACTTATTCACGTAGTAATTACTCATATGCACGACTTTTTACCAAATATCTATAATAGGAAAAAAAACAAAATAACGACGATTCCATCAAAAATTATAATATTAACTGGATACTGCAATTCGTATTATCAGCAAACATTTGTTATTACAAGTAAGGCTTATAAACCAAGAGTTCCACGAGGTTAAGTTGAAGTCACCCCTTCGAATATCTGAAGGACGCCATAACGAGTTGGTTAACTATTATGGAATGTCTGTTTAACAGATTACGACAAATATGTTCCAACTGTCGCAACCATAATTCCGTCCTCTTAATTAGACTTATCACAGAATTTACAGTCACACGAGCAACACGACGGGTGACACATGTGGAAGGAATCTGCCCTTCCGGAGCATTTAAGATCATCAATGGTTTGTGGTTGGGACTGTGTTGCCCGGTATGTTTTTAGACTGATTGTTTGTTGTTCCGCGCGTTTCGTCCGTTCCGGTTTTTGCCATGGCGTTGTCAGTTTTTCTTCGACTTATAAATTTGAATATCCATTTGGTATCTTCCGCATCTCTTTTTAACATACATTTGCGGTTTTGGAAGTAATATTTTTGCGTTTTAAACGTAGTATTTTGATGATGTTTCTATTTCATGCAAACATTTAATAACTTCTACTGAAAGCTTCATAACGTCCATTTTAGAGAGAGGCCGAAGATATCAAAGGGATAGTCAAACTCATAAATTGAAAATGACAACACCATGGCAAACACGACCAAAAGACAAAAACAGTCTACAGAACGAAACACAGAAAAACTAAGAACTGAGCAACACGTACCCTTTCAAAAAGCGGTGGTCTTCTCAGATGCTCCGGAAGGGAAAGCAGATCCTGCTCCACATGTTTCACTCGTTGTGTTGATCATGCAAGTTCAAACCCGGTTATAAGTCTATTTCTGTAGGAAAATAGGACGGGATTGTGGTACCGACAATTAGAACATATCCGTGGTCATCTGTGAACAAAATATTCCATAACAGTCATTTAACACGTGATGGCGTCCGTAACATTTCAAAGAAATCTTTCTAACGTTACCACTTGAAACTCTTGGTTTAACAGCTTCATGCTAATCAGCAACCCACTATTACATTTTCGACCTTGAAAATTTTATTTCGATCTTAAATTTACACCGACAACATAATTTCTATTTAAATAACTCACATTTGCAACTTTGAAATCTAATTAACGACCTTGCAACATTAACCTCAGTTCAAAAACTTGCAACTTTGAAATTCCGATTTTTGGTCTAAAACTCATGTTAAGGACGTCTGTGTCATTATTTTATATATAAAAGAGACTAAAATACCTACTGAATCATACAAACTCCAAGTGTGTACTTTCTTTTACCCAAAAAAGTAAAATAACAAAAATACCGAACTCCAAGGAAAATTCAAATTGAAAAGTCCCTTATAAAATGTCAAAAACAAAAGCTCAAACACATCAAACGAATGGAAACCAACTGTCATATTCCGGACTTAGTACAGGCATTTCCTTATGTAGAAAATGGTGGATCAAACCTGGTTTTATAGCTAGCTTAACCACTTGTATGACAGTCGAATAAAATTCCATTAAGTTGAAAACAATGTCTGAACAATACAAACAGACATAATATGTAAAAAGTCAAAAATAGGAGTTCAGCAGTCAACATTGTGTTATAATCTTAATCACTATAAAAAACAAACAAATATGTCAACAAAGAAAAACAAAATGGCATATAGACATAGCACATAAGCAAAAATGAAATACAAGAATACAAAAAATGACCACAGCACTACAACACATTGGCGGGATGCATAAGTACCGAGCCACGCCATTACCAAAAAAGGACTAAACAGTAAAAGTAATTGGTAAAGGTAAATGATTTACAAAGACAAATAAAAGAACACTTTACCACGTAATTAAAATGATAAACAACGTCAGTACTTAGAATCTATACTTCAAGACCATCATGTATTATTTTTGAAAATGATACGGAATATTTATCAACAAGGTCTTGGTATCTTCCGATGAACTTTTGTAGAAAAGGACTAACGTTCTTTGGCATAACCTTCCTGAAGGATTATACGCAGTTTTCCATTTCATTTGTAATGAGATATCCAGAAAAATGGCATCCGAAACGCAGAAAATGTAATACTTAATAGCGGAGAGGTACCTAATTTTGCCTATCATATTTCAAAATTCTAAAATCCTATGATTAGATTTCGCTCCATATCTGATAGATAACACTGCATTTTGATTGTATAAGGTTTGTTGCAAACACATTTATCAGGACCGAAAAATGGCGTTCAAAGCAGGGAACAGCAACATACTGCATATACGAGTACCCCTTTTCGATCCTCATATCTTACAGTTCTGATACGTTAGGATTATTGGTTGTATTTTAATCATTGCTATTAGACAACCATCATGTTAATAGCACATAATTTCTGGCGGAAACATCGCTAAGGTCCATAAAAGAGCGCCGAAGACTGAAAATTACATTCTTTGAAGGGGATTCCCACCTTCTATCCTGCATCCTAGATAGTTATGAAATCCTGGATATCTGTTTCAATCCATACTACATTTTGATGGTATTGTGTTTCTTGCGTTTGCATTCCTTAGGACCGAAAACTTCCTTTAGGATCGACAAATAAAGTATGAAAAGGGGAACATTACTGGATAGTAAGACCCATTTAATCCCCCATATCTAACAGTTCTGAAACCAACGGTACAATTGATTGTGATTCAACCAATGCTACCAGAAAACACTACATATTAATAATATCGGACGTCTGGCAAAAACAATATTTCACAACATTCATATTCAATTATATTCGCTGAAACAGCTATCTTATAATGTGCAAACATAAAAACAATATTTTTATTATATGTGTGACTTATAGAATAAGCTTATTTTTCTAATGTCTAATGCTTTAAAAAACAGAAACAAAAAACAACAACAGTAGCATTAACTCTGATTAATTGGTCCCATGTTAAGGACGATAAAGTGCCTCTAAACGCGTGTAACATATTAAAATCTTGTCACCGGTTTAGGAAAACGGTCATGTTGCCATTTCATCATTACTTCAAAGGGTTAATAAGTTCGATATCGAAAAAAAAAAATTTTCACTGTATATAGCTCGCAAATTCCTTTTAAGGATTTTTATCATGCATTGTTGTATCATGGTGTGTTATTGTTCATATTATTGACAATAATCGATAGGTTTTCTAAACGCGGAAAAGCATGATAATCCTTATTTTCATATGGCGGTTTTTAAGGCAACTGTAAAAGCTTAAATAAAAAGCAGTTTTCAGATCAAAATGCATTAAATACAGTTTAGAATTATTCAATACAAATACACATAAACGAAAATTTTATTTTATAATTGACGAATCAACATTAAACTTCTAAGAAATATTATGCTTGAAATCGCATGATCTGTAATTTAATACCTTTTGGTGTTCATGGGATTCCTTAGCTTCGTTTCTGTTTCTTGCCTTGATTTGTCTCGTCTTAATAGATTGATGATAGTAAAACATCGGCAATATACTGTTCCCTTTAATTTAAACCAATTTTATAATTTGAAGATGATTTTGTAAGAATTAGCATTTTCTTGCAATTAATCTCTTTATTTGCGTTTGCTCTTGAACTATTGCAATAAGTTCTATAAGGCTCATATTTTTTTAAAGAAAATTATTAAAACAAAAACAAAAAGGACATTTTGTTTGATTCTTAAAAAAATAATAAGAAATGGCCATTCTTTACCTTAGACAATTATTGAACGGAAAATTCGTGACGACATTATAGGATAGCAGTCTGATTGGAAGATGCATTAAAGTCAATAACTGAGAGTTTTTTTATGGGATATGTAGCTTTAGAGTCACAGTTTTAATTTGAGTAATCTTTCTTGGAACATCATTTATATTTTTTAGTTTGCATTTTTCAGGAATAAAACTTCCATCACTTATAAACGTTGAAGAGGAGAAAGCAGAATAGTTTGTAGCTGAGTAAAATTCTAGGTTCCCACAAATTTGTCAAACATGATTAAAAATCAATATTAATCATTAGCACGATTTACAAAAGGACAACTATAACAATATCATGTTTCACGATTGATCAACTATAACATGAACTTTGATCAGAATTGGTCACTTTGAACGGTCTGTCCAAAAAGGCGCTTCATCATTATTATTCATTTATGAATACTAAACATTAACATTTTATAATACTCGCCTTTTTAAAAGGAGCTCGGTAACGGATTTTTTTTCCATTATGTGTACGTGGTGCAGTTTGATGGTGTTGTGTCGCTTTCTCGCCGATCTCCTAAAACGTTCCCTCAAACATGTTTTTTGTATTTTAAGAGTAAACTTGATTTGATTATACTCTCTCTTTTTGACTTTTTTTTTTATCTAATTGATTCGAGCGTTACTGATGAGTCTTTTGTAAACGAAACGCGAACATGTTATCGAGGTAATCTTTCAGAAAAACGGTAAAAAATTCAAACAATTTAAAGAACATCAATCATGCATCCAGGACAACATTGCAAATTATTATCTTGGCTATTCATCTTCGAATCTCTGCCACATTGGTGAGCAATAACGAATCTTCATACAGTATTGGATGCAAAGGAATATTTGTCTGCTAATATGACATGGGAAAATAAGAATTAACCAGCGACTAATTAATAATTTTGCCGATTTAGGAGGTCAATAACAGTCAAGTGGATGGTCAAGATAGCTATAAAACCAGGCTAATCTACCATTTTCTTCGGAAAATGGCTGTACCTAGTCAGATATATGACAGCTGTTTTTCCATTCGTTCCATTGGTCGATATAGTCTAAAGTTTGATTTTGTCAGGTTTTATGGACTTCCCCCTTTTTGAATTTACTTTGGAGTTCGGTATTTCTGTTACACTTTTGTACCGAGGTTCAAATTTCGTAAATTTATTAGGAAGAGACAAATCAAGGCAACAAACAGTAATTGAGGAAATTGCATGACCCCCAATCATGCATTACCCACAATGCTTGATGTCTTGATTGACATATTTGCTATGTTTGGATGGTGTGTTTTTCATATCTAGACTTAAACCTAGAAATAGACAATGAGGGTCGATTTAGAACAAAACATTACGACGGAAGAGATTATTTCATTGCCCAATTAAGAACTTTACATTTCCATGCAGCAACATTCCAGCAGCGCCTTCATATGGAGTATACATCTTCCAGAGTTTGCATTCCCTATCATGATTTCTTTGATATAGCGTTGCTGCTAATAAGAAATTAATTGACACAAAAGTTCCAAGTGGTAAAGATTAAATCGGTCCTTCAAAAAAAACAAACTGTACGGACGTCAACACGAGTTGGTTGACCGTAATGGAATATATGTTTCACAAGTGACGACGGATATGTTCCAATTATCATTGCCACAATCCCGTTTTCTTTCCCTCGATTGCGACCTAACGAAATAGATTTTTCACCTGGTTTGTACTTACATGAGTAACAAGACGGGTGCCGCATGTGTAATTTCACTTACGGAACACCTGGTATCAACCCCGGTTTTGATGGGGTTCTTGTCGCTCAATCTTTGGTGTTCTATGTTGTATTTTGTGTACTGTTGTTTGTCATTTCATCATTTTTCGCTTTTTGGCATGGCATTGTCAGTTTGTTTTTGACTTATGGGTTTGACAACTCCTTTTGGTATCTTTTACCTCTCTTTTACATGTTAATAAAAACCAAACAATCAATCTTTACAAAATATTGTTTACTCCGTTATAAGACCAATGTATTTAGTAACCATGTGCAAAATAATCTCACCCAACGACGAAACCAAAATAACGAAAATCCATGAGTGTGAAAATCATAACTATTGAAATAAACTTTAACAATGTTTATAAAAGCCTACAGTTATCTATTCATCAAATGTACTTCCATTTAAATCATACAGTCATTACTTATTCGTGTATAATACAATCAGTTCAATGAGAAATTACGTAGTTATTACACATACAATTATCCGACCGTTCTGTTTAAATAAATATAAAATGGAGATCTTAGTGTTGGTTTTATACTTAGTACATAAGTTTGGTAAGATTCATATATTATTTGATTCTAAAATAAATTTTCAAATTGGTCTTATTAAATTATAAAGTTACAATGCACGAAATAATAGAAAGTGTTATTTTCATTTTCGAAACATAAATAGAGAATATGATATGGCTTTTTCAATATCACACACCGTATCAACCCGAGACACCAATATAATGCCAAGAGCTCTGCTCGAGGGATTATATTGGTTGAGGGTTGATACGGTGTGTGATATTGAAAAAGCCATATCATATACACTTTATTATATACATATACCTCACGTAGATGTGTTTTATGTGACATGACGTCATACAGATAAGGGGGGTTGAAATGACGTCATACAGATTAGAGGTTTGACAGGACGTCCTACAGATTAGGGGTTTGATAAAGCATTTGCAACAGTGACTGCAATCGATGACGTGACGTCATACAGATTAAAGGTGTGATAAAGCCTTTGCAACCGTGCTGATATCGATATCATCACGGGTGGCTGATACAGCACGCTTGCCAATGATTGTATTACACATACAATTTATCTGTATTTACTACTAAGTATATAATAATAATTAATAATTTCAACATTACTGAATAACCATCACGTGCAAATGGTATATCGAAATGACCGATTGGTAATAGATTACTACAATTTATTTAAATGGGTGGAATGATTAAAATTAAGATTTATTTTGTCTAATACATAAAACAGATAACATACATTATAACAAAACAAATAAGTGCCAATGACTTTGTTATATACTTTCTTAGGTAATAAATACGTGTTCTTCAAAGGATGAAACAAATAATAATTCTTGGAATTTTACAATTTAATAAGTTTTCTTTGGTGTCATGCTTTAGTTCGAATAATGCTTATCGTGAAATTATGTTTAAACAAGATTGGTTAGTGAAAAATGGTGTGTTTACTTGCACAATAGTAGATCGGTTTGAAGAGTTAACCAAAAAACATTATTTTATAATTATTGTAACGTAAGATACATGTAAAGCAGCGGGTTGAATACATAACTATACACCACATGAACGACGAATGTCATGATATGGGGAAATAATATCATATGTGAATAACAATAATATTTAGTATGGTAAATACGAACAAAATGTTAATGCTGTTGCAAAATATTCTAACAAAAGTGTACATATTGGTACCTTATATTGTTAATTTACCGATAACTTTATTAGTATTTAAACAAATAAAAACAATATTCAAAGATTTAATTACAGTGTAGAATTGATAACCTTTTAGAATAAGTTTATTCAATGGATTGATAAGTTTACCTGGATCGTATCTAAATTTTCAGGCTCGGTTAGCAACATCACCTTAAAATTTAGGATGTACTATGAAATAAGTGTTCTACAGGTACAGCCAAACTTCCAAACCCAATCTTTGTATCTATGGAAGAATGTTTGATAATGATTTGATGTGCAAACATATTTTTGTCTAAGGTGTCTTAAGAGGGGAGAGTTCTCCGTATGTAAAAAGATGTTAAATGGCAAAAAAGATATGAACTGGATTTAGAACGAACTAATGCTCTATAAATGAAATGATTAGGGAATGACTGTAATATTTTTTCTTTCTACGAAGACATACTATAAAAAATGTGTTTGAGCTTTTGATTTTGCCATTTGATTACGTACTTTCCGTTTTAAATTTTTATCGGAGTTCGGTATTTTTGTTATTTTACTTTTTTCGAATAGACAGAAAAAATGTTACAGTCATTCTTTATGATATAATTCTAAATTCCAGTTTTAAGGAGTAAATCATGAAAAAAAAACGTTGAAGACGTCACGATCACATGACAAAATTATGTTTATGGGCTGATAGACAAAATCTTTCAGCCAATCATTAGACGTGTTACGTCCATAATTAAATTATAAGTTGAAAAATCGTGTACTGCTGGAAATAATTAATAACTTATAAACTTGATTCCGTAAAAATGTGTGATTCAATCAAGTATTTTTTTAAAGATACAATTCAGTAATTTAGAATTATCAAATGAGACAATCTTATTTTCCTATAAAATTTTTATTTCATTTCAGGTTTAGTATCTTGTGACTTTTGTTATAACTCCATCTATGGTGTTTACTCGTACTGTTCTGGATACTGCGATGGATACTATGGCTCGGAATACTGTGTCTATGATTATTATATCGGATCATTGTAAGCAACAATATTATATGGTTGAAATATAAAAAAGAAGATATGGTATGATTGCCAATGAGACAACTGTTCACAAGAGACCAAATAACACAGAAATTAACAACTATAGGTCACCGTACTGCCTTCAACAATGAGCAAAGCCCATACCGCATAGTCAGCTATAAAAGGCCCCGAAATGAAAGCCTATTTGAGGTTAACATGAACGAAACAGCAACCAAACGAAAAAAAAAACAAAAACACAAAAATAACTAAAACACATTTTAAACGCAACGTTCAGACTTCAAATATGTACTGGTGCAAATATACAATACCTGCATCATATAAAATACAAGTAGCAAATACAATATATGTATCATATGGAATGGAACGAATGAAATTATATGCGAAAAAAATCAAATAATAGGAAAATTCAAAACGGAAAGTCCCTTATCAAAATCACACAATCTCAAACACAACAAACGAATGGAAACTGGCATTTTCTTATGTCTAAAATGGTGGATTAAACTTGGTTTTATAGCTAGCTAAATCTTGAATCTGTGTGACAGTCGCATAAAATTTCATTACATTGACAACAATGTGTGAGCAAAACAAACAGACATAATAGGTTAAATAGTCAAAAATTGGGGAATAGCAGTTACCATTGTGTTATAATCTTAATCACTATCAAACAATCAATGTGTAAACAAAGAAAAATAATGGCATGTAGGCATTTTGTAGACAAAGCACATAAGCCAAAATGAAGGAGAAGAATACAAAAAAAAAAGACCAAAGCACAAAAACACAATGGCAGGATGTATAAATACCGAGCCACGCCAAAAGGATATTACCAAAAACGAACTAAACAATAAAGGTTTAAAGTATACAAAGACAAATAAAAATAACACTATAACATGTAATTAAGATGACAACATCGTCAGTACCTAGAATGTACACTTTAAGACCATCATGTATTATTTTATGAAGTTGATGCGGAATATTCATCAACAAGGTCTTGGTATCTTCCAATGAACTTTTTTTAAAAAGGACGAGACTTTTTTTTGACACAACCCTGGTTCATCAACTTTCTGCTCAGACACTGGTGACATTTATTAGTCTGAATAGCAGCCGCAAGCTCTTGAATACCGAATAAGTTGGGAAATGTTTGCTGCTTGTTGAAGGTGACTTTGAGACGAAGGATAGCAATGAAATACTTTCATATAGTTAGTAAAAGCTTTTGTTGAATTTCTATCTGGTATTTAGTTGCTCATTATTCATTGTGTTATTCTCTATTCTGGAAACCACATTCACACCTTCATTGTGTTTGTTTTCAGCACAGTAGCTGCATTTGCCGGCATCATAGTTGGATCGTTGATTTTCCTTGGAATTTTCATTGCTGTTATTGTTGCAATATGTGCTTCCTGTACAAAATCAGCCGGACAAAGAGGACGACTTATTCACCCTATTTCAACAACAAGTGGTGTATCAACTGTACAGTCCAATGGACATGGTATGAATTTGAATAATTAAGGATGTCATTGCATTAGTCAAAAAGTTCACAAATGTACATAATATGCAAGAAATTTTGTGGATCTGTTATGTTATATGTAAACTAATTCTGATCTAAAACGGTCATTTTGACCAGAGCAGCTCTTAAAAGACTGAACAATAATTTCAGTAAATTGTCAGACTACTAGTAATCAACTACAGTAAATTCGATATCAGTACTGTGCAGACCATTCATGACCACTTGCAGTCAATAAAGATATGCTCAATCTATGTTCTGACGGTTCAGAAGTTGTTATTTCTCTGCAACTTTACATCATTATACTGAATTGTCTGAAAACTACTGAACAGTACTAAATTGACTGCAAGCGAATTGTTTGAACATAACTGAATTGGTGGATTCGTCTGAAAATTGATCAGAAGACTGAATATGAATGAATACTTTATTGTTCAGACATTTCAGATAATAATAAGAGCAAATTGACCGTTTCACACTCAACTCAATTTACGAATTGACATAATAAAGATAAACAAAAAACACTTCACAGTATAATACATAACACCACCAACTACCAACCGAAAAACAAAATTCGAATAAAGTACCTTTATATTATATAAATTTGGCTAGGTATACAGGGACCTAGCAAATGACAACGGAAGTGTTTAAACCGAAAGTAGCAAATTATCTTCATGACTTCAAGCGAAAGTATATAAAAAAGAAGTACGGTCAATAATTTAGAGTATAGAGACTGTCATTTCCATGTGCCAATCAGTAAATATTGAGATACCCGAAAGTGACTAAATATTAACGTTTTGACTGTAATTTTGTTTTGTATCAAGGCTGTACAGATTATTTATTGTGAAAATTTGTTGTTTGAGTCGAATATTAATTTATTCATTATGATGAAGGAAAACATAAATATGTTTTTACATATTTTAAACATAAAAAAAACATATCATTAACTTCGAAACATATTTTCAATTCATCATCATTATGTTTGACACACAAAAAATAAACTGAAAACTAACGATTGAGTTACACAGACCCGCCAAATCTGGAGTGAACTATTAAACAATCTGCTCATCCAAAAAAAAAATATGTCTACCTCGGCATTCTCATACATGACCTGAACATCTTAGGTGTTTCTTGGAGGTGATTGAACGCTTACTAGAAGGGAATGTTATCATAAGGCGACTTAGTTAGTTTCCAAAATGTTTGGAAATTTATGCTACAGAAAATTAAGTACTAATTAAGGTTATTAAGACAAACATCGGTGAGCAATGTAAAACCTTATTGTTGACTGCCGTGCTCGGGTTATTCACATCAGTTTTATAGTTCTTCAAAACACAGCCGATTGCATTCCCTCTTCTTCAGCTACCATCTTTAACACAGTAAGGGTTGCATCCTCACATACCAGTGTTGTAACTACGCACATTTTTTAACAGTCGGTAACGACCCTTATTTCAATCCAAGTTATCCGTCTACATGGAACAGCAGTGGGGTATTCGCTGTTTCGGGGTTTCAGATTTTTAAAATTTTTATCAACTTTATTTATCAGATGACAGTTCATGATGACCTGAAGTGTTCTCAGGGACTGTCAATAGTTACCTAGAATGTTCACAGTGGCTGTTAATGGTTACCTGAGAGTGTTCTCAGTGACAGTCAATGGTTACCTGAGAGTGTTCTCAGTGACTGTTAATGGTTACCTGAAGTGTTCTCAGTGACTATTAATGGTTATCTGAGAGTGTTCTCTGTGACTGTTAATGGTTACCTGAGAGCGTTCTCAGTGGCTGTTAATTGTTACCTGAGTGTTCTCAGTGACTGTTAATGGTTACCTGAAGTGTTCTCAGTGACTATTAATGGTTACCTGAGAGCGTTCTCAGTGGCTGTTAACGGTTACCTGAGAGTGTTCTCAGCAACTGTTAATGGTTACCTGAGAGTGTTCACAGTGACTGTTAATGGGTACCTGAGAGTGTTCTCAATTACTGTTAATGGTTACCTGAGAGTGTTCTCAGTGGCTGTTAATGGTTACCTGAGAGTGTTTTCAGTGGCTGTTAATGGTTACCTGAGAGTGTTCTCAGTGACTGTTAATGGTTACCTGAGAGGGTTCTCAGTGGCTGTAAATGGTAACCTGAGAGTGTTTCAAGTGACTGTCAATAGATAACTGAAAGTAATCTTGATGATTGTAAATATTACTTTGTTAGTATTGTTGTTCTTATTCAGGTTAATTGTTACATGAGAGCGTTCTTAGATACCGTTTATGGTGTAGTGACAGCATTCGTCGTGACCATTTATGTATACAAAAGAGTAATTGCGATGATTGTAAATTGTCATTGTTATTCAATGACCAATACTGGTTACCTAAGAGTAAATGTGGTGACTGTAGATTGTTTTCTAAGAGTGTTCTTGTTTTCATGTGGTTACTAGTTACTTTAGTCGTTGATGACCTTTAACGGTTACCTGAGAGTGTTCTTCTTTTAATGTGGTTACTGGTTACTTTAGTCGTTGATGACATTTAATGGTTACCTGAGAGTGTTCTTGTTTTCATGTGGTTACTAGTTACTTTAGTCGTTGATGACCTTTAACGGTTACCTGAGAGTGTTCTTGTTTTCATGTGGTTACTAGTTACTTTAGTCGTTGATGACCTTTAATGGTAACCTAAGAGTGTTCTTGTTTTCGTGTGGTTACTAGTTACTTTAGTCGTTGATGACCTTTAATAGTTACCTGAGAGTGTTCTTGTTTTCGTGTGGTTACTAGTTACTTTAGTCGTTGATGACCTTTAACGGTTACCTGAGAGTGTTCTTGTTTTCATGTGGTTACTAGTTACTTTAGTCGTTGATGACCTTTAATGGTTACCTGAGAGTGTTCTTGTTTTCATGTGGTTACTAGTTACTTTAGTCGTTGATGACCTTTAATGGTTACCTGAGAGTGTTCTTGTTTTCAAGTGGTTACTAGTTACTTTAGTCGTTGATGACCTTTAATGGTTACCTGAGAGTGTTCTTGTTTTCATGTGGTTACTGGTTACTTTAGTCGTTGATGACATTTAATGGTTACCTGAGAGTGTTCTTGTTTTCATGTGGTTACTAGTTACTTTAGTCGTTGGTGACCTTTAATGGTTACCTGAGAGTGTTCTTGTTTTCATGTGGTTACTAGTTACTTTAGTCGTTGGTGACCTTTAATGGTTACCTGAGAGTGTTCTTGTTTTCATGTGGTTACTAGTTACTTTAGTCGTTGATGACCTTTAATAGTTACCTGAGAGTGTTATTGTTTTCATGTCGTTACTAGTTACTTTAGTCGTTGATGACCTTTAATGGTTACCTGAGAGTGTTCTTGTTTTCATGTCGTTACTAGTTACTTTAGTCGTTGATGACCTTTAATGGTTACCTGAGAGTGTTCTTGTTTTCATGTCGTTACTAGTTACTTTAGTCGTTGATGACCTTTAATGGTTACCTGAGAGTGTTCTTGTTTTCATGTCGTTACTAGTTACTTTAGTCGTTGATGACCTTTAATGGTTACCTGAGAGTGTTCTTGTTTTCATGTGGTTACTAGTTACTTTAGTCGTTGATGACCTTTAATGGTTACCTGAGAGTGTTCTTGTTTTCATGTGGTTACTAGTTACTTTAGTCGTTGATGACCTTTAATGGTTACCTGAGAGTGTTCTTGTTTTCATGTCGTTACTAGTTACTTTAGTCGTTGATGACCTTTAATGGTTACCTGAGAGTGTTCTTGTTTTCATGTCGTTACTAGTTACTTTAGTCGTTGATGACCTTTAATGGTTACCTGAGAGTGTTCTTGTTTTCATGTCGTTACTAGTTACTTTAGTCGTTGATGACCTTTAATGGTTACCTGAGAGTGTTCTTGTTTTCATGTGGTTACTAGTTACTTTAGTCGTTGATGACCTTTAATGGTTACCTGAGAGTGTTCTTGTTTTCATGTGGTTACTGGTTACTTTAGTCGTTGATGACCTTTAATAGTTACCTGAGAGTGTTCTTGTTTTCATGTGGTTACTAGTTACTTTAGTCGTTGGTGACCTTTAATAGTTACCTGAGAGTGTTCTTGTTTTCATGTGGTTACTGGTTACTTTAGTCGTTGATGACATTTAATGGTTACCTGAGAGTGTTCTTGTTTTCATGTGGTTACTAGTTATTTTAGTCGTTGGTGACCTTTAATGGTTACCTGAGAGTGTTCTTGTTTTCATGTGGTTTCTAGTTATTTAAGTCGTTGGTGACCTTTAATGGTTACCTGAGAGTGTTCTTGTTTTCATGTGGTTACTAGTTATTTTAGTCGTTGATGACATTTAATGGTTACCTGAGAGTGTTCTTGTTTTCATGTGGTTACTAGTTATTTTAGTCGTTGGTGACCTTTAATGGTTACCTGAGAGTGTTCTTGTTTTCATGTGGTTACTAGTTACTTTAGTCGTTGGTGACCTTTAACGGTTACCTGAGAGTGTTCTTGGTTTCATGTGGTTACTGGTTACTTTATTCGTTGGTGACCTTTAATGGTTACCTGAGAGTGTTCTTGGTTTCATGTGGTTACTAGTTACTTAAGTCGTTGGTGACCTTTAATGGTTACCTGAGAGTGTTCTTGTTTTCATGTGGTTATTAGTTACTTAAGTCGTTGATGACCTTTAATGGTTACCTGAGAGTGTTCTTGGTAACAGTTTATGATTACCTGTGTGAGAGTTCTTGATGATATTCTTGATGAACGTTAATGGTAACTTGATAATGTATTTGTTAATCTGAAATTTTTAGGGGACCTTAAATGTTTACCTTAGAGTGATTTTGTTATACATTTCAGTGGTACAACAGCATTACAACTATGCAACACCAACAGCTCCTCCGGTGTACACAAATATGGCGTACTATTCAGCATACCCACCACCACCACCACCACCACCACCACAACCAATGAATGAGCCAATGCCGCCACCCATTTACGCCGAAGCGAATAGCCAAGTTCAACAACCATATGCAACAATGGTGAAGGCACATCAACAAAACAATAGATCAGAAGCTTGAACAATATGTGAAATAAATATTGAACAAAGCGGATTATAGAAAGGGGAAAATTGTTAAATCTGGTTGTTATGTTTGACAAAAAATATTAAAATTGCATAATCAGATGAAAAAAATAAAAATTCAATTCATTATGATTATGATATCTTTAACCATTTTTAAAATACCATTAATTACACATTGTGCTGGTGACCTTATACGATATATAAGGGGCCAGTAAATTCCATGTGGAGCGAATACGAGCGAATTAGATATTTAAAGCACGATATAGTCAAAGAAACTGCATAATAACTATAGAGCCAGACAAATGTATTCCGGTCAAAACAGAATTCTACCTTTGTAACCAAAATCAACTTTGTAGAATGATTGAAGACATTTTTATTTAGATTTTTTTCAATTTAAACACAAAACGGGATTGATAAATGAAAACAAAATCAGTCAATTGTAGAAGCAATATGTATCACCAAGGGTATCCCGTATCTCGAGGGTACAGCCAATTTACTTAATACTTTGTTTTGTTTAGAACATACTATAAATGCTTGTGTGGCAAAAACTCATTTCATTAGGATTATCAGCCAAATACTTTTTACTACCGGAAACAAAAACAACTTGCTTTTCCTCACCAGCCCAGGAGTCAGCACTTCTGTGTTGACATGACTTATCATTGATTTGGTAATATTTATAAAACTAATACAACTTTGAATTGTTCCAAAAACTTTCAACCTCAGGAAAAGATTACCGAATAAAAGTTTATCCCCTAAAGTGTCCGACACAGTTTGGAACACAAATTTTATACAATCTTGAACAAATGTTACCAAAAACCTTAATTATGTATAAAAACAAGATTGGATTAAAGGGTAATTCTTAACCTCTTCGCTTTTTTAATTACCTTACCATCAAAAGTAAAATGCATTATCAATCCATTATCACTATCATTATCATAATCATTATCAAGTTCTAAGGTGAAGTGTTGTCGTTCATGCACAATAATCTCTACATTTAAAAAAAAAAATTCATCAAAAGAAGCTATGATATGTTTGATTATCCAAACTCGTCAATCGACCAAATATTTAAACGATTTTTCAACGATCACACGATATGACCATGGAAATGATAACATAAGGTTTTTCACCGGTGATGCAAAATGAAAATAAAACTTTATAAAATTTAGAAATGGTGTGCGTTTTTCGGAATTACCTTCACCATAAAAGCTCAGAACAAAATATTTTGATCAAAAAGCAGTATGAATACTTCAGAAGCTTTCGGATTTTTTTCGGTTAAATCTTCATCAATATATACATTTATGTTGGCCTAATTTGCAGAAAACCCTAATGCATGTATTAAAAATAAATGATTATTTCTTTTAATGAATTAAAAAATTGAAAATCAAAACATCACCTCAACCTTAAAAAAAAACAAAAAAACAATATAAAACACAAAACAAAAACAAAACGACAATGAAATAATTCAAACCCTGTTATTCCTGTTTGAAGTTTTATTCAGTGATGTAAAAAAGTGAAATAGAAAAAAAAAGATTGTTGCTGAATATCAAGGTAATATATGTGTCATAGACAATCGGTAGTGTAACTTCAATCAAGTCTGTGAATATCTGTGTCATAGATGATTGCTTGTCTAGCTCCTATCAAGTCTGTAGAATATCTGTGTCATGGATGATTGCTTGTCTAGCTCAAATCAAGTCTGTAGAATATCTGTGTCATGGATGATTGCTTGTCTAGCTCCAATCTAGTCTGTAGAATATCTGTGTCATGGATGATTGCTTGTCTAGCTTCAATCAAGTCTGTAGAATATCTGTGTCATAGATAATCGCTTTTCTAGCTCCAATCAAGTCTGTAGAATATCTGTGTCATAAATGATTGCTTGTCTAGCTCCAATCAAGTCTGTAGAATATCTGTGTCATGGATGATTGCTTGTCTAGCTCCAATCTAGTCTGTAGAATATCTGTGTCATGAATGATTGCTTGTCTAGCTTCAATCAAGTCTGTAGAATATCTGTGTCATAGATAATCGCTTGTCTAGCTCCAATCAAGTCTGTAGAAAATCTGTGTCATAGATGATCGCTTGTCTAGCTCCAATAAAGTCTGTAGAATATCTGTGTCGTAGATAATCGCTTGTCTAGCTCCAATCAAGTCTGTAGAATATCTGTGTCATGGATGATTGCTTGTCTAGCTCCAATCAAGTCTGTAGAATATCTGTGTCATGGATGATTGCTTGTCTAGCTTCAATCAAGTCTGTAGAATATCTGTGTCATAGATAATCGCTAGTGTAACTTCAATCAAGTCTGTGAATATCTGTGTGATAGATGATTGCTTGACAAGCTTCATTTTAGTCTGTAGAGTATAAGTGTCATAGGTGATCGCTTTACTTAGATTAAATCAAGTCTCCTATGCTTTGACTCACTGCGACTCGTGATCAATTCCCTTGTCTTGAGTCAAACGACGAGACCACAAGTAGTAGAGGATTTTTATTACTCATCCAGAGCACATGAGATCATCTGTAGGTTTATGAGTGTATTCGTTGTGTCTTAGTCTTTATCTCTTTGTATAATGTTTGTAGACAGGTCTCGGGCGTTGAGTCTATTGTTTGTTCCCTAATAGTATTTTTCTTTTTACTTTAAGTATTTGAAACTCTTAAGTTCAAAAACTTCCATGAAGTCATCAATTCTCTTTCAAGGAAATCAAAAATAGGAAATACAAACCTTAGTTCAGGAATATAGTATCAAATTGGAAATACAAACCCTAGGCCAGGAATATCGTATATAATGGGAAATACAAATCCTAGACCAGGAATATCGTATCAAATGGGATATCAAATGGGAAATACAAACCCTAGGCCAAGAATATCGTATTAAATGGGAAATACAAACCCTATGCCAGGAAGATCGTATCTAATTGGAAATACAAACCCTAGGCCAGGAATATCATATCAAATGGGAAATACAAACCCTAGGTCAAGAATATCGTATCAAATGGGATATCAAATGGGAAATACAAACCCTAGGCCAGGAAGATCGTATCTGATTGGAAATACAAATCCTAGCCCAGGAATATCCTATCAAATGGGAAATACAAACCCTAGGCCAATAATATCGTATTAAATGGGAAATACAAACCATAGGTCAAGAATATCGTATCAAATGGGATATCAAATTGGAAATACAAACCTTAGGCCAAGAATATCGTATCAAATTGGAAATACAAACCTTAGGCCAAGAATATCGTATCAAATTGGAAATACAAACCTTAGGCCAAGAATATCGTATCAAATTGGAAATACAAACCTTAGGCCAAGAATATCGTATCAAATTGGAAATACAAACCCTATGCCAGGAATATCATATAAAATTCGAGACACATACCCAAGATTTCAAGATTTTATTGTAAAGCAACGCTCAGACACATGATTTATAATTCAAAGGTAACATTTAAAAACAAAAGCAAATAAAGAATAATTCATACAAATCAATATACATATCACAATAAGTTATTTAGCTTTCTAATAAAAGATGACACCTGTCTATATAAATAAACATTGCAGTAAGATAACATAACAAATTTCTGCTTGCTTAGATGCTTCGTATAATATATAGGGATATGTTTTTCTCTAAAAAATAACCAATTGAGGAGACTTACATATAAAAAGATAATGAAATTCGTCTTCTACATTTTCTTTACATATGTGACCCTATGTTCAGGAAATGAGGTGATATTGCTACACAGGAAATAAAAGTTCTAAAATGGGAAAACTAAAGTTATCTATACTGTCGAAAAGTAAAAATTTGACGATGACCTAATTGTGTGTTCTTATATATCAAGTTCGAATAATAGATTCAATTGTCAGAATATGAATTTGTCATTAAACAGACATCATCTATTAGAGAAAGTGGCATTAAAGATAAATACTCAGAAAAAGTTTCAATTCACTTTTCGTCAGAAGTTTCTGAATGATTGATTGTTGATTGCTACACGTCTAGTAGCACATATTTCATGAATGTTCTATCCTATTACTGTACAACTAATGTTGTATGTCGTCCGCCCTATAACAACAAAGCAATAAATCACTTTGAAGACCAAATCAGTCTTTGATAGTTTCCATAGAAATATCTATTTTCGGTTGAAAGATATATCCTCCAAAATTATTAGAAGTTATTATGTAGCAAATTGAAACTAAACGAATTGTGTTGATGACAGTTACGGAGAACCTTTTATATGACCGAGAGAAATGATAGTTCAAATTCAATTTCAATATAAAAACAAAAGAGTATACAAAATGTTCAGTTCCTAATCGCAAAAATACGGTCTTTAGCAAAAGAAACACTTCAGAATTACAAGTGTTCCACACAAAATGAGCATTATATACCAAAATGAACATTAACAACTAATAAGTAAAGAGAATCATGAACCCCACAATAGCCGATGATGATATAAAGTGATCCGGTAGGTTAAGCATGTCTTGCAGCACACGTGTCACCCGTCATGTTTCTCATGTAAGTTTTGAATTTGTTGATAAGTGTCATTATCTGATGTCACTTTGAGAGGTAGGAGGACATACACATCCATAACGGTTACCGATCAACAACCTCTTGATGGACTCTGTGAAATTTATGGAAAGATTACGTTAACTTAATTGCAAATATACTGTTTTTAGAAAAGAGCCAACACAGAATTTGGGCGCTTCATCGGAAATATTCGTGTATATGCATTCATTTTGGACCCATATACTTAAGGTATATTATCAATAAAATATGAACTGCTATCTGAGTACTGTAGCTATGATCTATTATATAACAGTTGACATGTTTTGTGTCCCGTTTTGACAAATCTATTGACCATGAAAACGGTTATTTAATTCATTCATATTAAAATGTCTCTATTGCTTTATTATGGATCTGAATAACGATTGTAAGGACAATCGTGTTCTTTGTTCACTGTTTTAATTGTAGATAATTCAATACAATTTAAATATTATCTGTCATTTTAAGGACTGTAATGTGTATGCATTGATACTGTGAACGTTTTGTGAGATGAATATCTGTTGTCAATGTCTTTATTCAAACTTCAATACAGCATGTCATTTAAATAAGGCTATATAATATACTTATAACACATGTGTTCTGTTCCCTATGGATGATCCCAAATGTAATTCAATTCCAATCCTTTGCAAAATAATATGATAAATAATTCTTTACTGAAAAACTCGATTTCCCCCCGTCTTATTTAAGATGCATAAACATGATTCGATAATGACAACTTCATTGTGGATTATATTATTGATGTCAGAATGTGGTAAGGTGTTCTTGACCTAAACATTAGGATTGTTTAATCTAAACATTATCATGGTATTGTGTATGCAAACACTATTGTGTTTGTATAAATTCTATATATATATATGTATAGGTTTTTAATAAATCGACTAACACCTGTTTTTAATTCTATGTCATTTGGTCTTTAAGCAAAAGTAACATTAAATTGTGACTATTTATAAAAACACCAGCTTGCTATATGTTGCATCATCAGTGAAATCAGTCACTGTACTGCTATCAAACATAGTTGTTATCGATTTATCTCTTAAATCGACTAAGAACAATCAATTCCTCACAACAACACGAAACCAAGGGAATCGCAAGAACACAGTCAAAGAGCAAAATATGGTGCATCGACAGAGTAAGATTCGAATGCTATGCATTAATCATCTGCCATACGGATTCCCACTCAGTAAAGGGTCACTACTTTCTTGTATCTAAAGATCTAAGACCCAGGAAAATGTCGCTAGTGAGTTGAAAAATAGAGACATCGTATCGGTCAACCATTTCGTGGGGATGACCGTAACATTTATCTTATGACGATTGCAATCGTTCTTCTATCTCTGTTGAAGCAGTTTGTTTGTACAATTAATAGGTGATATCAACGAATTAGCTAAATCTGAGATTAGAATAGGATATACAATCCGAAAGAAAGGAATACTGGTTCAATCGACAGAATAAAAAAAATTTGCTTTACATATATCACATGCTACTCATAACCTGCTTAACTGTGCAAAAGATAATTATTAATGCTTGTGATTTTTTAAAGTTCTTTGTCTTTTTGTAAATAGAACAATCAATTGAATTTAGTGCGTAAATAGAGGTCATTTTCATATTTCAGGAATAGTGCTGTCAGATGTTTGTTCCAGGTATTCTTATACTTACCTTAACATCTATTCTAAATACTGCTCTGGTTATTGCATTGGTTACTATGGCAATCAGTACTGCTACTACTATGATTATGGCACATATGTAAGTAAAAATTGCATCTCGTGTTGATTTCACAAATGAGAAAGCAACTGCTATCGGTATTGGTTTGGGTCCGTGTATCTCAATTTCCATTGAACTACATATTGAAAGGTAAATTTGTGTGTGTCAATTCATTATTCTTGTTTGTTCTTTATATTGTCTTCTTGTTCTTTATATTTGAATGCATTCCTTGTTTTTTCCACCTCTTCTTAAACGACTTTCTTAAAGTACCATTAGGGTGCAGGATCGAAATAAAATCTAACAAGAAATAATTGTTGAGACAAAAACAATACCAACGCGAACTATAACATTTCATGAACGAACAAATTAGCATATTCAGGTAAAAAAAAAGGCACACTTGTTGGGAAACTATCTTATGATAGAAAAAAAATAATATAAATTTGCATCAAGACTTGACGTTGAGATGTTCAGACATTTCCGGATATATACAATGATATGAATATATATATTGGTGTGTATAAGAAAAATAAAGACGAAAGTTACCAAAGGGACATTCAAACTCATAAGTCGAAAATAAACTGACAACGCCATGGCTAAAAAAGAAAAGACAAACAAACAATAGTACACAAAACAATATAGAAAACTAAAGACTGAGCAACACAAACCCCATCAAAAACTTTGGGTGATCTCAGGTGCCCGGAAGAGTAAGTAGATTCTGCTCCACATGTGGCACCCGTCGTGTTGCTCTTGAAAGTACAAACCCGGTGATATGTCTAACTCAGTAGGTCACATTCAGGGTAAAGGGGACGATACTGTAGTAATGACAATTGGAACATATCCGTCGTTATCTGTGAAAAGATATTCCATAACGGTCAACCAACTCGTGATGCCGTCCGTAAAATTTACGAAGGCATGATTTCAACTTCACCACTTGGAACTCTTGGTTTGAAAGCTTCCTTGTGAGCATCAACCTTCCATCAAGGAAATCATGATAGGACATACAAGCCCTGGAATATCGTATCAACTGGGACACCTATACTCCGTATGCAGGCGCTGCTGGAATGTTCCTACATAGAAATGAAAGTTCACAATTGGGAAGCTGAAATCATCTCTTTTGTCGTAAAGTTAGTTTTCAACCGACACTCATTGTCATTTTCTAGATATAAAGTCTGATTCACTGGTGATCGTTATGGGGACCACAGTATTTATACATATCCATACGTTTCATGATGTCATGACCTTTATTCCATCGCGAGTGCAATAGGTCTGTTTGTACGGATGAGATTTTTTACCAGGAAAATATTTTAGTGAATAAACTTATCATAGATACCAGGATTACAATTTTGTATGCTAGACGCGCGTCTCGTCTACAAAACACTTCATGGACGCTTGAATCAAAAAAGTTAAAAAGGCTAAATAAAAATTTCTTTTGAATTTCAAGTAAAAAAGATTATTTTTACATGTTTCATTTTGCATGTTGAAAAAAAAGAGTTTAATGAATCTATAATATGAGTTGAAGAGTTTGACTTTAGAAAGTTTTGATTATGTGATTTTCAAATTACCAATGGTCTGACAATCGATTTATTTGAAGGTCTTTTGTCTGAATACAGGATGAAATCCTTTTTCAAGTATCCGATGTCCTTCAAAAGTTGGAACTGTATTATAGAGGATAGAGTAATTTGTTTGATGTATATATTCTTTCTTTATTAACATTTGAAAATTTATACTTCAGGACAATTGGAGCCTTTGTTGGCATCATCATTGGAGTCATGATTTGCATAGTGATTTTTATATCTGTAACTGTGGCGATATGTAAAGGCTGTTTAAAATCAGATGGTCATCGCGGACGAATTGTGTATCCAACAGATGGCGTAGCTGTTATTCAAACAGGACAACAATGTACGTAGGTAAAATGTCTGTTATAATACAAAAACTCATCAAAGATATATATAGAATTTGCTAATTAGGTAAACCATGCAGTAGATATGGAAACAAAGAAGCTCATTGGCTTTGAACAGATATGAACTAAACATGTTAAGGCCGCTACTATATATGAAAAAGAGGTCACAAAGAAAAATGCCTATAGCTTCTCTAATTGTCATGTAGGAACACATGTGATCATTAAAAAACAGAGGCAAAAATCTAAAACTGAAAAAAGTTTAAATTGTTTATATTTTATTTGCCAAAATATTAATGTTTACTACAAAATATAATTGAAATAACAAAACATATAGTATTCAAATGAAATGGGTAAGAGCTTTTTGGTATTTACCTGTTGAAGGATGGGACACATTTAAATTGATTATGAGTAAACTATCTTTAATATATATTTATTATTGAAAATATGTGGTATTATTTCCAATGAAAACCACCACAAGAGAACTAACGAAGTAAATGTTAGCAACTATCAGTCACCGTATGACCAACAACTATAAGCAAAACCCATACCGTATAGAATATTAGAAAAGAACCCGGCATGACAAAATGTCATAAAATAACAGTTAAAAATTTCATGGATGTTCTAAGCTATATAGGGAATTTAGTAGAAAGTCGTATAGTGTTAAAATAGCACGTAACGTATCAAAAGATTAAGAGTGAATGATATACAACAAAGTAGGATTATCTAACACAAACTTCATTGTCCTTTCAGGCGGAACGGATCCTTTCAGCAATGGACGACCTCAAATGAATTCAAATATTGTATATTATCCAGCCTATTCCCTCAATGCACCACCCCCACCACAACCACAGCTTCCGGTAAGCGAGCCACTTCAGCCGCCAATTTATGCGGAAGATAATAAAGAAACACAATAATCTCCTTAAAGCAATAGAAACTGTTTTGCCATGAATACGAGCATTGTAGAATAATGAGAACATTCAATCTTTGATTTTTTTTTATGAAACGATATAGAATTTTCATACAAATGTTGTTACTATATCATTATATATATATTAAGGGTCATCAGTTACATCAGATATCAGCATAGAAAATATTGCTCCTTCGAGTTATATTGTTATAAATCCTAGTTAGGGTTTCACATGTTTTTTTTTTAAAGTGGACCTTTACATCGATTAATACTTGGACTTTTCTAACAAAAGGAACAAAAAGATAATCTTTCATTGAAATTATTTGGAAGAATGTCGTCAGGTAATTTGAATGAAACTAGGATAAAAACGGGAGAAAGTTGATTAAAAAAATCATTTTAATCTTTTTAGAATGACCACATGAAAATTATGTTTCTTTTACATATAACATTTCGAAAATAATAAAAATAAACGACTCATATACTACTCGACGTTATCAAGAATAAGATAATAAGTATTCTATATACAATGTGCGCACCTCAAAGATTCAAATAGTTGAAGATATATTCACCATATTCAACATTATTTAGAGCCTCCTTGTTTTATTAAAAAAAGGTAAATATGCTACAGTTTTAAATATATTTACTTGCACTGTGATGAAATAATATAAGATGTTAACATCTATGTTCATGTGGGTAATAAAGTTTATAGACAGGTTTTAGTTGTTAATACGTGCCCATTTACTAGCAGTATTGTTTATACGACGTTTATGTCCAGAATCAATTAAGATCTGCCCTAATTCCATCGTATTGAAAATTTAATAACACTAATCTTACCGAGATGATATGATTGCTTTTAAATGATCACGATTTCTATAACTTTACTGAAGACAGTTCCTGACTTTAAATAAATCAAGAAGTAACAGCAGTAGTTGTCCTTTTCTGATTTCGTATATTTCGCCCTTTATTACAGCTTCACGCGGGAAGACTTGTACAAAATAGCACGATACAAGATACCATTTGTGTTTCCGTTCGTTAATTGCCTTTTTCTGTAAGTTGTTATAATTTGGTCCTTGTTCTAGTATCTATGATTATTAAAAAATGAAAACAACACGTTATATAAATATCATGCATCCGAGGCTATGATGCTATGAAGTGGCGTTTTATATTTCAATGAAAATTACCCTATGCAAAAAAATTTGTAAATTATAATGCCAAGGATTTCGTTCCAAATAGCAATCATTCAGTTTGTGAGCTGATAAAGCGGGAAAAATATACAAGCAAATCTTCTTTAAATTAAGGTAACAAAATCAAAAGTTTGTATACGACGGTAACCTTATTTGTTAAAAGTTATTTCGAAACAACAATCGTATCTTTCTAAGATATTTTCTGTATAATGATGTTAACTACAATAGATAAAATTGAGAATGAAAATGGGGAATGTGTCAAAGAGACAACAACCCGACCATAGAACAGACAACAGCAGAAGGTCACCAACAGGTCTTCAATGCAGCGAGAAACTCCCGCACCCGGAGGCGTCCTTCAGCTGGCCCCTAAACAAATATATATACTAGTTCAGTGATAATGAACGCCATACTAAACTCCAAATTGTACACACGAAACTAAAATTAAAAATAATACAAGACTAACAAAGGCTAGAGGCTCCTGACTTGGGACAGGCGCAAAAATGCGGCGGGGTTAAACATGTTTATGAGATCTCAACCCTCCCCCTATACCTCTAGCCAATGTAGAAAAGTAAACGCATAACAATACGCACATTAAAATTCAGTTCAAGAGAAGTCCGACATGTATGCTAATGTATTTTATCTTTTTTGTTAATTATCAATCGAAATATAATGTAATAACATTAGAACATTTTTAAAATTTTATTGACAAAATGTTAATCTTTGATGAATATTGAGAGAAAAAGTTTCAAATAGGCAAGTGCATACAGAAACGAAAGCTCTTTCGATATACCAACTTTTAGAGCGTTCCGCATTGCCTAAGTATATTTCCCGAAATCTATTTATATTCCATAACTGAGTTTCCGAGCATGTCATTATCACGGGAATTTCCAATATGAAATATTGCCTTTATGTGAATATAGAGATGTAAAAGTTGTATCTGTTGAGGATAAAAATCAAAAGAAAATGTGTTTTCCGCGGATTTATTACCCGATAAACGATATAACTATGTTCTTAACCAGTTTAAAAAAAGGTCGTCTGGATTTTGGTTCATTGAATGCGCTATATTTTCGAAATATTTGCATCAAATATTACATCGGAATAAAGTCCGTTTGAATATTTCTAGTCACATAAATTATGGGTGTGAATAATAAATAGTAATCGATTTTCTTGATAATTTTTTATTGAACCTTACTTGATTAGTTGACTATTTTACAGTTGATTGACATGTTCTAGTGACATATACAGTTATTTAGAAAAATTGACATTGCTACGTCACGAGATTATCTCACAGTAAATGTTGCACTAAATTTACTCTTAAGACTTATAGCTTACTGTCCTAATCGCTTGCTATATTAACCCTTACCATGCGGGTGCCGTAATATTACGGTCATACCCAAAATACCATTATTTGGCTCCAGTGGCTCTCCATACTTATAGAGGTAACCATTATGACATTAATTTCAAAAATTATGCATGTTACCTCAACCTTACGCTATTTATTGTCATGTTTCTCTGCTTTAATGTTCATTTCGAGCTCAAATACGAACTTCAAAAGTGGGTTTTTTGGAGGGTAGGCTTGCCTTCGATGTCTGACACACGAAGTTCAAAGGCCTAAAACTTCCAAAAACAGTGTAAACCCGCGGACATATAACTACTGATCGTGTTTATTATTGAAATGTGTCTAGGAAACGACTACTGCCGGTTGCTGGTCCAGTTGAAGTAAAAAAATCGGAAAATTCCGTATTTTTGGTGCAAATGACCTTCTATAGACTGCTGTACCTAGTCCAGCTCACTCCGACCTAAGAACTATTGTGATTAATATCCATGCTCTTCAACTTCGTACTTTATTTGGCCTTTTTAACATTTGTTTGATTCGAGCGTCACTGATGAGTCTTTTGTAGACGAAACGCGCGTCTGGCGTAAATATAAATTTCAATCCTGGTATCTATGATTAGTTTATTCACAACCACTGGGTCGATGCAACTGCTGGTGGAGTTTCAATTCCCCTAGGGTATCACCAGCCCAGTAGTCAGCACTTCTGTGTTGACTTGAGTTATCATTGATATGCTCATAATTATAAATTAACTGTTAACAAAACTTTGAATTTTTGAAATACTAAGGTTTTTCTACCACAAGGAGTAGATAACCTTTGCTGTATTTGGCGAAACTTTTAGGAATTTTTTGTCCTCAATGCTCTTCAACTTCGTACTTTATTTGGCCTTTTTAACATTTTTTTTATTAGAGCGTCACTGATGAGTCTTTTGTAGACGAAACGCGCGTCTGGCGTAAACATAAATTTTCAATCCTGGTATCTATGATTAGTTTATTCACAACCACTGGGTCGATGCAACTGCTGGTGGAGTTTCAATTCCCCTAGGGTTTATGTTCACTATGCTCCACTCTTCATGCAGACTACAGTTAGATACATCTATCAGCATCCCTTGGTCTTCCAGGTCAAGAAATAGGACAAAAAATCGTCATAATTGACGCTTTTTGCACCTGATGTCCAACTTTAGGGTAAATTCCCGCGCACTCAACCCCACATCCTCACCCCCAATCACCCCGCCCCGTGATCCCCTATCTTAGCTTTAATGGAATCAATTTGCATCAGCAGCAGAGTACAGCTCATTTGGATGTAATATGCATATTTTTGCAAATAAACGAAAATTAGACATTTACTGGAGATTATTTAGCATGGTAAGGGTTAAGATGAAAATTATAACATAATCAGGAAGTATTTTGTTTTGATGTAATTTTGTTTTCACTTTTACTTTATTTACCGGAACGTTGTGGGGTCTTATAAACATTAGCTTCCTCATAGAAAGTGTAAAATATCGATGAGTTTCAGTCTCTTAGTGTTGCAGAGAAAGTAACGTGTTGCCACACGATCGTACTGCATTACTAAAATTGATAAACACATTTGGATTGTGGACTGTAGTAATATTATTACAAATGAGATATCACATTCTTATTCTAACTCTTATGTTGATCCCTCAGTTTTTGTATGTTACCTTGATTTGTCTCTTTTCAATATATTTACGTGATTTGACCATCGGCAAACAACTGTCGACTTTATTTATTAGATTATAATATTTTCGTACCCTAACCATTACATAATCTCTATTTCTTTAATTTTTGTGCTATTTTTTCATTTCTTGATCGGTGTGAGAAACATATTTCTCCTCACTAGTGAAAAATCTGTTCTCGGCAAATGATTGGTCAAAATTTAATTGTGACGTCAAATTTTCTTGGTTTCTTCTGAATTTTCGTATTGTGACGTCATGAAAAAAGGCGACCATGCCTGACGACGTCACATAAAAAATACACATCTTTCTTCAAATCTTTGAAAAGGAAGGATAAAAATCATTAGAGAAACAGATTCCACCACTACAACTCGTGTATTACGATATTTCTCCTCTCTCAACAGTTACATTTTAATTATTTAAAAAGCTCGGCAAGCCTCGCGCTTTAAATATTAAAATTTAACTGTCTCGAGTGGAGAAATATCGTAACACACTCGTTGCAGTTGTGGAATCTATATTTCATACCCATACACAACTTTCTCGTTTCCTTTTTATTTCGTAACATATGGGAGATTAATATGTGTGTAATTTCGTATCATATGGATTTTTACAGTATTTAATTCAGTGTTGGCTGTAGTAACTGCTCTTGTGTTGGTTGAGCCCGTAAATATAAAAGAAAGACAAATTTATTCTTGTGGGTATTTAAAACTGGAATAAGATATTGTCTATATCGGTACTAAAATTAATTTCATTCTTCATGAAACAAATTACAACTATAAGATTGATAATTGAAATGGGGAATGTGTCAAAGAGACAACAACCTGCACAAAGAGTAAAAAACAGCTGAAGGCCATCAATGGGTCTTCAACACAGCGAGAAAATCCCGCACCAGGTAGTGGACTGCAGCTGTCAGTTAAATATGTATTTCGATAGAAAACATACTGTTGTAAAGACTTATAACAGTTTTCTTTCGATAGTAATATTTTAAAACACGCTTTTCTATAAATATCTTGTAAGTCTTTATGTAGGATTTAATTTCGAATGAATTTCATAGATTGTGTGTACAGATTGGTTAGTTCCTCTGAATGAACATCAGAAAAATATATACTAGTTAGGAAGTACATATTCAATTACCCAACCTCACCATGAATTTACGATATTGTAGAGTTTTCAGTTCCAATCATGATTTCCTCGGAATATGCACGGACGCTATTGAACCATGAGTTTGAAGTGATGAAGATGAAGTTATTCTAAATGGACGCCATCACGATAGGTTGACCGTTATTGAATATCTGTTTCGTTTCACAGATGACGACGGATACGTTTTAATTGTAGTAACAGTAACCTCAATTCTGTCCGTATTTTTCTTCTTTTAATAATTCTTGTTTTCTACGTAGTGTTTTGTGTACAGTTGTTTGTCTTATCATTTAATGGCATTGTCAGTTTGTTTTCGATCTATGAGTTTAAATATACCTTTGGTGTCTTTTGCCTTTTTTGTACCATGAGAAAATCTACATTCATCCAAATAACGCTGAAAGGGTAACCTTTTAATCAGAAAAAAATTGTAAGTTCTCGTGACGGGACATGCTGAATATTCAAATGTCGTTTCGAAAATAACATATCAATATCTCAACATTTTTGTAAGATTTGTTTTGATTAACTTGATAGTGCTTGTATGTAGTGCTGTGTTGAAAGCCGTTTTTATAAATGGCATGATGGTGTGTGTCTTTCGTCAATTTCTTCAAATCGCAAAGCTGATCCCTACTCTAATTAAAAAAAGACGTTAATATCAAAACAAAATTTATTCAATAGTTTTAAGTTTAAATAATTTTTGGATTAAGCCATTTAATGTTTACAAAATTCTACACCTATTTGTACCCTTGTTATCCTACCAAATAACACTAGACGCACTGATTTAACTGTAAAAGTATATAAAAATCTTTGAAGCCAAAAATTGCAAGAGAAGATTACCTTGTGCTGGTGATTGGGACTGAAATTCATGTTTTGCAATATACATTTTAAAGATTTCGGTTAACTACATTCATGTTTAATGTATCGATTTCGATGATTTATTTTCTTAATCACGTGTGCTGTTATTTACCTCAGATATGGTAAACATGGATACATATTGTTTCACTTCCTTAATTCGTACAATTAAAATTTTAAAAATAAATTTTAAACACAGGTACCTAACATAATGCCATTGCACAATAAAGACTTGTTTACTTTTGTATGACTTTAGTTTTGACAAAACGCTATATCTAAATATATACTTACAATTTATTTGTTATAAGTAAATCATTGCATCAGGTATACCTTGAAAAGTTACTGGATTATAAGAATGGATTTTATAACAAGGACTTTGTGGTGGATTGTACTTTACTCTTTGAAAATTGGTAAGTTTTTCCTAACTCCAATCCTATAATGTATGTTCAGAAATGACTCATTCGTACCAATGCAAATCTTTTCAGACATCACTACAGTAAAATTGACTAAAGTTATACTATGTTCATGATGTAACAGAATTGAATTAACTTAATTAAAATTTAATCCTATGATATGAAGTTTAGCAACTTCTAGGTGTTCACTAGTACTGTGATTTGAAGGTTTGTAACTTCTAGCTGTTCACTAGTGCTATGATATGAAGGTTAGCAACTTTTAGCTGTTCACTTGTGATATGATATGAAGGTTAGCAACTTTTAGCTGTTCACTTGTGATATGATATGAAGGTTAGCAACTGTTAGCTGTTCACTTGTGATATGATATGAAGGTTAGCAACTTTTAGCTGTTCACTTGTATTATGATATGAATGGTAGCAAGTTCTAGCTGTTCACTAGTGCTATGATATAAAGCTTTGCAACTGTTAGCCGTTCACTTGTGATATGATTTGAAGGTTGGCAACTTCTAGCTATTCACTAGTGCTATGATATGAAGGTTTGCAACTTCTAGCTGTCTACTAATAGCAATTTGCCTACCATATATATTTTACACAAACTTCAAGAAAATTATAATAAATTAAATAAATCTGAGTTGGGCTTTTTATGATTGAAAAATTCGTTTCTGGAAAAAGAATATATATATATATCTTGAAGTCCTTGATTGATGTTTTCTACAAAATAAAACCAAAGATGACTCAACCACAACATAAACAATTAAGATAGTAGTAATAATAATTACATAAGAAATAAACCTTGAAAATAGATTTCTAGACTCGATGATGGCCACAAAATATTCTAACAGTCAGCTAAAAAATACACTTTTACTTTCGTTATTATAAATCATTTTTCGAAAACTCTCTGATCAGTTCTGAAAACGTTTTACATTGACGATTAATCCATTGTTCATTAAAATTATTGTTAACTTGAAATATGAATACAAATTTTTTGCGCCGTTAAATTTATAACCTGTTGAAGCATAACGATGGCATCATTTAAAATCTATTATATTGTGTAAAGAAGTTATTGTGTATCGTCCTCAAATTAACAATATGGTATTCATGTGGTATTTACTATCCTTGAGATAATACACTATTGTTAAATACCAACTACATATATAACTATTGGACTTCCTATGTTAAGAAAATACACTATTGTAGGATTCCAACTACATGTATCAATACTAGACTTGCTATTTTTTTAAATTACCTTATTGTTTAACATGACCTTTTTGAAAAGTAAAATCACAAAAATACTGAACTCCGAGGAAAATTCAAAACGGAAAGTCCCTAAACAAATGGCAAAATCAAAAGCTCAAATACATTAAACGAATGGATAACAACTGTCATATTCATATAAAACATTACAACAAAATATCCAGCTCCAATGTCAATTCAAAAAGGTAAGTTCATTAAAACTGTCAAGATCAGACGTTATCAATCAACGGAACGTGTGAAAAACAGCTGTCATATTCCTGACTTGGTAAAGGCATTTTCTGGTATGTAGGAAATGGTGGATTAAACCTAGTTTTATAGGCAGCTAAACCTCTCACTTGTATGACAGTCATATTGTGGAGTTTAGTTTGTCTTTTCGTCGTTTTTTATTTTTAACCTTGACAATGTCAGTTTGTTTATTTTTAACCTTGACAATGTCAGTTTGTTTATTTTTAACATTGACAATGTCAGTTTGTTTATTGAACGTGCTGCAGTCGAGTGCTCTATATCTGGAAATCTGAAAATAGAAAATGAAGGGTTCTATTATAAATTGCAGAATATAACAGAGAAATCTAATGTAAAAAGTAAAATCACAAAAATACTGAACTCCGAGGAAAATTCAAAAAGGAAAGTCCCTTATCAAATGGCAATATCAAAAGCTCAAACACATTAAACGAATGGATAACAACTGTCATATTCATATAAAACAGTATAACAAAATATCCAGCTCCAATGTCAATTCAAAAAGGTAAGTTCATTTAAACTGCCAAGATCAGACGTTATCAATCAACGGAACGTGTGAAAAATAGCTGTCATATTCCTGACTTGTTAGAAGCATTTTCGGAAGAAACTGGTGGGTCAAACCTGGTTTCATAGCTATCTTGTACGTCAGTTGTTTATAGTTTATAGGAAAGATGTTTAACCTTTAAACATGTAAAACAAGTTTTTTAAACTTAAAAGGTTTTGTGTCTGTGCATGTCACATATTTTATCGGTTACTTGAGAAGGTTATGCTCCAATGGTTCACCATTAAAACAAACATTATTGAATTGATTTCTCTTTGAATTTATAATTTCATTTGCTATATTTAACAAATGTTTAGGGGTAAAATTAAGATTCAACAAAATCATTGTGATACATGTGACATATAACAAAATTTAACATCGTCTGGGCATTTGAAGATGTGAGTTCAAGCAAACAAGATTTGAATTATCACATCACACACATCACACACATCACAACCATCACACACATAACACACATCTCACACATTGAAATATCACATCACACACTATCCTTCAGTAATTATATAACGTTCAAATATAACGAACATGTCGAATGTTCAATACAATAAGATCTAAAATTGCTGTGTATTTTCTATAGTATACTGACGGACTTTAAAAACGCAACACATATTTTTTTTTCTTCATCAAATCATGACGTATATTCATTTCATTACTTATCATGCTTCCCTTACTCCTTTATGAATATAAAAATCAATACCGTAATTTCCTCAGACAATCAAATATCGAGGAATTTTGACGTTGCACGAATTTCGTGACGCGAAATTAGAAGCGCATACATGATTTTTTGAGAATTTGTCTACGTTAAACATTTCCTGATGCGAATTTGATGCGACTGTCATACAAGTGAGAGGTTTAGTGCTATAAAACCAGGTTTAATCCACCATTTTCTACATAAGAAAATGCCTGTACCAAGTCAGGAATATGACAGTTGTTGTCCATTCGTATCATGTGTTTGTGCTTTTGATTTTGCCATTTGATTAGAGACTTTCCGTTTTGAAATTTCCTCTGAGTTTAGTATTTTTGTGATTTAACTTTTTCCGTGAATCCATTGCCAAGTTTTAATCAGTAAAAAGTTGTTGATTTTCTTTTTTATCACGACTGAGAAAAAAAATCGAAATTAAGTTATTAGAAATTTACAGACAGAATTTAATGCACGTTCTTTTTAGAACAATTTCGCGCTATGAAATTACTTTTAAGTCCCTTAAACTTCAGAGCAGGTAGTCATAACTCGTAAGTGACCACCAATGGACCCGGTCAACCTTTAGTTTAACGTTACGTCATTTCAATCAAATTAGGCAACGTCATTTGCAACACAGTATAACGAGTACAACGTCAGTTTTTTTACCGTTAGATGTCATGGCAGGCAGATTTACATCAGCAATGTTTCTCGTATGCTGAAATGCCACATAATCCACTTTAGTATTGTTTATAAAGGTTTCAATGTTTACCACATTACTGCAATAACAGACTGAAATGGGTGGAAATGGACAAAATCAGAAGGGGGAAAACTTGACTAAAAACATTACCAACAGTATTGGTTAACCTCTCTGTCAATCATTTAGGGATTTTTAACAGCTGTCTTTGCAATTGACGATTGACACGACCAATAATTAAGAGAAAAACAGGATTTTTGTGCATACCACATGATTTAAACGTTAAGCGTGACGTAATTAATTTAACTTAACAGTATCATATAATAATAAAAATACTGTGAAAGAACCTTACATTGATAATTATGTCAATTGACAACTTCTAAAAATGAATCGTCGAGGTCTTTAACATATGCAAAATGTCAACTAGCTTAAACTTCTTTTTATATCTGTTTAAATATTTTTTGGAATGAATAATGAATTCTGAGAAATGATTGAATATTTAGTAACATGTTAGTTGTAGTCAAGGCATTGAAATGAAAACAAACACAAACCAGGAAGTTCGACAGTGAGAAGGTAAAAGGTCATGCATTATAACTCAATGCATAACATTTCTAATTATTTACTTCCCGAATGCGTTTCACCTATAATATCAGTTATTATGTATACGTATACATATAATTAGACATTAACTGTTTACAAAACCTTGAATTTATCGAAACACTACTACTAAAGATGTTCTACCCCAGGAATACACTACCTATAAAATTGAGAATGGAAATGGGGAATGTGTCAAAGAGACAACAACCCGACCATAGAACAGACAACAGCAGAAGGTCACCAATAGGTATTCAATGCAGAGATGCTGTATTTGGCAAAACCTTTATGGAACTTTGGGTCTTGAATGTTTTTCAAAACTGCGTACTTTATTTGTCCATTTAAAAAAAGTTTAGATTCGAGCGTCACTGGTGAATCTTTTGTGGGCAATAACTCGCGTCTGGCTTACACAATTAAATCCTGGTATTTATGATGAGTTTATATAATAATTATCAGAATATTACACAATTGACAAATGGTGTCTCACAATTTGTTTTTTTTATTAAATTGAAAATTAAAAATGGGGAATTTGTCAAAGAGACAACAACCCGACCAAAGAGTAGATAACAGCCGAAAGCCACCAATGGGTCTTCAGTACAGCGAGAAAAACTCGCACCGGAGGCGTGCTTCAGCTGGTCCCTAAACAAAAATATGTACTAGTACAGTTATAATGGACGTCATACTAAACTCCGAATTATATAAAAGAAACTACAATTAAAAATTATACAAGACTTACAAAGGCCAGAGGCTCCTGATTTGGGACAGGCGCAAAAATGCGGCGGGGTTAAACATGTTTTTGAGATCTCAACCCTCCTATGCATTAAATACTTTCCTTTCTGTGGAAAAAAAATATCAGGAATAATTTCTATAAAGCCCTAAAATGACACCTATTCCTAGGTACAATTTCTAATTAGGATTTATTGAACAATATTACATTGAATGGAAGCTAAAACAATGACTAGATAGAAATACAACTATTTGTTGAAAATTTACGTATAAGGGTACTTTAAATGACATTACATAAAGCACACCTATTGATTTTCCATTACATTCAATGAAAATAGGTCAATTTACATACGTTTTAATGTCTGGAAGTATAAAGCGCATGCTTCGCAGATAAGATCCTATATAACTTGTTTGTCATAAGATTTTACATATCTAACTTGAAAATTTAGTTTGTCGAAGGCTGCGCTCTGTATTCTGAATTTCCTTGGTCTTGATTTAATTGAAATGCAAACGTTTTTCAACGAAATCTCTACTTACGATCCATTTATGTTGTATTAGTTTATGCTTTATAAGAAAAGCTGTACATATATAGTTCTATTTCATTTTCTAACGGAACTTTTCACCATATTGGAACATTTGTTTATCTTGAAACAATGGACCTAATATGGCCCTTGCCGAACTTACTATAGTTGTTTGTTTTTATAGTGATTAAGATTATAACATAATGTTGACTGCTGTACCCTAATTTTTGACTTTTATACTATTGTTTTGGTTTGTTTGTGTTGCTCACGAGTTGTCAATATAATGGAATTATATGCGACTGTTATACACGTGATAGGTTGACCTAGTCATAAAATCAGGTTCAATCAACCATGTTCTACTTAAGGAAATTCCTTTACCAAGTCATGAATATGACAGTTGTTTTCTATTCGTTTTATGTGTTGAAGCTTCGATTTTTCCATTCGATCATTGTTTTCAAAGGTATTAGGCTTATAATTTGATACGCCAGACGCGCGTTCCGTCTTCACAAGACTCATCAGTGACGCTCAGATCAAAATAGTTAGAAAGCCAAACAAGTATAAAGTTGAAGAGCATTGAGGACTCAAAATTCCAAAAAGTTGTGCCAAACACTAACGTAATCTATGCCTGGGATAAGAAAAACCTTAGTATTTTGAATAATAGACTTTATTTTTATACTTCGTTCTTATGTTATACTGTTACACCACTTTCCCAGGTTAGGGGGAGGGTTGGGATCCCGCTAACATGTTTAACCCCGCCACATTCTGTATGTATGTGCCTGTCCCAAGTCAGGAGCCTGTAATTTAGTGGTTGTCGTTTGTTGATGTAATACTTATTTGTTGTTCCTTCATTTTTTGTACATAAATAAGGCCGTTAGTTTTCTCGTTTGAATTGTTTTACATTTGTCATTTCGGGGCCTTTTATAGCTGACATTGCGGTATGGGCTTTGCTCATTGTTTAAGGCCGTACGGTGACCTATAGATGTTAATTTTTGTGTCATTTGGTCTCTTGTTAAGAGTTGTCTCATTGGCTATCATACCACATCTTCTTTTTTATATTTAAGTTTATAATTTTCATATTTGTTTGTTATTTTACTAAAATGTATAGACATTTTTGTTTTTGATACATACAATTATAACTTTTTTACGTGATGATGTACACGGTTTCAATAATCAGCTTCCAAGAAAGAAGGCTGAAATATTAGATCTAATCTAAAAGTATTACAATGTTTATGATGTTATTTCGATATTTTGACCAAGAACTTTGTTAATGGCAGTTGTTATCTTATAGTTCGTTTCTGTGTGTGTTGCATTGTCGTTGTTTCTTTGTTACACTTCAGTGCTTCTGTTGTTTCGTTGTTTTCCTCTTATAGTTAATGTGTTTCCCTCGGTTTAAGTTTGTAACCCGGATTTGTTTTCTCTCAATCGATTTATGACTTTCGAACAGCGGTATACTACTGTTGCCTTTATAAATTATATGCGACTGTCATACAAATGAGAGGTTTAGCTAGCTATAAGACCAGGTGTAATCCACACTTTTCTACATAAGGACATGCGTATCATGAAAGCTGTTGGAGCAAAATTATTTTCATTAACCTGTGTACATTATTCTATTTGGCGGCATTTTGTTTAAGGTTATGGTTAACTTTCTGAAATTGTTTAACATCTCACCCCTTATTTTATTGATTTTGTAATTACATTATGTCATATATCAAATTCATTCGTTCAGTGTATATTCACTTGTGTTAATATGTTTTTTGATTGAGTCAAGCCATTTCAATTGATTTTTTATAGTGTGTCTTTCTATGTTATGATGTTACACTATTGTTTCAGGTAAGGGTGAATGTTGGTACCTATTAAAACGTTTAAACCCGCTGCATTTGTTTGCACCTGTCCAAAATCAGGAACCTGATGTTCAGTGGTTGTCGTTTGTTGTTGATGTGGTTCATAAATATTTCTCGTTTCTCTTTTTTTTTTATATAGATTAGATCGTTGGTTACCCCGTTTGAATGGTTTTACATTAGTCATTTTGGGGGCCCTTTATAGCTTGCTATTCGGTGTGAGCCAAGGCTCCGTGTTGAAGACCGTACTTTGACTTATAATGGTTTACTTTAACAAATTGTGACTTGGATGGAGAATTGTCTCATTGGCACTCATACCACATCTTCTTTTGTCTATTGAACCATGTCAGGAATATGACAGTTTTTTTTTGTGTTTTTTTTTTTAGATACCTATTATAATACATTTCCGCTTGTAATACATGAAATTATACCTTTTTTACGTGATGATGTACAGGGTTCGAATCAACAGCTTCCTCTATATATTAACTTCTGAACATTATGGCAATGTTATTTCGTTATTTTGACCAAATAAGAACTATATCATCGATATGATATGATGATTGTGACATTATGCTATTCTTTCTGATTGTTTCTGACTGACTTTGATTTGTATTTTTAGTTTTTTTTATAAGATTTAAAACTATTGCCTATATTTGCAGATAATTTCTCAATTTTCTTCAAAACTGTTGAATCTATGCAGAGCAAAGTTTGATGTTATTCGCGGTTTTAGATCTAAAGGACTATCATTTCAATTGTTCGCACATAAAAACGAAAATAATGTCATATCATTAGTTCAATTACAATAGCTAACGGTGAATTTTTAGAAGGAAGATGGTGTATTATTTTTATGAAATTAGAAATACAACTTCAATATGGTGTAAAATCTCACCCTAAATAGAAGTTTAAGTTGGTCACTAGCACATATTGCAATGTTTGGTAATATCAACTTATTTCAGAAAATAACAAGTGAAGAAGTCTAAAAAATACAATTGTATTTATTTCAAAAATTCTTCCTTTATGGCATAATATATGTGAACTGTTTCAATTGAACTAAATCCACTTTTTGGGGTATAAAATATTTAAAAAGGCAGTAGACATTTGAAACTGATATATAGTCAATAGTATATATTAGTTAAAGATTAAAAAGATTACATTTTATTAATTTTGCTATGTATGTACTCGCATTTAAACATGTTATTAAGTGCAGTTTATTGACAAAAGTTTCTTTATTATAAGTACATGAGATAAAGTTTAAATATATATTTGTTCACACTACATTTGTGTTAACTGTTGTGTCGAAACGACAAGATTTTTCCAAATTTATTGTAATATCTAGTTTTCTTAATATCATGGATTTTAAAGTGAAAATGTATTTGTGGATCTTATTTATGATTTTTAAATTTGGTGAGAATTGTTTTTAGTTAATTCGAATAGTATTTTCAAAACGTTAGCTTAAGCAATTGTCTTAATTTATTAATTAAGAATGCCACGAGTTTTACGCCTATTCATATCTACCAACTTTGTATAAAAGTTTTTCCCAGCATACCAATTGAAGTCATTAGATAGAAGATTGTATGATAAAAAGCCATATAAATTAAAAAAAGTAAAGATTATTGAATCTTTTTTAGTTCAATTAACTTCTTTAATGAACGAACTAAATAATGTTATATATTAACTTTGGTCATCGTGCAATGTAAGGAAGCAAACATTAGCATATTTCAGTTTTATCTTACATGGCTATTAAACACTAAATTTGTGTACAGTTAAAAATACAGCGATACAACATTCGTAAAAATTATTTCTCACATCTTGCAGAGAAATCATTTTTTTTTCCATTTGTATGTAAATGCGAAAAGAATTACAACCTGATACAAATGAGAGGGGAAAGAAAAAATGTCATAACTTCTATCGGAAACATGTTGATTCATGTCTTTAAAATTAATAAACGAGATTTGGAAATCTGTAAACTACTGTCGACTTTAAATTTAAACAATTTTAATGTAAACATCAGAAGGAAGAGAAATGTAAGACGTATATGTTGCTTTTCTATTTTATCATTCACAATGCAAGGTTGTGATTATTGGCATATCTTGTATCGAATGTCATGTAAAAATTGTTAAAAAGGTAAATTGCACGTCCATTTCTGGGACTAAAAAAACGTCAATAAACTTCAATACCCGTAAAGTGTTTTTTTGGTTTAATTCATCCGATAGAGTAGTGAACAATGAAGTAGTGATGTGATACAGAAACTCCACTGATTTCAGAATGGAATGATATATCTGTGTACATGTAAGGCTGTACGAAGTTATTAATCTTAACAATACATCATCTTACAATATGCAAATACAATTTCTGTAATTATCAGTTGAAATTTATCCCTTTTCCGAAGATTGACACATCCTGTAGCGAGCAAAAATATGAACATTATAAAATAGGTCACATATTGTAATGGTGAAAGAATGTGTCGACTAATAGTTTTCCTTTGGTGAAAAAAAAAATACAGAATATTTAGCTAGCTATAAAACCAGGTTTAATCCACCATTTTCTACATAAGAAAATGCCTGTACCAAGTCAGGAATATGACAGTTGTTATCCATTCGTTTGATGTGTTCGAGCTTTTGATTTTGCCATTTGATTAGGGACTTTCCGTTTTGAATTTTTCTCGGAGTTCAGTATTTTTGTGATTTTACTATTTATTGTTTAAATACGTCATGAAAAAAAAAACATTTTATATTTTTTATGGTTTCAGCAAAAATATAAGCTGCAGCAATAAAAGAAGGTAAAACATTTACATCTTAAACTTTTGACAATGTTCATTGGTTTTTTCCCAGAAAATTAAATTATTGTCAATAATCCTAACTTTTACTGGTCCAGTACCAGTTCCGTTAGCAATTCGCAGTTTTTCTCAAATATTTTTAAACAAGAGTTCCGTTTGAACTTTTTCTTAACCATATAACGGGTTGCCAAAAATTATTTCTACCACCATAGACTCGGACTTCAATTCCTTTTATAACTTAGGTAATGCATGGTACGATTGTGGCAATTTTTGTGTGAAACCGTTTTGAGTACGAGGACCAGCTACCGTTACTTCAGAATCCAGTTACTAAATAGTAGAAAGTTTTGCTCAATCTGAACTTTTGTTTCATATTTTGTTAATTTATGGTTAGAAAAATGTAGGGTGTCAAGTAAACTATCATATTGTCCTTCTGTCCAAAATTCCAAATCTTTTCTAACTCTCTCTAAATCTTGACCACATTAAAAAAGAGGGGCAAAAGATACCAGAGGGACAGTCAAACTCATAAATCGAAAATAAACTGACAAATCCATGGCTAAAAAAGAAAAAGACAAACAGACAAATAATAGTACACAAGACACAACATAGAAAACTAAAGACTAAGCAACAACGAACCCCACCAAAAACTGGGGGTGAGAATTTAAAATACTTTAAACCAACAACTAACACTGTATTCAATAAAAGCAAAAACATAAATTTTTGAATTAATAAATCATTTTTAAATCTTATAAAAAAGCATTGTTTGTTCTAAAGTAAGCTTTGATATCAGTTTGTATGAAAACGGTACGTTTTTTCTACAATCGAGGACGTCATTTAATGATGAAGTCATGTTACCGCACGCGTATCTTCAACAAACGTGTTAAAAAAATTGAAAACTCAGAATTTCGTGTTTTAATCTGATCAAACAAAACAAATTTTTTAACAATTAAATGAAAGTTATAGTGTAGATAATAGCAGTACGTCATATTTACGTAAAGCGTCTATTATTGTATAGAATTTCAGGTGACAGTAACTGGTAACTGACGGTAACTGGTTCGCAACCAGTATAGAACAAAAATCGAAAAACAATCATATACACTTTGAATGGTAATAACGCAGGGTGTAATAGGTGGTCAGGGGTGTAATGTAATAATTCAATTATTAAAAAGGGTTGATCTTCAACGCAAATACACAGTAAGACCTTCAATAAAATGTCAGTTCTCCGTCTTAAATTTCTATTGTTAAAAACTTGTTGCGGATTTCTTTATAAAATTGTGAATGGAATTGTCTGATTCTGGTACATAACAATTGTACACTAAGGAATTAGCCGGATAATATTAACAAATTACATTATATAACGGGCATAGAATCTAATAAATATTACAACAATGTATTGTAAAGATATCGTTTATCTTGTACAAAATCCTTTTATTCGATGTAAAAGACATGATAAATAATAGACATTTAAATCTTAAAGGCTGACTGTAAACTATAAATGTACAAACATGTACAAAAAGATAAAGATTTATTCATTTTGCTTTGTATGATCTAATATTTAAATTGAGAACCAAGCATTTCATGTTTTTCTCTATTTTTGGATCCATTGTGTTGATGTCGTATATAGAAAAGACAACACAGAGTCCAAAACCCAGAAAGCAATACAACACTGTCACACCCCTAGAAATGATTGATTGATTGATTGTTGGTGTTTTAACGCCACTTTTAAGCGCCACTTTTCGGCTATTTCGTGGCGGTCAGTTTTTATTGGTGGAGGAAGCCGGAGTGCCCGGAGAAAACCACCGACCGTCGATAGGGAAACTGACAACCCTAGTCAATTAAGATTGGAGTCGAGTGCACCCACACGAGCGGGGTTCGAACTCACAACCTCAGTGTTGACTGGCTAGTGATTACAGTAGTAACTACTTAGACCACTCGGCCACCGCGGCCCCCTAGAAATGATAGGTGCATGTAGAAGAATATCGAAAAGGTTGAAACATTAGAGCCAGGTTTTATCCCTTATTATCCGGTTAACTTTACATGCCACATAAAGTAAATAAATTAAAATGACAAAAATTCTTTGCGACAATGCACGACCAATACTCGCCTTAGATGTACCAGTTATAATTATATAGGAAAATACCGAATTGAACGATAGCATTTCATAATGATAACTTTACTACCAATCACATATAGCAAATACATCAAAATATCAAAAATACATACAACAATACACTGCCAACATCTTAGAGATGCCAAAGTAGGTTACAGCATTCAATCTTATTCTCTTGTCTGTTATCTTGATATTTTTTTCAACTAATCACGCCAAATATAGTGAAGACAACAAAATGTTGAAATTCAGTCGACATTGCACGGCCTAGACATCTATGAAAAGACAAAGACATGCACTCTGATAATCATCATGACATGAATGTTTGACAATGCTTTAACTTAACCCGTAGAAGCTTGTATGTTTTATCTTAATTATCTATACAGATACTGCATCTGGTGGGCAATTCGTTCCAAAGAGCATTATCCGCCAATTAGTCTATGCTTAGTTCATTTGATATATTTTGTTTGTAAAAAGTATTAAAAAAATATACGGAACTCCAAAGCAAGTTCAAAAAGGGGGAAAGGCCATAAAACCTGACAAAATCAAACCCTCGCCGATAACAAACAACGGAACGAACGGAAAACTAGTAAAAACATTTTTCGAAGTTAATCCTGGTTTTTATGGATTGCTTAATATTCCACTTGTATGACAGTTGTCTAAATTTCATATTGAACATTTAGACCAACCTGCATCAGGAAGTTCAAAGACAAAAAAACAAAAGCTGAATGAACAAATACCGTGCCATGTCAACGATCATACGACCAAAAGGATAATTATAAAAAAAAATCAAATAAAAAGAACATTCAAAGAAATTGTAAAGGAGATAAATGATACACGACGTTAGCATCTATAATCTATAACTCTTCAGACCATCATGTATTATTTGTAAAGTAGACACTAAATATTTTATATCCTGGTACCCTTCGATGAACTTTCGAGAAAAATTACGAATAGTTCTTTGGCAAAACCCAGGCTATTTAATTTGTTTGCTTAAACACCATATGTAAATGTCAAAAACACAGAAAACTTTCGTTTGAGCAACACTTACTAATCTAAAACTAGATGTGAACTTAAATGTGTTTATGTTATTGTGCTACATCTAAGGTTTCAAATCCCTTTGACACATTTGAAATGTGTCTGTTCGCTAGGTGCACATTGAGTTTTATGCTTGTTTTTTCTCCTTATTTACTTTTATTCATTGGTGTTCGTGACAAATGCTATTCCAGTAATACGTGTTGCCCACACGGAAAAAGTCTTTTGATTTTTTAGTAATAATATTAATTTTAGTAATATGAAAATAGGACAACTTTTCAACAAAAGTGATTGAAAATTTGTGAATCTTAAGGGTGCAGGAGTTTTGAATAATAAATTACTGATAGTCATACATGTATCGTTAGTTCTGCCTTTATGTTCATAATCACAGTGCAGCATTAACATGTCAGGACAGGCGGTAACACCTCAGTGCAGGCAGCATTGATTCTTTTTCATCTTTTATCTCTTAACTTAATTATAAAGAATTAGGTATAATAAGAGCAATTAAGTACAAAAAATAGTAACATTATTCAAGCCTACCTGTTGATTTTATCTAAACATTTAAGTGCAGAAAGGTAACATGTGATGTTACTTTGACGTCATAAACATATTAAAATATACATATTTCCCCTAAGCTGTCCATTTCATGCATATTTTTTGGTCAAAATATATATGAGCAGCATCTTTAACCATAAAGATTTGTTACATTTATGTAGATCTTATTAAAATACATTGTGTAGCAAAATTTCTTTTTGAGTAAAGATATTGCTCTTATCTAAGTTTTAGAGACAAGATCTCAAAATGAGGCTTATTTGGTATTTTTTGCTGTTTTACTCTGTATGTAAGAAGTTTGAAGCCTAATCCGCAAAACAAATTTCAAAATTATGATATTGATGTCCGACTGACTAGCCAATGTCATATGAACATAATATATAAAGGATGTTATTTGGTAGATGTATACAATTTTTGATTTTCGAATTCAAGGGGCCAAAAATTGGCCTGTTTAACTTTTTATTTTTGTTATGTTTTCTAACATTTTTTTTAAATTTCAGGATTAGTTTCTTCGAGGTGTTGTTACACCTCTTCTACCTTGTACTGTTCCTATTGCTCTGGATCTTGTTATGGTTATCATGGAAATGAGTACTGTTGGTACTACTACTACGACTATTACGATTATTCAGCCCACATCGGATCGCTGTAAGATTTAAGACAGTTTTAACACACCATTTAAAGTGTTTATCTTATTAAAAACCTCCTCCTTATAGATTGGATACATTTATGTCGTTTGTAACTGTAAGCATTTGAAAGATGTATAACTTGTTTCCCTTCAAAAACAAAATTCTTTATGAACGCCCATACACCATGTCATCTTCGATTATTGGCAATATGTTCTTCAGCTCATTTAGAATCTGTCATTTCCACCTGCCTACCATTTTCTCTCAATTAATAGGATAGGCACTGAGAAATTTTAGGAAGTTATGTCATATATATGCCGACTTCCATCGTTCACATGTAGAAATAATTAACTGTACTTGACACTTAAATATATAGTAGTAATGAAAAAGATGAAAATGAATTGTAATCGCCAAAGCGTTTTTATCTGAATATGGCTTCATCAGGGACGGACAAAGACCCATATTTGAAAGCCAATAATGTTGTGGTATCGAACAACGTGAAGAGGTATATGTCGAAAGGATACATATAAATGATAACCAAATGCACCTACAGTCAACTTTCTCTGAGGGATTTGAACCGTATGTTTCTTAATATTTTTTGAAAAAATAAATGAACAATTTAAGGAAGACATGATCTAAATTATGTCAGTTCTGAACCGCTGACTGTTGAGGGGATGATATCATCAGGGAATAATAGTCCACCAGTATTGGTATCGATCCAGTACTATATATACATATAGATTCTTACATTGATATCAGTGGATTATCGGATTTATCCAATCTAGATAGTTAAATGATCAATTTTAAAGTCCGCGCCTCGGCGATAATTTATCTATTGAGATTGGATAAATCTGATAATCCTCGAGTACCTACATGTATGTAAGAATCTGTTTCTCTAATGATTAACAAATAAAGTTTCATCTTTTGATAAACGAAAATCCACTTCGAGCGCCTTCCACATTCCACAAAGTTGTCAATTTTATTAAAACCTGTTATCATATTTTGATTCATTCATTTAGCTGATAAAGGTGATGACCCTTAAACTCGTCCAATCATTTCGACTCATCTTCTGAGATCATCGGCAACCACTTGTTGATTGACTTTATTCATCGATGGGTTCGGAAAGAGTAAAATTGTCAAAGGAGTAGAGAAATTAAAATAGCAGTTTATGATCATTTCTTGATTCACCTTTTTCATGTAATTCATAGCCAAATGTAAAATCATTTCCACAAGGATTTATGTATTTACAACTGGTAAAAAAACTGAAGTAATCATTAAATAGACAGATTTAATTAAACAGTAATAATTAGATAGGAACTGAAAATACTCAATCTTCATACCCTGTACTTTTATCATTTTGAAACATCGGAAAAAATAACTTGGTTTTTCAAACTATTTCCTGTACCAAGTCAGGAATATGGCAATTGTTATCTAATAGTTCGTTTCTATATGTGTTGCATTGTCGTTTGTTTTTTGTTTCACTTCAGTGTTCTGTTGTTTCGTTGTTTTCCTCTTATAGTTGACGTGTTTCCCTCGGTTTTAGTTTGTAACCCGGATTTGTTTTTTCTTAATCGATTTATGACTTTTGAACAGCGATATACTACTGTTGCCTTTATTTTTTCGCTAAGACGCATTTTCAAAGGTTAAATTTTACTAATATTATGTTCAAATCTTCAGCTTAATTTGTATTTATAAAGTTTTTTAGTATATAGTTCATGCTCTATGGTCGGGTTGTTGTCTCTTTGACACATTCCCCATTTCCATTCTCAATTTTACTATTCACATTTTTGAAAAAAATATTCAAATTATTCAGTATTAAGTAAAATTGATTTCAAGTTTTTGACACTACAACAGGCCACACCAATCACCAACCCCGAACTCATACTTTCCGATCTAGACCATATTCCGCAAGATAAAGCACACAATAAAATATCTACATAGTGCAGCTACCAACATGATGACCACTAGCCAGAAGTGTGCAACATATGCACCTATAGGAATATCGACTGATATCCATTAAAATGTCCAGAATGTTTTATATTCAGTGTATTTTTGTTTGAATCAACGTGGTTCTTCACAAAGTAGGTTTATTTCTGACATATATGTAGATAAAACAAGGAATGTGTATCTACTATTACCATCTTTGTTTAAAAAAGCTTTGTCTATTAAAGATGGTAATCGGAGATACAAATCCCTTGTTCTATCAAAATATGTCATAAATCATCCTACGTTGTGAGGAACCACTTTGACCTGCAACAAAAATACACCGAACACGATTACCATATTTAAAAAAAAAATAGGGGGGGGGGGGGGGGGGCTCTGATTTCAAATAGTGCGACGGCTAATCAGCCAGCCGAGGTCGTTAAAAACCACAAGTTAATTAATAGGCTCTGTTAATTGTTAAATGAGACCATATACTCGATCATTTAAATGCATCAAGGAGAAAAGTAATATAAAGCGTAAGAAAATCAAAAAAGGTTGATACTACGGCAACATAGTGTAGATAGTGATATAATCTTTTGTTATTGTTTGTATTAAATGAGCATGTACAGACTGGCCATCATGATAGAACCCTGGAACGTTGATCTTATGTAACAAAACATATTGCAAATAAAAACAACAGTAGTATAACGTTGGTCGATAGTCATAAGTCGATTAAGCAAAAACAAATACAGATAAACAACTGAAACCGATATGGCATTGATATCGATATTTATTTCATTCAAACAAGTTACATGTATGCATAATTTGTGTTATATTTTAGATCAATTGGAGCGTTTGTTGGTTTGATAATTGGTTGCATAATTTTCTTCATATTTTTTGTATCCGTGACTGTGGCTATATGTAAATCTTGTACAAGATCTGCAGGTCAACATGGGCGAGTTGTCAATCCAACAGGCGGGGTTTCAGTTGTTCAAACAGGACAACAACAGGGTATGTAACATATTAAACCGCAAATAGTTTTATAAATAGTTTGATTGTGCTGAAACAACAAAAAATTAGAATGAAGATACCAAAGTGACCATCATAAATCATAAATGGAAGAAAAACTGATCATATCATTATTATCATGAAAATAAAAAAAAACGAACAAGAAAGATAAGACAAACAACAGTCTTCAACACATCACATATAAACCTGAAGACTATGCAACACGAAAGCACGGTGATCTAATGTCTCCAGTATGACAAACCGATCAGGCTCCACTTCTTGCATCCGTCATGTCACTTATGACAAGTGAAAGGTCTCAACATAAACATAATTCGATCAACAAAAAGTTTGCATTACGGTTTCAGAGGGCACTACATAGCCTAGGTATAATTTATTAAAAAAGTGGTACTTTATTATTTACTTTCAAATGTGTTCAATAACATTTGTAATGATAAATGGGGTAAAAATTCATCAAAAAGATGCGTAAAATAGATGTATTGTATATCCGCGATCCACCGAAACACACAACAATCAGACAAAAGAATTACAAAGAAGATACCAAATAGACATCCAAACTCAAGTCAAGGACAAACTGACAACGCCATATTAAAAAAAAACGACCAAAAGACAAACATACAACGTCATTTAAAAAAAAAAGATCAAAAGACAAAAATTTACAAAACACATCATAGAAAACTAAAGACTGGGCAACACTAAACCCACTGAAAACCTCAAAAACAACATGCAAGTCGCAACAATAAAAATGTGTCTTTACTCTTAGTTAATTAGCTCAAACAAAACATCATCGATTAAAAGCGTTGATATGTGGTTGTCCAAAGTCGGGATATGTTGAAATGTGTTTATAAGAATACAAGGAAAAAAATTTAAACGTCAAAATACTTTCTAAAACAATAGTTAAATGCTACATTTATATAGTTTACACAGATGAGTAGGATTTATATTATTGTTCTTGATTATGCTGTTGATCTTATACACAAAGTCATAGAAGTTTATTTTAGTCCCAATCTGGTCATGTCTTTTACACATCGTTGTCAATATAATGGAATTTGATGCGACTGTCATACAGGTGAGAGGTTTAGCTAGCTTTAAAACCAGGTTTAATCCACCATTTCTACATCAGAAAATGCCTGTACCAAGTCAGGAATATGACAGTTGTCCATTCGTTTGATGTGTTCGAACGTTTGATTTTGCCATTTGATTAGGGACTTTCCTTTTTGAATTTTCCTCGGAGTTCAGTAATTTTTGTGATTTTACTTTTTATCCGTTTTTTCACTTGGATTTATGTGTGTGTTTATTTGTTTATTTTTCATCTATGTGCATAATTAACATATGGACATTTTTTTTCTCTTTTAACAATTAAATATTATCAAATACTTTCATAAATAAGTGACATTTTCGCATTTTTAGGTGGACCTGGTGGTTACCACTATGGGCCCCCTCAGATGTATTCGAATGTTGGATATCATCATGGCTATCCTCCACCCCAACCAATGAATGTTTACGGACCACCACAACCACAACCAATGGCCGGACCACTTCCACCACCAACATATGCTGAATCCAGACCAGAGGTGAATCAGCCACCACCAGTATCGACGGCATTTGGTGGACAACCATCAACAAAGTGATTGCTCTTTCCAAATCTGAGTGATCTTCCTTTTATCGGATTCGACAATATCGGAATATTAATGCTTACTAATTCGCCTTTTCAGAAATCTAATACATTCTGGTTAATATTTCAAAAGCGTACACCAAAACGTTGTGATTGGTTTATTTAAGGAATAACTGTAATATTTTTTCTGTCTATGAAGAAATAACATCAAAAATGTGATGCACACTGAATAACCCGCGTAGCGGGTTATTTTAAAGTGTGCATCACATTTGTTATGTTATTTCGAATAGACAGATAAAATATTACAGTTATTTCTTATAATTTAATTCTAAATTCCATTTTAAACCGGAGTAAACAATGAAAAAACGTTGATGACGTCACGGTCACATGACTAAATTATGTCTATGAGCTGATAAACAAAACAACGTCAGCCAATCAGCAGACGCGTTACATCCAAAATTAAATTATAACGTCATAAACAATGAAATTCAACCAATGACATAACGTTGTTTTTATTTTTGTTTACTAACAATGAGATTACCCATAGTCTTTTAGATTGAAAAGGCGAATTCCCAACTATATTTATACAAAATGATGTTATTAAATTGAAGTATTGATTTGTTTGTGATTGAGTGTGTTTAAACAAACATTATACTATTTACTTTTAAATGGTTTGGAACGATTTCGTGTCCTGATATCTAATTTCCATGTCTTTTTCATCTTTATATACATCTTGCTTTCTTGTTGACTTTAATTTCGTATTTGTCAAAATTTATTCATAGTATACATGCATTTGATATTTATTGACTTTCTTCGCAAATTTATACATAAAACTTGTATATCATTAATTTGTTAGTTATTATCTTATATAACACAATTTTAAGAATACTGTAAATTCAGTAATATTTGCGTACGTACATTTATGTTTACAAAATTTTAACATTTGACAATATGCCATATTTGGTATTGCTTTTTTAATGTAGATAACAAGTAATATGTTGACCCTGAGGGAGTAAGTGTTGCTTAGTCTTTAGTTTTCTATGTTGTGTTTTAAGAACTTGTTTGACCTTTCGTCGTTTTTATTTTGTTTGCCATTACTATTTCTTGTCGAGTGATGAGTTTTAAATTTTCCATTCCGTCCCTTTTTCGCAAGTGATACTATTAAAATTTAAAATTTAAAAGCGAGTTGCTGTTTCTGCAATATCAACAACATCCCAAAACATTTCTGTATTAACAGTATTTAATGCAGCTTGGCTAGGAATTCTTGTATTCGTTATTGGTGTCCTTACATTGAGAACTCCCTCAGAAGTTTTATTCTTTGGCTGCACTACCGTTTTGAAAATAGATGACTTTCCACATGTACAAGACAGGATGAAAATTAATACTTTACAATATAACATACAACACCATATTTAGGAAAAAAGCGGTTAAAGTCATATAGTCATTAATCTTAAAGATATCAGTTATCAGAATGGTTTAATTTTAGACTTGAGTTATTTAATTAGCAAAGCAGTGAAATATATATTTTACACTTTATTGATCTACCAAGTTTGAACTAGAATGCTATTGGAGCAGGATCAGCTTGCCCCTCCGGAGAATCTGAGATCACCCTCAGTTTTTAGTGGGGTTCGTGTTGCTTAGTCTTTAGTTTTTTATGTTGTGTCTTGTGTACTATTATTTGTCTGTTTGTCTTTTCTTTTTTAGCCATGGGGTTGTCAGTTTATTTTCGATCTATGAGTTTGAATGTCCCTCTGGTATCTTTCGCCCCTATGTTATTAGTATATGTTCTTGCATTGAAATCTACTTACTAGTTATTTTCACTCTTGTTATTGGATATGTGCATTTCCTTTGTTGTAAATTTTTTATATTTACTATTGCAAAGCTTTATCTTTACTTTTTGAATTTGATATTACGTTGAAATAACCCTCCCTCCTCTTTCTAAATTCGTTCACTTTGTTTTAATTTAAAGTTCAATAGGCGGATGTTTGCCACAAATTTTCTTATATATTTATGTTTATGTATTATCACTTGTGTATTGATAAATATATATATCATTTTTTAATTATATTGTTTTTTTTTTGTAATATTGAAAAAAATAAAATATTTATGATAGGCAATACAAGTTATACCTATTGATCTCTTTTTATGTCACCCAGTTGATAGTTATAACATATTATGTCTTCGATATGAAACTGTCACAAAAAAGTGCGAAGATGATCCTTATGACCATGCAAAAACAACCAGGGGACCTTACCATTGTTCAAGGTCGAAAAGTTTTAATACAAAACAAAGATATTGTCTACCATCGAAATTTAATTGGAGAGTATGTTGCTCTGCTTTCTTAGCATATTGAAGAAATTGGTGTAAACGATAGCGAGAGAGATAAGAACCAATCTATGTAGTTTCAATACCTGTATAAAATGGTACACATGATCATACAAATGTATCTAATTTTGAAGATATTTAATGATTTGACCAAGGGGTTAGTATAACGTCTGTTGCTAAGATTAGAAATAAATGCTAAGTAATGCGCATCCAGCCTCTCTCAGTTTGGTGTTCATGAGATTCCCTCAAGTTTTGATAAAAAGTAGATTTTAGGTGCAACAAGTGAGTTTTTTTGCTTATTATTGTAGAAATTACATGTCAATACATTCCGCAATTCAAAATGTCGGCTTCCTTAGTTACAGACAAGGAGATAGAGAATTTTACGCTTACTGTCATCCAATCAGAAACATTGATACAAAATAATCCGTACCTTCTCAATCGATTTATGAGATTAAACATCATCTAGTGTTGCCTAAATTTGTTCGTACCAGTCGACAAAACGGCCAAAAATATGGTAAGGTATTAAGCAAACACTACACGAAAGTTCGATAATTGGAAAGGTTTTATTTAAACAAGGATACTCATTTGATGGACTGAATATTGTTCACAGTTTTTAATTTTTTTTATAATTTACGATTGTGTTTTTTCTACATTTAGGTCTTTCACTGTACGGACAGTCAAACAAAAGCAATTCATTGTACCAAACCTCAATTTCAGGATATTTGTAGACACATACTTCGTATTAGCTTTCATTGATTACAAGCGCAAGTCCTCATTGTTTGTGTTGAACATTTTCTATTTTTGTTGGGTTTGGGGTAAAAACTAATATTACAAAAAAAAAGCGAACTCAAAGGAAAATTCTAAACGGATTATATAGAAAAATCGAAAGCTCAAATATATCAAACGAAAGGACAAATGTCGTATTCCTGACTTGGTACAGCGAATTTTTCTTTGTAGAAAAAGGTGGAATAAACCTGGTTTAATAGCTAGCTAAACCTCTCACTTGTATGGCAGTCGATGAGACCCGACGATCCACGACTGTTCCCAGTGCTATAAATGTACTTCTTGTAGGCTGTGAGGTAAACGTCAATGAGACCCGTCGATACATTTCTGTCTCTGGTGCTATAATGTATTTCTTGTTGGCTGTAGGGTAAACGTCAATGAGACCCGACGATACATGTCTGTCTCTGGTGCTATAATGCATTTCTTGTTGGGTGTGAGGTAAACGTCAATGAGACCCGACGATCCACGACTGTCTCCAGTGCTGTAATATATTTCTTGTTGGGTGTGAGGTAAACGTCAACGAGACCCGACGATACACGTCTGTCTCCAGTGCTGTAATGTATTTCTTGTAAGTTGTGGGGTAAACGTCGATGAGACCCGACGATACACGTCTGTCTCCAGTGCTGTAATGTATTTCTTGTAAGTTGTGGGGTAAACGTCGATGAGACCCGACGATACATGTCTGTCTCCGGTGCTATAATGTATTTCTTGTTGGGTGTGAGGTAAACGTCAATGAGACCCGACGATACACGTCTGTCTCCATTGCTGTTATGTATTTCTTGTTGGGTGTAAGGTAAACGGCAATGCGATCAGACGATACACAACTGTCGCCACTAAGGTAATGTATTTCTTGTTGGGTGGGATGTAAACGTAAAAAAAATGAGACTCGACGATCCACGACCGTCTCCAGTGCTGTAATTTATTTCTTGTTGGGTGTGAGGTAAACGTCAATAGGAGCCGACGATACACGTCTGTCTCCAGTGGTGTAATGTATTTCCCTTTGGGTTTGAGGTAAACGTCAATGAGACCCGACGATACACGTCTGTCTCCAGTGCTGTAATGTATTTCTTGTTGTGTGTGAGGTAAACGTCAATGAAACCCGACGATACACGTCTGTTTCCAGTGCTATAATGGATTTCTTGTTGGGTGTGAGGTAAACGTCAATGAGACCCGACGATACACGTCTGTCTCCAGAGCTGTAATGTATTTCTTGTTTGGTGTGGGGTAAACGTCAATCAGACCCTACGATACACGTCTGTCTCCAGAGCTGTAATGTATTTCTTGTTGGGTGTGGGGTAAACGTCAATGAGACCAGACGATACACGTCTGTCTCCAGAGCTGTAATGTATTTCTTGTTGGGTGTGAGGTAAACGGCAATGAGATCCGACGATACCCGTCTGTCTCCAGAGCTGTAATGTATTTCTTGTTGGGTGTGAGGTAAACGTATTTCTTCTACCTAAGTATTTCTGTATTGTGACAATTAAAAGTGTGGGTGTAAAAAAATGGTCAATGATGTTATCATTTAAAAACAAGAAAAATTGTGTTACTGTTAAATGCTTGTAAATCGACTAATGTGTGTGAATGTCCGTTTTATATCTTTCGTCTCTCTTTGGTAATGTTTATGTACGTTGTATATATCACATTCTGCTTTTTACTGTATTATGATATAATAATTGTTAGTAGCAATCATATCATTCGAGTTTCAACGAATACATTTTTTTTCAATCTTCATCATTTCTGTAATACGAGTGTTACATTGTGGTATTTTTTTTTGTATGTACCTTTGTACAAGTAAATGTTATATATTTATTTATTTTACGTATTGAAAAATGAATACTAGCTAGTATATTAGAGTGGATTCAGGAAAGCTTGGGAAGATTTGTGTTTTAGTTTTACTTTTTTTTATTTCGACACTTATTTTGTTTATTGTGTTACTTTTAAAGACCTATAAGAATAAAATTTTAGCAAACACAATAATTTGGTAACGCTAAGTCATAAATTACATTTCCATAATCGAATTGTTACAATTGTGGCAAAAACTACTATGTATGTACCATAAAAGTACAACTACGATTGAGTGGCTCTGGCGTCATTGGAATTTCTTAATGCGTGTTGTTTTCAACCGACAAATTAATGTATTTTAGTGTGACTTTACTTCAATAAAACAAATAAAATCAATTAACATTTTATACAATGCCGATCATAATGTATATGTTATGACCTCGATATCTATTGTATATCAAATAATACGTATACTGAATACCAACAGTAATGCATCACTTCCTGTTTTATATCATGTCTTTGCCAGTAGGACCATTCCGACTTGTGACCAAGGATTTCATGCATTTGTTAGTATCTCTTGGTGTTAAAAATGTCTTTTATGAATAAATGTATCTGTAATTATGACCATAATAAGATTCTGACCAATCAGCTGGTTTGTCTGACACCATAAATTTGCAGAATGTTTGAACGTTTGATTCAAAATTTCTATAGCAAACCAGTAAGCAGACGTTCAAAAAAACAGCATTTTTAATATAAATGATGTCTTTTTGAAAAGATAACATATAATACATTTAAGTTAGGGGAATAAAATATGTTTTTTTTTTAAGTTACATTGATAAACGAAATGTTTATGGGAAAAATTTGTGTCGTGGACTACTGTTTCCCCCATAAATGTTTGCGAAGTAATAAAAGGTAAATTGCTTGAAAGGTAGTTGATTAATACATAACCGTGTTACGAGTTACTTTCTTATTTTGCTGTTTTTGTAATTTCCAAATATATTAGCAACTATACCAACACAACGACACATGGGAATTTGAACTATGTTAATCGTATATTGCGGCGAGTATATTGTATATGACTTATAAATATTAAGCTAAAATCTCTTCAATTTTGCTTTGGAAAAATGATGATGTAACAGAAAAAAAAAACCGATTAACTCAATGTTTTTTTTTTTTTTTTTTTTTTTTTTTTAACAAATAGTTTTACAAATGATGAAACAATTATCTTTTTAATCACCATACGAGGTGGTGCGTTTCTTCTGTTACTGAGTATTCGTCGCTTTTAAATATCTAAACATCATAATAGTTACACCTTATTGATTTGTATATCAAATTTTGAACTTATTTTTAAACTTTAAATTCACGACTTCAGTATAATGAAAGGTTGGACCAAAGCCAGGTATTTGTTTGGATTGCAAAATACATATAGGAAGTTGAGGGAAAAATGGAAAAATGGCTGAATTTTCTTTTGTTTTCGTTTAACATTGGTAAGATTTTTTATTTACTTAAAATAACTGTTTGTTTGTTATGATTGTTTCCATACGGTCAATCATCAGAAAAGTTCGATATAAAAAATCCAGATGCCGTTAAGACATTTACTCCTTACGCAGAATGTGTTATCACTTACGGTTGATATAGAAAGAAAGATTTAAAAGGAAAGTTCCTCAACATATATGAAAAAAATAATTCAAGTACGTCCAGGCTTCAATCTCATTATACAAACCCTAAAAACTATAAAAAAAATCTCTCCTCTGTTGCGAAAAAAAAAAAAAAAACATGTTCTGAGAATGTCCGTTCTAATAAAATTGAGAGCATAAACAGACGTCATCATTACAGTTGTCGTCCTTGATGATTGTTGTTATATTTGCGGCTCCATGGACGTTAACCAGTAATTAGATGTTTTTTTTTAGAGTTCTGGAGAAGACATTACTAAGTTGTAAAACTTGTGTCTCATCCATTTGTTTAGTTTCTGAACAATAAAATATGTTTAAACTAAACAGTAATTAGACAATGACTTGAAATGATCATGAAGTTCGTATATATGGCCTCTTATTTTCGAGCTTCATCATGTTTTGTTATATATATTCCATCGGCATGAAGTTGGTCTTGTTTTGGAAGAGGCAGTTAATAAAACGAGGGGTCCTGGAAAGTTATTAGAAAGGCATTTTTTCGTCCATTATGAACTATTGTTAACACTACTGTAACTGTTACGACATAATTAAATATCTTTTTTTTAATTAAAGTCAATAAACTAGTATTGGTCTTCTATACAATCATTGAAGCGACGATGTATCATTGTTTTCTGGGGGATATTATGAAAGAGGGTGTGGGTGGGGGTTTACCAAATACAGAAAAATGGACCAAAAATATAAAGAATAGAGAATAATGAGGTGCTAAAATATAAATAATAGAGAATAATGGACAAAAGGTATAAAGAATAGAGAAAAAAATACCTAAAATATTAAAGAATACAGAAACGAAGGACCCCCAATCTAGACCCTCATATAAGGACATTATGGCAAAGGTTAATAAAACTAGAGGCTCTCAAGAGCCTGTGTCGCTCACCTGACTCTACTTTGGTTTTAGAAATCATGTAAAGATAGATAAAAATCATAACAGATACCAAAATAATGATTGAGGCCAAATTTTGATTAATATTGGTCCCGTTATTTAATAAAATATCCTGGTGGCCATCTTGAACAGTAAATCGGCAACAAAGTAGCAACACTTGGTCAGCACTTCATAAGGAACATTCATGCCATGTTTGGTTTCATTCCATTCAGTGGTACTCTAAAAGAAGACATTTGTATGTATTTCCAATAGGGTCCTATGTAAAACTAAGCCCCCCCCCCTAGCGGCCATCTTGGATGATGGATCGACTGCAAAGTAACAACACTTGGTCTGCAACTCATAAGGAACATTCATGCCATGTTTGGTTCAATTCCATTCAGTGGTTCTCTAAAAGAAGACAATTGTATGTATTTCCCATAGGGTCCTATGTTAAACTAAGTCCCCCGCTGGCGGCCATCTTGGATGATGGATCGGCTGCAAAGTAACAACACTTGGTCAACATCTCATAAGGAACATTCATGCCATGTTTGGTTCCATTCCATTTATTGGTTCTCTAAAAGAAGACATTTTTATGTATTTCCCAAAGGGTCCTATATAAAACTAAGTCCCCCGCTGGCGGCCATCTTGGATGATGGATCGGCTACAAAGTAACAACACTTGGTCAGCATCTCATAAGGAAGATTCATGCCATGTTTGATTTCATTCCATTCAGTGGTTCTCTAAAAGAAGACATTTGTATGTATTTCCCATAGGTCCTTTGTTAAACTAAGTCCCCTGCTGTCGGCCATCTTGGATGATGGACCTACTGCAAAGTAACAACACTTGGTCAGCACCTCATAAGGAACATTCATGCCATGTTTGTTTCATTCCATTCAGTGGTTCTCTAAAAGAAGACATTTGTATGTATTTCCCATAGGGTCCTATGTTAAACTAAGTCCCCCGCTGGTGGCCATCTTGGATGATGGATCGGCTACAAAGTAACAACACTTGGTCAGAACCTCATAAGGAACATTCATGCCATGTTTGGTTTCGTTCCATTCAGTGGTTCTCTAAAAGAAGACATTTGTATGTATTTCCCATAGGGTCCTATGTTAAACTAAGTCCCCCGCTGGCGGCCATCTTGGATGATGGACCGACTGCAAAGTAACAACACTTGGTCAGCATCTCATAAGGAACATTCATGCCATGTTTGGTTCTATTCCATTCAGTGGTTCTCTAAAAGAAGACATTTTTATGTATTTCCCATAGGGTCCTATGTTAAACTAAGTCCCCCGCTGGCTGCCATCTTGGATGATGGATCGGCTACAAAGTAACAACACTTGGTCAGCACCTCATAAGGAACATTCATGCCATGTTTGGTTTCATTCCATTCAGTGGTTCTCTAAAAGAAGACTTTTGTATGTATTTCCCATAGGGTCCTATGTTAAACTAAGTTCCCAGATGGCAGCCATCTTGGATGATGGATCGGCTACAAAGTAACAACACATGGTCAGCACCTTATAAGGAACATTCATGCCATGTTTGGTTTTATTCCATTCAGTGGTTCTCTAAAAGAAGTCATTTGTATGCATTTCCCATAGGGTCCTATGTTAAACTAAGTCCCCCGCTGGCGGCCATCTTGGATGATGGATCGGCTACAAAGTAACAACACTTGGTGAGCACCTCATAAGGAACATTCATGCCATGTTTGGTTTCATTCCATTCAGTGGTTCTCTAAAAGAAGTCATTTGTATGCATTTCCCATAGGGTCCTATGTTAAACTAAGTCCCCCGCTGGCGGCCATCTTGGATGATGGATCGGCTACAAAGTAACAACACTTGGTCAGCACCTCATAAGGAACATTCATGCCATGTTTGGTTTCATTCCATTCAGTGGTTCTCTAGAAGAAGTTCAAAATGTAAAAAGTTAACGCCGACGACGGACGACGCCGGACGACGACGGACGACGGACGACGGACGCCAAGTGATGAGAAAAGCTCACTTGGCCCTTCGGGCCAGGTGAGCTAAAAAGTAACATCACGAAACCTCCCCCCCCCCCCCCCCCACAAAAAAGAAGACTAGAACCCAATATACATTCTTTCAAATAGACAGGTCTCTTTATAATATGTCAAGCTCTAAACGGCCCTAGTATAAAAAGTGGTCAAAATTAAACAGACATCTGTGTGTTTGTTTATTATACATTGGCTAGAGGTATAGGGGGAGGGTTGAGATCTCACCAAACATGTTTAACCCCGCCGCATTTTTGCGCCTGTCCCAAGTCAGGACCCTCTGGCCTTTGTTAGTCTTGTATGTTTTTTTAATTTTAGTTCCTTTATATGTTTTGGAGTTGAGTGTGACGTCCATTTTCACTGAACCAGTACACAATTTTATTTAGGGGCCAGCTTAGGACCACCTCCGGGTGCGGGATTTTCTCGCTGCGTTGAAGACCCTTCGGCTGTTATCTGCTCTTTGGTCGGGTTGTTGTCTCTTTGACATATTCCCCATTTCCATTCTCAATTTTATACTTTATGCTGTCACAGAAATATGTAACTTTACGCTGTCACAGAAATATGTACCTTTACGCTGTCACAGAAATATGTTACTTTATGCTGACACAGAAATATGTAACTTTACGCTGTCACAGAAATATGTAACTTTACGCTGTCACATAAATATGTAACTTTATGCTGAAACAGAAATATGTTACTTTACGCTGTAACAGAAATATGTAACTTTATGCTGTCACATAAATATGTAACTTTATGCTGAAACAGAAATATGTTACTTTACGCTGTAACAGAAATATGTAACTTTATGCTGTCACATAAATATGTTACTTTATGCTGAAACAGAAATATGTTACTTTACGCTGAAACAGAAATATGTAACTTTATGCTGTCACATAAATATGTAACTTTATGCTGAAACAGAAATATGTTACTTTACGCTGTAACAGAAATATGTAACTTCATGCTGTCACATAAAATATGTTACTTTATGCTGAAACAGAAATATGTTACTTTACGCTGTAACAGAAATATGTAACTTTATGCTGTCACATAAATATGTTACTTTATGCTGAAACAGAAATATGTTACTTTACACTGTAACAGAAATATGTAACTTTATGCTGTCACATAAATATGTTACTTTATGCTGAAACAGAAATATGTTACTTTACGCTGTAACAGAAATATGTAACTTTATGCTGTCACATAAATATGTTACTTTATGCTGAAACAGAAATATGTTACTTTACGCTGTAACAGAAATATGTAACTTTATGCTGTCACATAAATATGTAACTTTATGCTGAAACAGAAATATGTTACTTTACGCTGTAACAGAAATATGTAACTTTATGCTGTCACATAAATATGTTACTTTATGCTGAAACAGAAATATGTTACTTTACGCTGTAACAGAAATATGTAACTTTATGCTGTCACATAAATATGTTACTTTATGCTGAAACAGAAATATGTTACTTTACGCTGTAACAGAAATATGTAATTTATGCTGTGGTGGCCTTCGGCTGTTGTCTGCTCTTTAGTCGGGATGTTGTCTCTTTGACATATTCCCCATTTCCATTCTCAATTTTATCATCAAAGATTTACCACCAACACCAAAATCTTTATAAAAAAAAGGACACAAGACAATCATGGACAAAAATCTGAATACTGAAGATGTTGAGCATGCTCTAACTTTATAAATGTCTAGATAGAAACGTTTTTGACTGTGTGTATATACTCTCCAATAGGAGGTTACTAAATTAGATATCTAAGGGAAAATGTATTTTCGATTTTTTAATCATCTCCTCCTTATCAAGAGGAAAATATTTTCAATATTTATACAATGAAACCGCCAAAACAGTGTTGTTATTGTTGTTTTTCATCACAAACTCACAGGTCTTTAACACGGAGCAAAGATTCACACATTACCTCAAGTTCACGGTTTGAGCGCTATCACGTTACTTGACTGACATCTGTGCATTGGAGAAAAGTACAAAAAAGGGATAACAAGGATCGTTATAAATATTGAACAGTACAACACACCACATCATAAGAGCACTACACTTATCTGATAGTTTTACCACACATATCTTCTAGCGCAGAACACTTCGATGGTTCATCTCATATTTTTTACCAATTAGTGCCACACTGAAATCTAAAACTGAGGGTAGTAATCATCCCACTTCGGTCGGTTCCGTAAGAAGGGCAATGGAATCACACGAGCTTTTCTGATTGGTTACGTGGTAAATCAAATCATCCAGTTTTGAAATGCACATTTGATTTCTTATTTCAGGATCTGTTCTGTCCGATTGTTGTGGCAAGTATTCCTATCGATATTCCTACTTCTATTGCGCCTACTGTGATGGATATTGTTATGGATCATCAAGCAATGAGTACTGTGATTCCTATTACAGCAACTACTACTACTACTACTCGTATTACAGCTATGCTGCTATCGGTCCATTGTGAGTATGATTAGACCATTAACAAATCAGCAATGGGTATGGCATTGTCAACGTTTGTTTTCTTTATAAACAATGTTATAATATATGTTCCTGTTGGAACATATATTCAAAACCCTTTATTCGATTAGTAATTAGTAGCAAATACTGTACATGTATATGTTACAGTGAATTTGTATAATCAGTGATTATGTAGAATCCCTAAAATGTTCAGGGATTATGTAGAATCACTGGTTAGTTTAGGGATTATATATAATCACTAAAATTTTCAGGGATTATGTATAATCACTAGAAAAAATGTCAGGGATTATACAGAATAACTGAAATGAAGAATTAGTTTCATTTATATAGAAAATGGATAAAAGTTAAATAATTCATTCTTAAAATCATATTAAAACATCATTATAAACATATAGATTGTAAAATGTAAAGCACAATATGTTAAAATGATAACCTTGAATACATTAAAATGTTATGCACAACATATCAAAATGTTAGGAACAATATACGAAATTATTAAGCATATAATATTAAAATATTAAGCACAATATTTTAAAAAACAAACATTACATTCACTCTGTGGTTAAAGTTTAAAAAAAAATAATAACTTTCTTAAACTATCCTGGATTTGTACCAAACTTGGACAGAAACTTGTTTATGATCAAAAGCTAGTATCTAGAAAGAAATTTAAAAACAAATTATTTCCTGTTTATCCGTACATTACTTATAAATGGACTTATTTTTTTTTCCAGCTAACATTACATTCAGTCTGCAGTTAAAGTTTTTAAAACATTTTTTAGATACATAAACCGTTTCAGTAACTGTTAAATAAATCTATCATGTGCATTTTCCTATCACACTGAAAACATAGACAACAGCAAAAGTAGGCGAGACACTGGGTTCCGCGGAACCCTTACGAATTTGTCTATACATTTAGTTGCGTCAGTTCTCTCAGTTTGAATTTCTTGTTCATTTGAACACAAAATGCACTAAGAGGTTTCATAAGGGAGCTACCATTTGATTTTTATGGGGGGGTGGGGGGGGTGGGGGGGTGGGGGTAGGATGAAATTTGAAAAAAATAGGCAGGACAGGAGTTTTGAGTAAAAAAAAAGGCAGGATGAGACACTTTGCAAAAAAAAAAAAGGCAGGATAAACTAATAAAAAAAAGGCAGGACCGAATAGAGTAAAAAATAAAAAGGCAGGACTGAATAGATGAAAAAATAAATAGGCAGGACAAAATTTTTCATCCTAGCCACCCCCCCCCCCCCCCCCCCCCCCCATGAAAATCAAATGGTAGCTCCCTAACCTTCTTCGCCATTTGTTTTACTACAAATAAAATGCACTGTGGATTTACAGTTTGAACATTTTTTGTCATATAAATGATCTTGGTAAACCATGATGAACTTGAAATTAAATAGATTGCATATCATCGTCAGATATTTAAGTTTTGTTATTTTTTTAGATCCATGCCCACCAGCCCCAATCTTATGTTAATGTATAAGGATGTAAAGAGAGTAATCTATATGAAATATAAGAGATGGTAGGAGGCTTTAAACAATTTAAATACTTACTGTTCACTTAAACTTTCAAGGAATAAGAAAACACAAACGACAAATTATCTTTATTTAATTTTTATCAAACACAGGATCTTTGAATTATTGATAATCCCTGAAATCATATTAGGGAATTTGTAGAATAATTATATAAATGTTCAGTGATTATGTAAAATCACTGGTCATTTTCAGGGATTATATATAATCACTAATGATTTTGGTGATTCTACATAATCCCTGAAAAATCAGGGATTCTACATAATCCCTGATTATACAAATTCACTGTAACATATATATCTTCCAATCAAAGCTTAAACTATAAAGTAACTTCTATTCCATAAATTTACCATTCCCAATGAGACAGCAATCCACAAAGACACAAGAACGGGGATTTAAACAGCAACAGGTCACAGTGCAGCCTTCAATGATGACAAAACCTTTACCACAAGGTCACTATAAAAGGGTTCTGATTAACAGAAAGTGAAGGAACAAGTTATTAGTGTTAACATGTTTTATAAAACACACATAACTGAAAAAACATCAAGCAAAGAAACATGTCATACAAAAAGACGTTTTTGTTTAATCATAAAATCGTTCTTATTCAATTAGTTTAACAATATTTTATTCAATGAATATGGTCATGCTAAATAAGATGATACATTGCAAACAGTTGGATCCAGTGACTATTAAGCAATTATAATAGTCTCTTTACGGGAAAGACTGACAGCGAACATTCACGTACTTTCTGTATCGTTGGAATTGACACGTCCCCCGAGACTTCAGAATGATGGTTTTTCTTGAAATTGCGTTGACCATATTTTCATTTGTGATATACAGTCGCTGACCGTACATCGCATTGTATATAACGTTAACAATGCGTTTCCGAAGAGTCTATTTATGTCGTCAATAAAGAACATGGGTTCGCAGAATTTTTACGTAGTCCGCTTCAAATTCAAAAATGATTGCCTACCTAAATGTTTTATTTGAAACAGTTGTAAAATTTGCAGTATATAGAGAATAAACATACTTAGTCTCAAAATATATACCAATTTCTTTCTCATGTTCTGTATAATAATTGGTTACATATATGTTGAAGCATAGTCTAGTCTTTTGGGTTTTTATTTTGTCTTTTTGCATCGCAGAAATGCCATGCCAAAGGGCAGACATCGACATCTCTTAAATCTACTGATATGAGTATTCAAAGTTAATCAATTTCAGTGCCATGATGTTTAATAGATATAAGAAGATGTAGTATGAGTGCTAATGAGACAACTCTCCATCCAAGTCAAAATTTATAAAAGTAAACCATTATAGGTCAAAGTACGGTCTTCAACAAGGAGCCTTGGCTCACACCGAACAGCAAGCTATAAAGGACCCCAAAAATTACTAGTGTAAAACCATTCAAACGGGAAAACCAACGGTCTAATCTATAAAACGCTGGTTCACACGAAAGATCAGCGTTCTGCAGAATATATTGATTTATGTCCGACCGTGCAAGACCCTCATGGGTAGTCGAGGTCGTTAACAACCACCCTCGTCATTGATTTATTGTTATATGTCTTTTTCTCAACTGTCAAAACTTGAACTTTGTCAGGATTTGCCTGCATTTTATTTATTTTGAAGTATTCAATAACTTTTAAGGATTCTGATTCTGATTCTAAAGTGGAATATAAAATATCATACATAGTCACGGTTGCAATAAGATAACGGTTTGTCGTCTGCATAATTGTACAAAAAAAATCATTTTTAATAATTTGAATATATCATTGATAAGCACATTCAACAGTAATGTACCCAGGATAGATCCCTGAGGCACTCCCTTGTGAATTTCAGCTGCTAAGAATACTATTTATTTTGATTTACTGTTTCCTGCTTGACAGATAGGAGTTAAAAAATGAAAGTCAATGACAAGAAATACCATATGCTTATAATTTATCAATCAAAATTTAATGGGATATGCATCTTTTGTTTAATACTTCACGCCAATCTCCTAGAACATGTAGAAGTCTTCACTGTGTAGTTTGACATCCGTACAAAATAAGGAAACGTGGTATGATTGCCAATGAGACAAATATCTACATAGTCCATTTGACGCGGATTTCTTAAGCAACTAAACACTTGAAGTCTTCTAAACGCACAAAGAACGGGATGAATTATCTTTAAAAAATCGTTAGTGCTCCCTTCATTGGGTGTTTGTTTGTTTGCTTTGCCGAATTTAGTTCATTGTTTTTGTTCTATTTTAGTATTTTATAACAACAGACATGTGTTTATTCCTAGCTCAATTTTCATAGATTGCAGTAAAGTTTACGATATTTCCTTTTAATTTTCAGTTCTATTGGAGCTTTCGTAGGACTAATAATAGGATCAATTATCTTCTTGGTATTTATAATTGGTGTCATTGTGGCAATCTGTGCTTCCTGTACAAAGTCAGCTGGACAAAGAGGAAGGGTCGTGCATCCAAACAATGGAATAGCAGTGATACATTCCAATACAAATAGTACGTATATAGATAATATTGTGTTCCACGTAAATATTCTCATTATTTACACAACAAGGGAAAATTAGTGTCTGATTAAACGGAAAGGTGTGCTCTTGTACTTCCACCATTACGTCTGAATGACGTATAATAACACCGATAAGGGTCTGGATGGGGTTTACAAAATAGAGAATAAAATAAAAAGTGCAGAATAAAGACTAAAAAATATAGAGAAAAATGGTCTACAAATTAAAGAATAAAGAAATGAAGGACCCCCATCCAGACCCTCTATAATAATCAGAAGAAAGACCGATAACAACATGGAACATAGAATAAGGAAGAACAGACAAACGACACGGAACAGAGAATAAGGAAGAACGGACAAACAACACGGAACACGGAATAAGGAAAAACAGACAAACAACACGGAACACGGAATAAGGAAGAACAGACAAACAACACGGAACATAGAATAAGGAAGAACAGACAAACAATACGGAACACAGAATAAGGAAGAACGGACAAACAACACGGAACACAGAATAAGGAAGAATAGACAAACAACATGGAACATAGAATAAGGAAGAACAGACAAACGACACGGAACACAGAATAAGGAAGAACAGACAAACAACACGGAACACAGAATAAGGAAGAACAGACAAACAACATGGAACACAGAATAAGGAAGAACAGACAAACAACACGGAACACAGAATAAAGAAGAACAGACAAACAACACGGAACACAGAATAAGGAACAACAAACAAACAACACGGAACACAGAATAAGGAAGAACGGACCAACAACACGGAACACATAATAAGGAAGAACAGACAAACAACACGGAACACAGAATTAGGAAGAACAGATAAGTCAGGAATCTGATGTTCAGTAGTTGTCGTTTGTTGATGTGGTTCATAAGTGTTTCTCGTTTCTCGTTTTTTATATAGATTAGACCGTTGGTTTTCCCGTTTGAATGGTTATACACTAGTAATTTTTTGGGGCCCTTTATAGCTTACTGTTCGGTGTGAGCCAAGGCTCCGTGTTGAAGACCGTACTGTGACCTATAATGGTTTACTTTTATAAATTTTGACTTGGATGGAGAGTTGTCTCATTGGCTCTCATACCACATCTTCTTATATCTATAAACAACACGGAACACAGAATAAGGAAGAACAGACAAACAACATGGAACACAGAATAAGGAAGAACAGGCAAACAACATAGAACACAGAATAAGGAAAAACAGACACACAACACGGAACACAGAATAAGGAAGAACAGACACACAACACGGAACACAGAATAAGGAGGAACAGACAAACAACACGGAACACAGAATAAGGAAGAACAGACAAACAACACGGAACACAGAATTAGGAAGAACAGATAAGTCAGGAATCTGATGTTCAGTAGTTGTCGTTTGTTGATGTGGTTCATAAGTGTTTCTCGTTTCTCGTTTTTTATAAAGATTAGACCGTTGGTTTTCCCGTTTGAATGGTTATACACTAGTAATTTTTTTGGCCCTTTATAGCTAACTGTTCGGTGTGAGCCAAGGCTCCGTGTTGAAGACCGTACTGTGACCTATAATGGTTTACTTTTATAAATTTTGACTTGGATGGAGAGTTGTCTCATTGGCTCTCATACCACATCTTCTTATATCTATAAACAACACGGAACACAGAATAAGGAAGAACAGACAAACAACACGGAACCGGAATAAGGAAGAACAGACACACAACACGGAACACAGAATAAGAAGAACAGACACACAACACGGAACACAGAATAAGGAAGAACAGACACACAACACGGAACACAGAGTAAGGAAGAACAGACAAACAACACGGAACACAGAATAAGGAAGAACAGACACACAACACGGAACACAGAATAAGGAAGAACAGACACACAACAATGAACACAGAGTAAGGAAGAACAGACAAACAACACGGAACACAGAATAAGGAAGAACAGACAAACAACACGGAACACAGAATAAGGAAGAACGGACACACAACACGGAACACAGAATAAGGAAGAACAGACAAACAACACGGAACACAGAATAAGGAAGAATGGACAAACAACATGGAACATAGAATAAGGAAGAACAGACAAACGACATGGAACATAGAATAAGGAAGAACAGACAAACGACACGGAACACAGAATAAGGAAGAACAGACAAACGACACGGAACACAGAATAAGGAAGAACAGACAAACAACATGGAACACAGAATAAGGAAGAACGGACCAACAACACGGAACACAGAATAAAGAAGAACAGACAAGAAACATGGAACACAGAATAAGGAAGAACAGACAAACAACATAGAACACAGAATAAAGAAATCAAGACAAACAACACGGAAAACGGAATAAGGAAAAACAGACAAACAACATGGAACACAGAAGAAGGAAGAACATACAAACAACACGGAACACAGAATAAGGAAGAGCAGACAACGACATGGAACATAGAATAAGGACGAACAGACAAACAACACGGAACACAGAATAAGGAAGAACAGACAAACAACATGGAACACAGAATAAGGAATAACAGACAAACGACACGGAACACAGAATACGGAAAAACAGACCAACAACATGGAACACAGAATAAGGAAGAACAGACACACAACACGGAACACAGAATAAGAAAGAACAGACACACAACACGGAACACAGAATAAGGAAGAACAGACACACAACACGGAACACAGAATAAGGAAGAACAGACACACAACACGGAACACAGAATAAGGAGGAACAGACAAACAACACGGAACACAGAATAAGGAAGAACAGACACACAACACGGAACACAGAATAAGGAGGAACAGACAAACAACACGGAACACAGAATAAGGAAGAACAGACAAACAACACGGAACACAGAATTAGGAAGAACAGATAAGTCAGGAATCTGATGTTCAGTAGTTGTCGTTTGTTGATGTGGTTCATAAGTGTTTCTCGTTTCTCGTTTTTTATATAGATTAGACCGTTGGTTTTCCCGTTTGAATGGTTATACGCTAGTAATTTTTTGGGGCCCTTTATAGCTTACTGTTCGGTGTGAGCCAAGGCTCCGTGTTGAAGACCGTACTGTGACCTATAATGGTTTACTTTTATAAATTTTGACTTGGATAGAGAGTTGTCTCATTGGCTCTCATACCACATCTTCTTATATCTATAAACAACACGGAACACAGAAAAAGGAAGAACAGACAAACAACACGGAACACAGAATAAGGAAGAACAGACACACAACACGGAACACAGAATAAGAAGAACAGACACACAACACGGAACAAAGAATAAGGAAGAACAGACACACAACACGGAACACAGAGTAAGGAAGAACAGACAAACAACACGGAACACAGAATAAGGAAGAACAGACAAACAACACGGAACACAGAATAAGGAAGAACAGACACACAACACGGAACACAGAGTAAGGAAGAACAGACAAACAACACGGAACACAGAATAAGGAAGAACAGACACACAAGACGGAACACAGAATAAGGAAGAACAGACAAACAACACGGAACACAGAATAAGGAAGAACAGACACACAACACGGAACACAGAATAAGGAAGAACAGACACACAACACGAAACACAGAATAAGGAGGAACAGACAAACAACACGGAACACAGAATAAGGAGGAACAGACAAACAACACGGAACACAGAATAAGGAAGAACAGACACACAAAACGGAACACAGAATAAGGAAGAACAGACACACAACACGGAACACAGAATAAGGAAGAACAGACACACAACACGGAACACAGAATAAGGAAGAACAGACACACAACACCAACAGACAAAGAACACGGAACACAGAATAAGGAAGAACAGACAAACAATATGTTCTTTCGTCGAATTTCCAACATTTACTGAAATGTTACTGTAAACTTTAAAAGAGGGGCGAAAGATACCAGAGGGACATTCAAACTCATAAATCGAAAAAAAAACTGACAACGCCATGGCTAAAAAAGAAAAAGACAAACAGACAACCAATAGTACACAAAACACAACATAGAAGACTAAATACTAAGCAACACGAACCCCACCAAAATCTAGGGGTGATCTCAGGTGCTCCGGAAGGGTAAGCATATCCTGCTCCACATGTGGCACCCGTCGTATTGCTCATGTTAGTACAAACCCGGTAAATAGTCTAATTCGGTAGGTCACATTCGTGAAAAGGGAACGGGATTGTAGTTACGACATTAGGAACATATCCGCTATCTACTGTGAAACGGATATTCCATAACGGTCAACCAACTCGTGATGGCGTCCGTAAAATTTACGAAGGGATGATTTCAACTTCACCATTTGGAACTCTTAGTTTAATAGCATCCTTGTGAGCAGCAACCCTCTATCGAGGAAATCATGATAGGAAATACAAGCCCGGGAATATCGTATCAATTGGGAGATATATACCCCGTATGCAGACGCTGCGGGAATGTTGCTACATAGAAATGGAAAGTTCACAATTGGGAAGCTGAAATCATCTCTTTTGTCGTAAAGTTTTGTTTTCAACCGACAGCACATATTTAATGTATTCCAATATGAACGCTTATATGCGTTAATCATAAAAATTGGTAGATGTGGTATGATTGCCAATGAAACAACTCTCCACCAGAGATCAAATGACAGTCTGCATGGAGTTAATCCCTTCTGAGCTGCTCAATTGAGACTATTTGGATGGAATCGTAACCCTGAGAGTAGGTTATGTTATCGCGACTCAAGGGAAGCTTGTCGGAGGTACATGAAACATTAATTTGAGTCATGTGTTATCTCTGAAAGAGTACGAAGTCCCTATTATTTTCATGGTACTTTCGATATTCAGATTTACAAATCTGGGGGTCTTATTCTTTAGATTAAATGACAGACTCCGTTAGTAGGGTAATGCGCAAGTGCAAATGTTGTTAAAGAAGTAAACGTTTTGGAGTGACTATAGTATATTGTTTTTGTATCGATTTTCTTACTGTTATTAAGGGCTTCGCAAGACCTCATATAATAAGTATCTCTGAGTCCTACAAAAATTAAAAAAATCAAAAAAGAAATGGAATTCCATAATAAACGGTTGTTACTATGTTGATTTTTTTTTTCAGTTGCTGGACAACATATGTACGCCACACCGAGTGCCCCACCACCTTACACGTTTTCCCATGGAGGCTATGGAATGGGATATCATACTTCATCTGTATTAATGCCGCCACCTCCACCAAGTTATGCTGTTTTGGATCAGACAAGACCGCCACCGCCACCTACCTATTCATCTTTAAATTCACCAATCCCGCCACCAACGTTACCACCAATACAACATAGAAACAATTAATTTGTTACTTTCTGTTTCCCTGACAACAGTAACATGATAATATTACCACCATTGGTGCCAATTAACTTGGTTTGTCGAACATAGCTACCAATATTACATTCTTGTATATTCAGTGTCATCGGCATGAACTTGTTTGTCGATCATAGCTACCAACACCACATTCTTGTAAATTTTTATAATTGTACATTTGAAATGTGGTCGAACATAGCTACCAGCACCTCATTCTTGTAAATTCAGTGTCCCTCGGCCATGAACATGGTTTGTCGAACATAGATACCAACACCTCATTCTTGTCAATTCAGTGTCCTTCGGCCATGAACATGGTTTGTCGAACATAGCTACCAACACCTCATTATTTCAAATTCAGTGTCATCGGCCATGAACTTTGTTTGTCGAACATAGCTACCAACACCTCATTCTTGTAAATTCAGTGTCCCTCGGCCATGAACATGGTTTGTCGAACATAGCTTCCAACACCTCATTATTTCAAATTCAGTGTCATTGGTCAACTTGGTTTGTCGAACATAGCTACCATCACCTCATTCTTGTATATTCAGTGTCAGCTTTCTGCTGAACCATTTTTTGTACAATTGTTATATGCCATCAACCCTACAGACTATATTTGTACATTTGAAACGTGGCCCATAATTTGCATGAAATAGTAGCAACTGAACATTAAGCAAGCAACAATCAAGCAATACATTTGAAAAGATAAACTAACTAGTGTCAATCTCACAGCAAATAAACAAACTAGTGTCAATCTCACAGCAGATAAACGAACTAGTGTCAATCTCACAGCAAACAAACTAACTAGTGTAAATCTCACAGCAAATAAACGAACTACTGTCAATCTCACAGCAAATAAACGAACTACTGTCAATCTCACAGCAGATAAACTTTTAGTGTCAATCTCACAGCAGATAAACTAACTAGTGTCAATCTCACAGCAATTAAACTAACTAGTGTCAATCTCACAGCAATTAAACTAACTAGTGTCAATCTCACAGCAAATAAACTAACTAGTGTCAATCTCACAGCAACTAAACTAACTAGTGTCAATCTCACAGCAAGTAAACTAACTAGTGTCAATCTCACTGCAGATACACTAACTAGTGTCAATTTCACAGCAGATAGTAACATCGACCGTTTACTAAAAAGAGAAGATATTTTATATACAGTGAAAACGATATAGTTTACTTTATAATATTCATTTTTCCGTATCCTGAGCCTTTTTCTCAATCCAAACACCTCACATCCTCAGTATCCAGTTTGTCTAAGTAGTCGAACTACTGTATCACTAGACTGTCAACACTGAGGTTGAGTCAAATCCCTCACGTGACAGGTGACATCGACTCCAAATTTTAATTGAATAGGATTTTCAGTTTTCCTACCGAAGGACGGCTCTCCGACTTCCTCCACCAATAAAAACAAAATAGCACAATAGTGCTGAAAGTGGTGTTAAACATCAATCAATCAATCAATCAATCCACAGTATCGTAATCAAAGCAGTCATTTCTCCATCTTTTATTCATAGTGTGATAAAAATATTATGTATTAGTTCTATGTTACGTTTTGATAAAAGTGTGCATTGTATACATACAGTATTAAAGTTTTGAAGTTTTTATATTTACGTTTGTTTTCTTATTGTTTGCTTATACAACTGCATACCAAATATCATTGACCTACCACTAGTGGTTCCCCATAAATTGACCTAATCACAAACTAATACATGTAAACTATGGAAAAGTTTCAAAGTCAATAGACCTTGACTGAGGTGGGGCCAAATAATCTCCATGGTGATGAGATGTGCCAATGCTAATACAACTGCATACCAAATATCATTGACCTACCACTAGTGGTTCACCATGAACTAGACCTTTCATTGTGTGTTAATTTACTTTTTTTGATTGAGTTAAGCCTTCCTATTGATATTTTATAATGTGTCTTTCTATGTTGTGATGTTATACTATTGTTTCAGAAAAGGGAGACGGTTTGGTACCAATAAAACGTTTAATCCCGCTACAAATGTTTGCACCTGTCCTAAGTCAGGAATCTGATGTACAGTAGTTGTCGTCTGTTTATGTAGTTCATACGTGTTTCTCTTTTTTATAAAGATTAGACCGTTGCATGTTTTCCCGTTTGAATGGTTTTACACTTGTAATTTTTGGTGCCCTTTATAGCTTGCTGTTCGGTGTGAGCCAATGCTCCGTGTTGAAGGCCGTACCTTGACTTATAATGGTTTACTTTTATAAATTGTTACTTGGATGGAGAGTTGTCTCATTGGCACTCATACCACATCTTCCTATATCTACTAATCACAAACTAATACATTGTTGACGCCGCCGACGCCGGAAACAGCATACCTATGTCTCGCTTTTTGACTCAGTCAAAGCGAGACAAAAATGTTATGTATTGGTTTTGTTTTACGTTTTGATAATAGTGTGCATTGTTAGAATTCTAACGACGAGGGGGGTTTTTAACGACCTTGACTACCCATGAGGGTCTTGCAAGGGCGGGCAAAAACATTCAGTATTAAAGTTTTAAAGTTTTTATATCTACGTTTGTTTGTATTATCAATTTTTTCTCAACTGATTGGGCGGAGCTTACTTTTTGATTTGCACATGACAGTCTATTTGAAGACTTGTGTGATAAGGAGGATTGCCGTAAAATAGTTTAAATTCATACTACATGTACATAAATATATCTATTAAAGTTTGTGCAAGAACAGCACAAATAAAAAGAATTATTCAAGGGCAACAACTCATAAATGGAGTAAGTTGACAATTTCGGCCATATTGACTTATTTGAAGATCTAATGGTGACACCCGTGTTAACAGCAGCTGTGTTTGTTGATGGATCAAATCCCCAGTTACAATTTTTAAACTAGATTCCCTAAGGAAAATTTACGTAAAATTTGGTAATATTTGGCCCAGAAATTTTAGAGGAGAAGAATTTTTAACAAGCATTCTGAGAGTATTGCATGGCAATACATAGTCCCATACCAGGTAAAAATTCATTATACTGGAACAAAATGCTAACTTGTTCTATAACTTGTCATGGTGTAAACAAAAAGAAAATATCAAGTCAATATCTTCAAGCATGACTAAAAACCGTATGAAAAACTATTTAAATGAGTGAATTTTTCAAGTCCAAGGACCATAACTCTGCACAAAATTATCAGACCGAAACAAAATTTCGAACTTGATCTGTATACTTGTCATGATAAAACTATATACCAATTATCAATCAATGTCTTCAAGCATGATGAAAAAAAGTGTGGAAAACACTTTAACATTAGATATGATTAATAGTTCTCTAAAATTATATATGATGTAAAACAGTGTATATCTACTATATTATAATCAAATATAATTAATAGTTCCAAATATTTTTTCTTTTATTTGTCACAAACTAATATAGTTTTAACTTATCTATAAAATGTCAACAATTTTTATCTACACAATGTAATGTAATATATACATTAATAAATGTGGATAGTGTCCACATGTGGACACAGATGATGCCCCCGCTTGCATATCATATAGTTATAAAGGGACATAACTGAAGAACGGTAAAAGTGACGCTACCCAAATTTGTACTTGATCTGAGTTTTGTGGTAATGAATATTGTGTATAGGTTTCATAATGTTTGGGTGGGGCAAACTTAAGTTACAGAATGGAAACTAAAAATTTTGCAATCTTTCGATTTATAAAGAGGCATAACTCAATAATGGTTAAAGTGACACTACCCAAATTCAGGGACTTTCTATACAAACGGGACTCGTCTCTATTGATTTTGACTGATTACTAAGCCGCCTGTTTAAAGCTACCAACCAACAATAAACTTAGTTTCGTATCTCTGATATACAATGCTAGTAGTTATTTGCGTATTTCACATTTCTTTGTAATTATATAATTATTATCAGTTGTTAATATAAAATCTGATTAATAGCCATTTACGATGACAAAAAATATAAGATTTTGAAAGAATGATGAATTATTTAACTTAGACGTATCGTTTTAAAGAACATCCCTGTTGTGTAAAATGGTTTACATATCAAACAAGATGGCGGCTACTGAAAATTCAACGAACAAATACCTCAAAGTTCAAAGATCAATATTTCAAAAACGAACCGAGAAATCTTTTGAAAAACAACATTTTGCAATGACAAAATGTATAAAATTTCATAAAAACGATTTTTTGTTAAACTTGAACATTTAGTTATGAAGAACACTTCGTAAATGTGAAATGATTTGCTATAGTCACGTGACATCAGCTACGGCCGAGATCAGTCTGATAATTTGTATAGACATCGTCATAAGTGACCAGTCCCATTAGTATATAAAGTCCCTGCCAAATTCAACTTGATCGGTGTTTTATAAGTGGAAGTAAAAATTAAACATTGCATTGTATAAAGCATTGATTGTAGTTGATTCAACTATAATCATGGACAAAGGAAGATAACTCCAATTTTAATAAAAATTACTTGATATTTAGAAGAAAAGAAAAATTTTGCAATTTTTCCATTTTTAAAGGGACATACCTCTAGAACGGTTAAAGTGACGCCACCAAAATTCAAACTTGTTCTGTGTTTTGTGATAATAAGCATTGTGTATAAGTTTCATAACATTTGGTTGAGGCAAAACTAAAGTTGGAGAACGGAAACTAAAAATTTAGCATTTTTTCCATTTATAAAGGGGCATAACTCTAGAACGGTTAAAGTGACGCCACCAAAATACAAACTTGATCTGTGTTTTGTGGTAATAAGCATTGTGTATAAGTTTCATACCATTTGGTTGAGGCAAACTCAAGTTAGAGAACGGAAACCAATTTTGGGACGTACGGACGTACGGACGTACAAGGGTAAAACTTAATGCCCCCTCCGCTACGGCCGGAGCATAATAAAAATAGATTATTATCTAATTAAAGAATTTCACTTCATATTTTTTTTTATATATATGGAAAACTTATTTGCCCGACTGATGGATGGACAGACAGACGGACAGACGAACAGAGTGCAAACCTAAAGTCCCCTTCGACAAGTCGGTAGGGGACTGAAAAGTTTATGACAAGAGACATACGAGAGACAACAGACGTAAAATGATGGCTAATGAGCTAAAATTTCATAAAAACGATTTTTTGTTAAACTTGAACATTTAGTTATGAAGAACACTTCGTAAATGTGAAATGATTTGCTATAGTCACGTGACATCAGCTACGGCCGAGATCAGTCTGATAATTTGTATAGACATCGTCATAAGTGACCAGTCCCATTAGTATATAAAGTCCCTGCCAAATTCAACTTGATCGGTGTTTTATAAGTGGAAGTAAAAATTAAACATTGCATTGTATAAAGCATTGATTGTAGTTGATTCAACTATAATCATGGACAAAGGAAGATAACTCCAATTTTAATAAAAATTACTTGATATTTAGAAGAAAAAAAAAATTTTGCAATTTTTCCATTTTTAAAGGGACATACCTCTAGAACGGTTAAAGTGACGCCACCAAAATTCAAACTTGTTCTGTGTTTTGTGATAATAAGCATTGTGTATAAGTTTCATAACATTTGGTTGAGGCAAAACTAAAGTTGGAGAACGGAAACTAAAAATTTAGCATTTTTTCCATTTATAAAGGGGCATAACTCTAGAACGGTTAAAGTGACGCCACCAAAATACAAACTTGATCTGTGTTTTGTTGTAATAAGCATTGTGTATAAGTTTCATACCATTTGGTTGAGGCAAACTCAAGTTAGAGAACGGAAACCAATTTTGGGACGTACGGACGTACGGACGTACAAGGGTAAAACTTAATGCCCCCTCCGCTACGGCGGGAGCATAATAAAAATAGATTATTATCTAATTAAAGAATTTCACTTCATATTTTTTTTTATATATATGGAAAACTTATTTGCCCGACTGATGGATGGACAGACAGACGGACAGACGAACAGAGTGCAAACCTAAAGTCCCCTTCGACAAGTCGGTAGGGGACTGAAAAGTTTATGACAAGAGACATACGAGAGACAACAGACGTAAAATGATGGCTAATGAGCTAAAAATTTACAAAGCCAATACATTTTTATAAATGGTAATGGTGTCACCCTCTCTGCAAGTCAAAGAAGCTTTTTTAAAACACTTTTCAGGTGACCTGAAATGAGGGTTAATTTTTGCTTCTATCCAACGGATTTTTATATGTGAACAGTCCAATTTTCTCACCTTTTATCTGGTCGACCAATTCTTCAGAAACAATGGAGAGTTGTCTCATTGGCACTCATACCACATCTTCCTATATCTATCAGATGTTTTTGTTAATTTGTTTTTGTCTGGAATATGCATGAAATGTTTGTTCCTGTAGTTGCCACTAATTGCAGATAAAGAATAAATAGATAAATAGTTGTTGTTCCTAACATTAAAACAACAAAACACCCTACATCTCATAGAAAAACAAGACTTTCTCTTAATATATTTATTATTATTACTTGGTATAAAGAAGACAATAACAGATTGTAACATTTATAAACTGTAGGCAGTGTCAATACATCAAAAGCTGTCTTACAAATACCAGAGCTTGTCATGGTAGCAACATCTTAAATACCAGCTTTTTAAGATAGCAACATAGTAAATATCAGAGCTTATCAAGATAGTAACATAGTTAATTCCAGAGCTTTAAAAGGTAGCTAAATAGTAAAAACATTATGGGTTGTCCAACAAATACCACATCTTCTTGTGGTAGCAACATACAGAGGACTTTCTTAAAGATACTAGAGCTTCTGATTGTTGCAAAATAGTAGACTGTCCTACAAATACCAGAACTTCTCATGGAAGCAACAGATGCAAATCCAGGATTTTGAAACAGGGGGAAGGGCATTTACCATATTAAAGCTCCATAAAGGGGGGTGAAGCAAACACCCTGCCCCTCATCAACATAGTCTATATCAGAGCATTTTGTGGTAGCAACATCTTAAATACCAGAGCTTATCGAGGTAGTGATATAGTAAAAACATAGTGGGCTGTCTATAAAAATACCAGAGTTTCTCAAGGCTGTACTAAAATACCACAGCTTCTCATGGGCTTCATCCAAATACCAGAAATTATCATGGCATGTGGCTACACATGGTACAAAGCGTGCACTATCTTACAAATGTAAGAGCTCATCATTACATATAGTTTTATTTAAATAATGTGAGATAGACATCAACCAATAATTCAATGATAAAACTTAATTACTGGTCAGTCTCCAGGACTAATAAAAATATTACAAAATGACTGAAGATAAAAAGCCGGTACCTGATTATGTTCTATGCTGCAGCCCATCTGTGTTTAAATTCCATGTAAACATTTCCATGACTACTTTGAAGAAATAAAATTACATCCACTTTCTAAATATATTTTCTTCCATCAATTTACTGTAGATGTTTACTAAGACAAATTCAGAATATTGTGATCTTTTTTCTAAGGTTGTTTTCAATAGTATTTTTCCTATTTTAGCTTCCAACAGAAATGCAGAAATGATACTTCATTTTACAATTCAATAAGACAGATAAAATGATCTATAACAGTCATTCAATTGAGACAAACCATCATCTGTCAATAATTATATTCTATCTTAAGGATGTACTTGGGTCAGATTTAGGAATTTTTGTCAGATATTTGGACGCCTTGGTTTTTTTCCTACGATACAGGGTAAAATATTTGGCCCTATAACACTCATTTTTCTTTTCATATAAGACTTCAATAGCTCATAAAAGGTCATTTACCAAAATTTAAGCAGATTCTAGATTTTTTTTTTATTTGAGACCCAAATAATACCAATGCAAATATAAGGTAAAAGTCTGAGTCAGCCTTTTCCCGCCATTTTTAAAAAATCAAATATCTCGAAAAGGAGCTCCATAACCTATCAATATTTTTTGCTTATTTTGTTCTTTAACTAATTGCTCTTCAGACTTATAGTATTAATTTTAAATTCTAGATTTTTTTTAATTTCACCTAAGTACATCCTTAATTCTATGTAAAACCAAATGACATGACACAGGGAAAATAAAGTGAGGTAAAAGTATGTATCATTTATGTTGGACTCAAGAAACCATGGAAACACACTTGAATACTTTAGCTGTAAATAGATAGAAACCTGAGTAAAACATAACTTTTAAATTTATAAAATATGGTTCACCTTGAGATGGTTCATCTTAAGATGGTTGACCTTGAGATGGTTGACCGTGAGATGGTTGACCTTGAGAATATTATGTCAGATACATATAATCAATTCAGACGTGTAGTCTATAGGTTTTTTTTGACTGCATACAGAAATTAGATTACCTCAACACATGCTAAACAAAAAATTATAACATAAACTACATAATTTGCAACAAATGTCAAAAAATATAATGGACTAAGTAACCATGCTGCATTAACGTAAAACATACTACTGCTGCATTCACACATACTCACAGCCATAATGGTGAGCGATGATCCTAACCCAACTATTTCACACATTACAGTAATTTCACAAAGACTATACCAGTTATTTATAACAGATAGTATTTGACATTCATAATGTAAATTGTAAAAGAAAAAAGTCCTTCATAATGTAAATTGTAAAAGAAAAAAGTCCTTCATAATGTAATTGGAAAAGAAAAAAGTCCTTCATAATGTAATTGGAAAAGAAAAAAGTCCTTCATAATGTAATTGGAAAAGAAAAAGGTCCTTCATAATGTAATTGGAAAAGAAAAAGGTCATATCTAAAATAAATTACATTCATACTCAACATGATTGTTGCTGTATATTTCTATACTGAAACTTAATGTCTTGTAATTTAATATTTGTTTTAGAGATTATTTTTTCAAAAAGCACACAAAACTGAGGGTCTGGATTGGGGGTATTGTTATTTCTGTATTCTCAATGAGTTCGGGTATATCTATCTCCTATGGGTAATTTGGTGACTTACAAACAAATCTCTTTTTAAATGCAATCCTTTCCTGTGTATATTTAAAAATCTAATATAGTCATAACATCTTGATCTGCATATCAATTGTGGCCTAGTAAAGTAAGATCTAAGATACACACATCCTTGTAAAACAGGTGTATTATCTACGAGATACACACATCCTTGTAAAACAGCTGTAAACCAGATTATCTACGAGATACACGATGATAAACAGACAACTAAATATGGAGATACACAATGATAACAATGACAATGCAGCAAACTGAAGCAGTCTTCAAATGTTATAAATAAAAATGTCAAGAAAATGCTGTAGTTATGTCCCTTGTTAAAGGGAGATCACCACAATCCTGATGATTTTCCTCCTGGAGGGTTTAATGATCTGGTTGTTGACCTCCTTGGCGATTTCTCATCAATTTGGAGACCTGAAAAACACAAAAATATTCCTAGATTCTCATTCTACTGGTTACAAAAATAGGTTGTGGTGTTAAAACATTTTTTTTTACAAATTTTGGTAAAAATCTGTAGAAAAAAATGATAGAATAAAGCCAAGAATGAAAATAAAATTAAATCTGTTCCAGTTGGAAAGGAAGGTTGGTGATTTTTATCAAAAGATCTATTCTTATAACAGCCTAAACAGAAATAATCTAAGCTCTGTCAAACTTTTTTTTCACTTGGTTGCTGTGTGATTGATAGCTACCCACATTCCATTATTTATATATTAGCCCTATAAATAGATTATCAGTTCACTGCAGTGCCATGATGCTAATTAGTCTCTGCATCTCACTGTACCAAGTTGTTATAGAGAAATTTATCAGTTTTACACCATGTTATTGTTTTTAATTTTCTATGATATCTGAACATTTTAGAACAACAACATTGAATGAGTTTGTTCTGCAGAATTGAATGCAGAATTTCACAGTATAAAATAAGTGACAGTGGATTATAAAACTATTTAGATACATATATATCAAATGAAAGTCGAAAAATTACGGTTTTATCTATTTGATTATTAAAAATATTTGTAAACCTCGTTTAATAAGCACAAAAAAGACAAAATAATATATTTTCATTATTCTATGACAAACTGCTTTGTGTGAACCTGGTCCAATAATTTAAACCAAGAGTGTGAATTTTCCTTGGAGTTCGTTATTTTACTTTTCATTGTCCTTGCTCTGACTCAAAAAAGTTGAGTGTGCATCCATTTTTTTCTTCTAAATGAATTCTTAATTAATAATTATAAACGTAAGAAATCTTCTATCACTGTATTTTCTCAAACATCAAAGTTTAACTTCTTTTCAGAATCAAAAGCGAACGGCGCTATTTTTCGTCCTTTTCTAGATAATCCTCATCAAAACCTATAAATTCTTAGTCGGAATCGTCTTTTAGAAACATTTCTCTTACAAAATCCCGATTTTCATGGTCTACTACCTATGAAAACACGTCCCTGTCCCCTACTTCTACAACCACTTATCATTGTTTCAAACTCGAATGTAAACAAACTACAGGGTCAATTTTGTCATCAAAATAATTTTATAATGGAATGCGGGAAGCAACCAATGAAAACATCTTTCTACAGGGAAATCCCTCTTCTGACGTAATATCTACTTAAAATAAAATAAATGGAGAATGTGTCCCCATGGACACAGATGATGCCCCCGCTTGCATACAACATTTTAAAGGGACATAACTCAAGAACAATAAAAGTGATGCTACCCAAATTTCTACTTGATCTGAGTTTTGTAGTAATAAGTATTGTGTAAAGGTTTCATAATGTTTGGTTGGGACAAACTTAAGTTACAGAATGGAAACTAAAAATTTTGCAATTTTTTTATTAATAAAGGGGCATAACTCGATAATGATTAAAGTGATGCCACCAAAATTCAACTTGATCTGTGTTTTTTGGTAAAAAACATTGTGTATAAGTTTCTTAACATTTGGTTGAGGCAAATTTAAGTTAGAGAACGGAAACTAAAAATTTTGTAATTCTTCCATTGATAAAGGGGCATAACTCAGAACGGTTAGAGTGACGCTACCAAAATTCAAACTTGATCTGTATTTTGTGGTAATAAGCATTGTGTATAAGTTTCATAACATTTGGTAGAGGCAAACTCAAGTTAGAGAACGGAAACCAATTTTGGGACGTACAGACGGACAAGGGTAAAACTTAATGCCCCCTCCGCTACAGCAGGGGCATAAATATCTGTGTGATTTGATTGGCTAGAACTCGAAACCTTCAACTTATACAGAATCTCTATATAGTGATGAACGGCACTGGATGAAACTACCGGAAGTTAACATATCGACGAATGGCAGTAGAGTAAAGGTATATGCAATAACTATATCTACGTCCAGCAGTACTAGGGTAGTGGTTATGTGCCTCAAAATGAGAAACACCAATATACTGTGGATTCATAAATCATTACTCTTTGTGGGATACCAATTTATGTAGATTTCATGGGTACAGGTGAACCACGAATATTCAATGAAGTACAAATTTTCTAGTCCTGTATGCAGACTCAGGCCAAACCACAAATATCCATGAAAATACAATTTTTCCTGAATTCAAGAAAATTGATACTCACGAACATAAATGAATTGACAGTATGCAAATTACAAATGTCTGTGCTATAATATGTGTTAGACATGGTGCTATTTCTAATAATTGACTCAGCTTACAATAACGATGTAAAAACTTAAGAGTTGTTAAATGTTTGAATTGTAAAGAACTGAATTTCTAGACCATTGTTAAGTGGGAAAATGGGGATTTTTTTGCGGCTGAAGCTGCATCACATGGGGCCTTTTGGGGTTTTCAAATTTAGGAAAAATTTTATCACACTTCGTACTAGAAAATTGGACCACATCTGTGAGAATGACTCAGCTTCGAAATGGGCCATCATAATGATCATACATATACAAGTTTAGGATATATGGACAGAGGAATGGAAGAAAAAGGCTGCTATTATCACTCAACTACAATGAATTGCCCATATGGATACTTGTATATATAATTCTTATATACCACTTAAAGAGAAGGTAGAATCTTGTAAATTACGAGCTCCACTGCTGGTCATCGGTCTACCGTGAAATTCAGCATTGTTTGGTACTATTGGGTTGTCTGCTACTATTGATTTTTCTTGCATCTGTGTGGCTGTTATCTTAGCAACTGGACCATCATAGGGTTCTCTGTCCACCTTACAAGGCTTGTTAGTCTGAAAGTAAAAATAAAAGGTAAATACTTTTAGAACTTCAAGGTCATTTTCAAGGCTAAACTACCATAACCGTCTGAACATACATATAAAAGTTCAATTTAAATGTCATTTTCAAAAAGTTTACAGAATATTTTCATCTTAAGGAAAAAATTAAAGATTAATATTTCCAAAAGTTCAAGGTCATTTGTCAATGTAAACTGCCTTGTTTGTCAGGGGTACAATATAGGGTAAAAATTTCAAAAAGTTCAAGGTAATTTTTCATTGTTAACTCGACTACTCAATCTGAATGTAAATGTAAAGTTTAATATTGACAAAAATTGAAGATCAGTTGTCTACAAGGCCTGTTTGTGTGAATGCAGTAATAAAAAGTGAATTATTCTAAAAGTTGAAGGTCAATTTAAACTATCTTACAGGGCTTGTTGGTGAAAATGTAGAAATAAATGGTCCAAATTTTTTTTTAAATCAAGGGGATTTGTCAAATTGAATTTGCAAGAAAGTTCGCAAGTGTAAGAAAATAAAAAAGTAATTAATGAAATCTTTTCAAATATGCTGACATGAAAAAATATAAAGTTCATTGCACTTTGCGTTTGTTTGCTTTTAACCCTTGTTTTTTATGTTTATGTACTTTTTTTCTGAATATATACCACGTCTGTTCTTACTGATACAACATGTAGAAATGTGAGCCAATAATGCCCATGCTTTTTAAGTATTCAATAAACAGGAAGTTGAAGAAAAAAGAATCTGAAAAAGCATTACACAGTAAAACATGTTCAGAAAGCTCTTATTGGTAGTTTCGTAGAAAAATGTGACAAAAAAGTTTATAAATCGCCAGTATGTTTAGAATATATAAGTTTTTGTTTAGTTAATAAGCAAGATGGACAAAGGGAAGGGTAAATGTATCCCTTAAGATAAAAGTCAAGACATTAGTCCTTAGAAAGAAGTAATACGTCTGCGCAATATCCTAATGGCTGTAAAGTTTATTCAGACACAACAAAATAAAATGCTCCACAGTGTGCAGATTTTTATGACTGCAGTGGTCAAACCCTGGACAGTTGGGGCAAATATGGACACAACATGCAAGCTTGATACAGCTCTGAATTTGGATTGTGATTAAATATTTGACACAGCATAGGTTTCTGACACAGAATGAATGTTGTCTAAGAACTTAAAAATTTGAAATTGGACATTTACCTATCATGGTCCGATGTCCAAAATCTAAATACATGGTTAGATTCAGCATATCAAAGAACCCCAAGAATAAAAAATTTTATGAAATCAAACAAGTTTTATTCTGCAACCTTTGGATCTCAATGTGGACCAATTCAAAAAAACAGGGCCCAAAATCCACAATCTAAATACACTGTTAGAATCAGCATATTTAAGAACCCCAAAAATTCAGGACTTTGAATTAAACCCTACTGAAATTCATCAAGTAATAAGCAATTTATATAAAGTTTTAGAAAAGTATTGTTTTTGGCCCCCTTTCTCGTACACATTTGGAGCCATAACCCCCCCAAAAAACCCAACCTTTTTTGAGGTATTGAACCTTATGGTACATTTTCATAGAGATCCATACACTTATAATCAAGTTATTGTCCTGAAACAAGAAAAATGCTTATTTTGGCCCCTTTTTCCTAAACAGTTTGGACAATAACCCCCATAATCAATCCCAATCTTCCTTTCGTGGTATTGAACCTTGCGGTGCAATTTCAAAGAGATCCATACACTTATACTCAAGTTATTGTCTGGAAGCTAAATGTCTTTGGCAGCGATGACTAAGACATCACCACACCATAATACAAAACAAATACTTTTAAATCCTACAAAATTTAAGACACTTACCCTTTCTCTCTCTCTAATCCTACTGAACACGGCCTCAGAGTTACTTACCCTTTCTCTCTCTCTCTAATCCTACTGAACACAGAGTTACTTACCCTCTCTCTCTCTCTCTAATCCTACTGAACACGGCCTCAGAGTTACTTACCCTCTCTCTCTCTCTCTCTCTCTCTAATCCTACTGAACACAGTCTCAGAGTTACTTACCCTCTCTCTCTCTCTCTCTAATCCTACTGAACACAGTTTTACTTACCCTCTCTCTCTCTCTAATCCTACTGAACACGGCCTCAGAGTTACTTACCCTCTCTCTCTAATCCTACTGAACACGGCCTCAGAGTTACTTACCCTTTCTCTCTCTCTCTAATCCTACTGAACACAGAGTTATTTACCCTCTCTCTCTCTAATCCTACTGAACAAGGTCTCAGAGTTACTTACCCTTTCTCTCTCTCTCTCTCTAATCCTACTGAACACAGAGTTACTTTCCCCCTCTCTCTCTCTAATCTTACTGAACATGGCCTCAGAGTTACTGACCCTTTCTCTCTCTCTAATCCTACTGAACACGGCCTCAGAGTTACTTACCCTTTCTCTCTCTCTCTAATCTTACTGAACACAGTCTCAAGAGTTACTTACCCTTTCTCTCTCTCTCTAATCATACTGAACACGGTCTCAGAGTTACTTACCCTTTCTCTCTCTCTAATCCTACTGAACACAGTCTCAGAGTTACTTACCCTTTCTCTCTCTCTAATCCTACTGAACACAGTCTCATAGTTGCTTTCCCTTTTTCTCTCTCTAATCCTACTGAACACGGTCTCAAGAGTTACTTACCATTTCTCTCTCTCTAATCCTACTGAACACAGTCTCAAGAGTTACTTACCCTTTCTCTCTCTCTAATCCTACTGAACACGGCCTCAGAGTTACTTACCCTTTCTCTCTCTCTAATCCTACTGAACACAGTCTCAGAGTTACATGGAAGTGGTATAAATCTTCCCATTCCTTGTGTTACTCTAACCTATAAAAAAGTAAAATAAATGAATGTTTATTGGATACAGAGAAATTAATAATGTGTTGTTAGACATTTGGCTGTGGGAAATATTCTTTAAAACATGAAATCTTAAATTGTTCAATCATTTATGTCAAGTTACATGTATATCATAACTATGTTTAATGTCATGCTCTTCTCTGCAGACAGTTTATGAAGACTGTATACTAAGTCAGTTGAATGTGAACTTTTTTTCAGTATGGAAAAAATATGGTATTATTATTAGCGGATATTGTTTTTGTACAAATTTTCAGGTATTGCTGGTACTCTTAGAGCAGTACTTTGTGGTTTTTTTCTTTTTGCAAGTCTTTTTAAAGCTTGACACATGTTTAGACACCTGTCTATTGACAAGACTGTCTGTTGACTTCTAAATGTCTTTTGGTTATTATGTGTAGTTTATTGAGCTATGTCTCATTGACGCATTTCACAAATCTCCTTTTATTAATATGTATTTAGGCAAAAGAAAAATATAGTTGTCTTTTACCTCCCTTCTTACATGTACCTTAAATTTTCAGGCTTACCTGAACACACAAATATTTTGGTCCTGCAAGTTAAAGTTCAAATAAATTAAAGTTATTTTATCTACCTATCTATCTTAATTTTGTTTTCCTGCCAGGCAGCAGGGAATAAGTATATATTGTTTGACCTTAACTGCTCCTCATCTAAAACAACATGGCCGTTTGTCATGACATACTCTGCAACACCTTGACACATCATTCCTCAAAGATATTGAAATCTACAACTTTATTGAATAATATTTACCTGTCCCTCATCTAAAACAACATGGCCGTTTGTCATAACATACTCGGCAACACCATGACATGTCATTCCCTCAAAGATATTAAAATCTACAGCTTGATGATGTGTCTTAGCACTGATTGTTCTTGAAGCATTAGGATTCCAAATTACAATGTCTGCGTCTGAACCTACAGCTATACGCCCCTGTAATAAATAAGTCCTAGGTTACAATGAATGCGCTTTGGGTATCTGTTTGAGAGTTGTCCCATTGGCAATCATACCACTTCATATTATTTTTATATATATAGATAGGTTTCAATTTGACATTATTTGAGATTGAGTTATTTCCCTTGGCAGTCATTTCAGAGGCGTAAATGGTTCATTTTCTTAATTGAATTACCAAACTGAATTATGTGGTACAAACAAGTTTGATGAGTGATCCTTACTAGGTAGTAGTGATGAATTATGTAAGGCTAAAAGAAATGTCTAATGTCTAGTGGTCAATCTATACTATTAAATGAGAAGACCTCATTTTGTTTGTCGATTCTCTTCCTTCCACAATAAATTAATCATCATGTCTCTGAGTCCTATAGGTACCATGCATAGTCGCATTGGTCATCCTCGCTTATCATTATTCCGTTAGGGTTATTTTGGGAGTAAAACAAAAATAAAGGCGTCCATATATTGTTTCCGTCATTGGGTGGACTTTTAGGACTGTTTAAAATTACACATAATTTTCATAGGTACTTGGGAACAGGACAATTATTTTCGCTTTTTCTGTATACTATGAACATACATATACTATAAATAAAGTGTATTTGCTGTTTACTTTCAATTCCAAGTTTACTATCAACGGCAGTCATATATTATATAGAGATTATAGTATAATGGTGTTCATAGTAATATACAGAAAAACGCGAAAATAATTGAAATTAATAGAAAACAAACAAAAAATAACGGATTTTGAAAAAAGGGGAGAGCTAAAAAAAATTGTTCTGTCCCCCAAGTACCAATGACTTTTAATACCTTTCCTGAAATTATCCAGTCATAAAATCTTTCCCAAAAAATGATCTTATGCACAACAGTTTACATACCTCAACCACGCTCTAAATGCTCGCGATTTCGCTGGTGTGTTCTAGTATAAGTTGAATTTGGCTGATTAATGAAGGAATTTTTGCACGTAGACCTCCAATATGCCCATAAAAGTGAAGTAACTCTTATTGCATCAATAGAAACATATTATTACCTTTTGAGGATAAATATTAAATATTTTAGCAGCATTAGTACTAGTTACAGCTACAAATCTACATGGATCCATTTTACCAGTATGCTGAAATAGAAAATATAATGTATTCATAACAAAACAAAAATATTTTCTGACATTTCAAAAGTATGCAAGCAAGTTTAAATAAACCTATGAATAGGAAAGACTAGTTGGGTTACGGTTCACAGATGCATATATCCTTTTTTTTTTATGTAATATCCAGCATGTACATAAAGAATACATATTTTTCTCATTGGAATAGAGTTGGGTTCTGAAGAAGAAACGCCATTCCTGCAGTAAAATGGATTAGCCCTCACTAAATAGTTGAAATAAGAATAAACATAAGTAAAAAACTGTGAAAGTACTTTTATTCGTGGGGTACCAATTTTCGTGCTTTTCGTGGATGACTTTATCCACAAATTTAAGTGTCCAACAAAACATAACAACTGTCGTCCAAACCAAGACATGGAAAGATCCCCTGTAGGTTTGACTACATGGATACGGGCATATAATCTAGAGAAAACATCGAAATATCAGCAAACGCACTATGAACTATGTACAAACTTCAGACAGGATTTTAATCTTGAAAAAAATTAAGTTGCACGACTTTTAACCTTTTAATTCTCATGAAAAATTAGTTTGAAAGATGAAAGTCAGACTTCCGGTGATGATATATGATGATGAAGTGTTCATCTTATCTCCTAATGATTCTCTCACAAAAAAAAAAATTCATATTGGGCTTGCTTTTTTATTCCATAAGTATTATTTCATAAGTATTAATTCAAAGTACATATGTAGCATTTTTTATGCAACCTTTTTCTTTAAATGTCATGTTTATGGCCCAATTAACACCGTTGATGATCGTTAATCTGTTGATCATTCCAATTAGGTTAATTAGTGTCACCACTTCTGATTACACGTGTGTTTTAAACAATTAAAATGTTGACTTTGCAATTTCCTTCAATGGAACAATTTGTATTCAGAGATGAATCAGCTTATTTCTGAAAGGAATTATTTTATTAAAAATTTGACGAATGTTGTTAGAACCGAAAGACGAACAAGTAAGTGAAAATGAACACTATGAACAAGATTATTTTCAAGAATCTTCGTTTCTGATGGGTTCAAATTCTTCACCCGAATATTTTTTCAGAAAACTAAAATCCACGAGTTTAAGAACCCACGAACATGTAACTTTTGCTCAATCCACGAAAATTGATACCCACGGATAAAAGTACTTTCACAGTAAACATGCATAAAATAATAAAATACTGTTATATTCATAAATATGTTTGTATGTAGTACAGTATACATTAGTGTATTAGATTTTTGAAGGTGGTGGACATGGTTTCAAAGGTTCGTAACTCTTTTAAAAATAATTGATCGGCACTGATTTTCGAACTCGTTTGATACATTGCTAATATAAACCTACATTATAAGTTTCTTTACAATGTGGCAAAAATTGTACACACAAGAGCGCTAACGATGCAATTTTCCATGTAACTAATATTTCCAAGGGCATAACTCTTTTACAATAAGTTCATCGGCACTGATTTTCGAACTTGTCCGATACATTGCTGATAGAAACCTATGATATAAGTTTTATAAAAATTTTCCCAGAATTGTATATGTAAAAGCACTTAGAAGACCAGACGGACGGACGCCCGGAATTTCTATGCCCCCCACAACACATTGCGCGGGGGACCAAAAAATATATTGTTAAGACAAATTGACAATAAAAAGAATAATAGCATTTTATATACTGATACTGACTTCATCAGCTCCCTCTCTCTCAAAGATATAAACAATGATAACAATTATACTGATTGAGGATGCAGAACGTGATCAGTATTATCCATAAGCTAAATCTACAAATGCATGAATTGTTCTCATTGTAACAGAGTACCTACCACACCCTTCTCCCAAATGACAGACATTCTATCCTCTACACCATTTACTCCATTCGGTATTTTTCTAAAATCGTCTTTTCCTAAAGCTTTCTGATCAGCATTAAATGTACAATTATCTGTTCCCGTAACTTGTAAATCATTACTGTAAAATAGAAACAAAATGTGAGGGAATCAGTTCCCATATTTGTTTGAAATACAACTGATGAAAATGCCTTCTGTTTTTTAACACTTGCATGTCAGACGATTTTTTTTCAAAAATAAATTTACATCTTATGCTTATTTGTCAAGTTGTTCTGCTGTATTAGTTTTTTGCCTCTATTAGGATACCTTGGATTCATTTTTTTATTTTTAAGATATCACATTTTGTAGTTTCATTACCATGATTACTCGCTCCTTCAGTTCAACAGTTATTAATAAAATGCTTCGCTGGGCGCAGCTTGATACGACCGCAGAGGTCGAACCCTGAACAGTTGGGGCAAGTATGGACACAACATTCAAGCTTGATACAGCTCTGAATTTGGATTGTGATTAAATATTTGACACAGCATAGGTTTCTGACACAGAAAGAATGTGGTCTAAGAACTTCAATTTTTTTTAATTTACCTATTATGGTCCAATGTCCAAAATCAAAATACATGGTTAGATTCAGCATATCAAAGAACCCCATATATTCAATTTTTGTTGAAATCAAACAAAGTTTAATTTTGGACCCCAACTTGGACAAACTTTAAACTGGTCCCATAATCAAAAATCTAAACACATGTTTAGATTCAGCATATCAAAGTACCCCAAGAATTCAATTTTTGTTAAAATCAAACTAAGTTTAATTTTGGACCCTTTGGACCTTAATGTAGACCAATTTAAAAAACGGGACCCAAAATTAAAAATCTAAAAACACGGTTAGATTTGGCATATCAAAGAACACCAATAATTCAATTTTTGATGAAATCAAACAAAGTTTAATTTTGGACCCTTTTGACCTCAATATGAACCAATTTGATAGCAGGCCCACAAAATAAAAAATCTAAATACATGGTAAGATTCAGCATATCAAAGAACCCCATATATTCAATTTTTGTTGAAATCAAACAAAGTTTAATTTTGGACCCCATTTGGACCAACTTGAAAACTGGGCCAAAAATCTAAAATCTTAATACATGTTTAGATTCAGCATATCAAAGAACCCCATATATTCAATTTTTGTTGAAATCAAACAAAGTTTAATTTTTGACCCCAACTTGGACCAACTTGAAAACTGGTCCCATAATCAAAAATCTAAACACATGTTTAGATTCAGCATATCAAAGAACCCCAAAAATTCGATTTTTGTTAAAATCAAACTAAGTTTAATTTTGGACCCTTTGGACCTTAATGTAGACCAATTTAAAAAACGGGACCCAAAATTAAAAATCTAAATACACGGTTAGATTTGGCATATCAAAGGACCCCAATAATTAAATTTTTGATGAAATCAAACAAAGTTTAATTTTGGACCCTTTTGACCTCAATATGAACCAATTTGATAGCGGGCCCACAAATAAAAAATCTAAATACATGGTAAGATTCAGCATATCAAAGAACCCCATATATTCAATTTTTGTTGAAATCAAACAAAGTTTAATTTTGGACCCCAATTTGGACCAACTTGAAAACTGGGCCAAAAATCTAAAATCTAAATACATGTTTAGATTCAGCATATCAAAGAACCCCATATATTCAATTTTTGTTGAAATCAAACAAAGTTTAATTTTGGACCCCAATTTGGACCAACTTGAAAACTGGGCCAAAAAATCTAAAATCTAAATACATGTTTAGATTCAGCATATCAAAGAACCCCATATATTCAATTTTTGTTGAAATCAAAAAGTTTAATTTTGGACCCCAACTTGGACCAACTTGAAAACTGGGCCCATAATCAAAAATCTAAACACATGTTTAGATTCAGCATATCAAAGAACCCCAAGAATTCAATTTTTGTTAAAATCAAACTAAGTTTAATTTTGGACCCTTTGGACCTTAATGTAGACCAATTTAAAAACGGGACCCAAAATTAAAAATCTAAATACACGGTTAGATTTGGCATATCAAAGAACCCCAATAATTCAATTTTTGATGAAATCAAACAAAGTTTAATTTTGGACCCTTTTGACCTCAATATGAACCAATTTGATAGCGGGTCCACAAATAAAAAATCTAAATACATGGTTAGATTCAGCATATCAAAGAACCCCAAGAATTCAATTTTTGATGAAATCAAACAAAGTTTAATTTTGGACCCTTTTGACCTCAATGTGGACAAAGTTGATAACGGGGCCCAAAAATCAAAAATCTAAATACATGGTTAGATTCAGCATATCAAAGAACCCCATATATTCAATTTTTGTTGAAATCAAACAAAGTTTAATTTTGGACCCCGATTTGGACCAACTTGAAAACTGGGCCCATAATCAAAAATCTAAATACATGTTTAGATTCAGCATATCAAAGTACCCTAAATATTCAATTTTTGTTAAAATCAAACTAAGTTTAATTTTGGACCCTTTTGACCTTAATGTAGACCAATTTGAAAACGGAACCAAAAATTAAGAATCTAAATACACGGTTAGATTTGGCATATCAAAGAACCCCAATAATTCAATTTTTGATGAAATCAAACAAAGTTAAATTTTGGACCCTTTGGACCTCAATGTGGACCAATTTAAAAACGGGGCCCAAAATCCAAAAACTTAATACACGGTTAGATTCAGCATATTAAAGAACTCCAAGAATTCAAGAATAAAACCCCATTGAAATTGATCAAGAAATAAGCAATTTATACGAAGTATCTTCTTTTGCACAATACTGTGCAATTGAATATTTCTTGCTATTGTGCAATACTGTACAATTGACAATTTCTTGCTATTGCGCAATATTGTGCTATTGGATATTTCTTGCTATTGCGCAATACTGTGCAATTGAAGATTTCTTGCTATTGCGCAATACTGTGCAATTGAAGATTTCTTGCAATTGTGCAATACTGTGCAATTGAAAATTTCTTGCTATTGCACAATACTTATTATATAATAATTTACACATCCTGTTTGGTGTGTATCTCCTACCATATCATTATTATTTGCTTTTAAATATTAATCAGAAATAACCAACTTAAAATGGAAAATTTTAAAAGAAAAAAAAAAGGAAAAACAGAAAAAAAAAGAAAAAAAAAAATTCCCCCCCCCCCAAATTTTTTGAACCCCCTTATGATTCATCACCCCCAAACTCAATCCCAGCCTTCCCTTTGTGGTATGGTACCTTGCAGTACAATTTCAGAGAGATCCATACACTTGAACACAAGTTATTGTCTGGAAACTAGAAAAATGCTTATTTTTGGCCCCTTTTTGGCCCCCAATTCCTAAACGTTTCGGGCAATTACCCCCAAACTCAATTCCAGCTTTCCCTTTGTGATATGGAACCTTGTAGTACAATTTCAGAAATATCCAAACACTTACACACAAGTTATTGTCATGAAACTAGAAAAATGCTTGTTTTTTGCCCCTTTTTTGGCCCCTAATTCCTAAAATTTTGAGGCAATTACCCCCAAAATCAATTACAGCCTTCCCTTTGTGATATGGAACCTTGTGGTACAATGTCAGAGAGATCCATACACTTACACACAAGTTATTGTCTGGAAGTTACAAAAATGCTTATTTTTGGCCCCTTTTTGGCCCCTAATTCCTTAACTGTTGGTACCATAACCCCCAAAATCAATCCCCACCTTCCTTTCGTGGTATTGAACCTTATGGTAAAATTTCATGGAGATCCATTCACTTAAACTAAAGTTAGAGTGCGAAAACCAATGTGTCTTCGGACGACGCCGGACGACGCCAGACGACGACGACGACGACGACGACGACGACGACGACGACGACGACGACGACGACGCCAACGTCATACCAATATACGACCAAAAAATTTTCAATTTTTGCGGTCGTATAAAAACTGCTCATATTATACATGTCATAGTAACTTCAAACTACTACTATCAAAGTAACTTAAAATTTGAATTTCAGGCAGAACTTTCTTGAGGGTCTCTGTTGAATGTGTATATATACAAAAGCCAAATCAAAGATTAATATAAGGTATGGACAAAATATAACGCTGAATGTTGATAAGGGACATAGTTATCAAAGGTACCAGGCTTATAATTTGATACGCCAGACGCGCGTTTCGTCTACATAAGACTCATCAGTGACGCTCAGATTAAAATAGTTAGAAAGCCGAAAAAGTACAAAGATGAAGAGCATAACTCAGGAAGATATTGACAGATTAATTAATCCTTGGCCAAGGGACATAACTCAAACTGAATAACATTTTTCATAAATTAATTTATCCCAGTACATACTTTGCTAACAAATCCATAAGATAACCTGGTGTAGTAGGGTCAGGCCGGAGTGGTGGTCCCATCACATGACCAGCAGCATGTCTCCAACATTTATTCCAATAGTGTGTTCCATCTGTTCCTAAACTAGCAGCTATTGGTTCACCAAATACAACTTTACCTGTAAGAAATCAGATAATTAAGCTTATGTATTTTTTTGTTATTCCGCTTGCACCCCTCCCTCCAAAATAAAACCTAAATATATTGAATACAGTAGTTATTTCCAAAGCCTTATATGTCTTTTATTATCCAAATTTTTTTCAGGCATTTTTTGTTTGATTGAAATTATGAAAATATGATATTACTTTTGGTTGAACAATTAACAAAAAATGGGAGTTTCAGGAAATGCTGCATAAAAATATAAATAAAATAAAAAATTTTATTTTTGAAAAACCTTTCTCCCATAGCAAATTTGGCGAGAAACAAAAGCATCATAAAAATTTCAGAATTTAATAATTGTTAAGAAACTGTGATTGCAGTTAATCCAGTTCTGTTCAGTCACTTTTCAGGATTAACTCAAGATGAAATGTGTCTCCACAGTTGAACACTCTCAGGCAACACACACATAGACTGAACTAATTAGAACTGACCAAATCTATATATCTGAACAGCAGTGAAAATTGCTGAACGAACATGTCTGAAATAACAATTTGATCTTGTTGCTCACAAATGACACCCCAATTATTAGTAATCAGTAAACAGGAAGTTGATGAATCATGGATGTATCATTTCCTTACATGAAGGTTGATTCCAAATGACAGAATGTCTTGATTTGTAGTTCCCCAATAAGGAAAATGCAAAAAAAAATCATACATGGCCATTATGTGAAAGAATCTACCAGTATTCCATTAATAGGAAATTGATCAGCAATAAAATATAAAAATGCATCACACAGTATAGTATGCTTGCTCATATGAAGCTTGGTACCAAATTTCAGGATTATTTTCAGTTCCTCAGGAAAATTTTACCAAAATATTGTGGGACAGATGGACTGATGGACAGACAAAATGTAAACCCATATACCTCAACCTTTGGAGCAGGGTTAAAAAAACTGAGCATTACAAAATAAATTGTAGTTCAGTCTCTTCAGACTGATAAAGCCCAAAATGGCCGTGTTTTCATCACTTCAGATTGTTACAACATCGACTGTTACCTTCTCTCCTAGCCTCATTGATGACCTTCCCAGCAGTTTTACTCATCACCTTGACGATATACAAAGGACAGTTTGCCTGATTTGCAATAGCTATTGCTCTCGATGCAGCTTCACCTTCAACCTAAGAGTCCAAGGTCAAAAGTTCAATTTGTATTGTAATACAGGATCATTAAAGAGTTTAACATGTTAACCTTGTGGCAGGAGAAGTATATTTTGAATCATTTATTCCAAAGTTTATTGTTTACTTCTTTAAAACCAAATGTTTTTGTTTGGTTTCATTTAATCTATAGGAAATTAGCTCCAAAATCAACTTCTCTCAATTTCACCAATGCAACCAGGACTCATGCTATTATCAAAACCTTGTTACATTGCTGCCACCACAATTGTTATGTGTTCTAACATAATATAACTATAATATTGAAGAAGAAAATACACTACAGCTCAGATGAATATTTTAATTTCCACCAGCCCACCTCGACCAACCTATTTCTTCCTGCCCACCTTGACCAACCTAGGTCTTCCTACCCACCTTGACCAACATATTTCCACCAGCCCACCTTGACCAATCTATTTTCACCTGCCCACCTTGACCAACCTGTTTCTTCCTACCTAAAGTTAACCTCAAAATTTAGTATTAAAAAAACATATTGATTCCAAAATTGTAATTTGTTTTTCAAAGGTTAATGTATGTTAACTTCTTATGATGGGTGACAATAAATGGTATAACCAATCTATAAGATGGTTGCAGGGGTAAAAGGTGAAAAGAGAAAAACCCATCTGAGCTGAAGTCTAAAAAAGATTGCATGAAGACGATCCAGGGAATGCTTATCAGTCCAAAAATATTGTTTCCACTTAAATTCAAATTCCAAACGCCATTTACTGTAAAGTGCAATTTCGCTAATTTCACGATTAAATTTAAAATCGTGGCAATAAACACCTGCAAAAATTTAATCTTTAAAAAAAAATTTAAATCAGAGAATTAAGGGGCCAAAAAGGAATCTAAAGTAAAATCACTGATTATGGTTTGCCCTGGCAATGATGAAATTTTAACTTGGTGGATATAATTTACACTAAAAACCATCTTCGTGCAATCTTCTGTACAATCATGCTAAGCTTGCTCACCTTGTCGACGAGCTTTAGTGACAACTTTTGCGGCAGATTTACTCATAACATGAACAATATATAACGGACAGTTAGCCTGATTGGCTAAAGTAATTGCTCTATTCGTAGCCTCTGCTTCAACCTAAACAAACAATAACCATCATCAAACGATAAACAAAATACATGTAGAAGTCATACAAGCAATCAAAATAAAAACATTGAGTGTCAAATGAAAATCACAGAAATGTATTAGTCTTTCATGTACATAATGTATTAAAATTCTAACTGAAGGATCTGGCATGCAAATAGATAAACTAATATAAATAAATGTGGATAGTGTCCACATGTGGACACAGATGATGCCCCCGCTTGCATATCATATAGTTATAAAGGGACATAACTGAAGAACGGTAAAAGTGACGCTACCCAAATTTGAATTTGATCTTAGTTTTGTGGTAATAAGCATGTGTGTAAGTCTCATAACATTTGGTTTAGGCTAACTTAAGTAGAGAACAGAAACTAAAAATTCAGCAATTTTTCTATTTGTAAACATGCATAACTCTAGAACGGTTGTGTATAAGTTTTATAACATTAAGTTGAAACAAACAAAAAAATTCAGCAATTTTTATGTTTATAAAGGGACATAACTCAAGAATGGTAAAAGTGTCGCCACCTTATTTCGTACTTAATCTGTATTATGTAGTAATAAGAATTGTGTATAAGTTTCATAACAGTTGGTTGAGGCAAACTAAAGTTAGAAAACGGAAACAAAAAATTTGTACTTGATCTTAGTTTTGTGGTGATGAATATTGTGTATAGGTTTCATAATGTTTGGTTGGGGCAAACTAAAGTAACAGAATGGAAACTAAAAATTTTGCAATCTTTCGATTTATAAAGGGCATACCTCAATAATGGTTAAAGTGACACTACCCAAATTCAACTTGATCTGTGTTTTATCAGTGGAAGTCAAAATTAAACATTGCATTGTATAAAGCATTGATTGTAGTTGATTCAACTATAATCCTGGACAAAGGAAGATAACTCCAATTTTAATATAAATTACTTGATATTTACAAGAAAATAAAAATTTTGCAATTTTTCTTTTATAAAGGGGTATAACTCTAGAACGGTTAAGTGACTCCACCAAAATTCAAACTTGATCTGTGTTTTGTGGTAATAAGCATTGTGTATAAGTTTCATAACATTTGGTTGAGGCAAACTTAAGTTAGAGAACGGAAACTAAAAATTTTGCAATTTTTCCATTTATAAAGAGGCATAACTCTAGAACGGTTAAAGTGACGCCACCAAAATTCAAACTTGATCTGGGTTTTGTGGCAATAAGCACTGTGTATATGTTTCATAACATTTGGTTGAGGCAAACTTAAGTTAGAGAATGGAAACTAAAAATTTTCCAATTATTCCATTTATAAAGGGGCATAACTCTAGAAAGGTTACAGTGACGCCACCAAAATTCAAATTTGATCTGTGTTTTGTGGTTATAAGCACTGTGTATAAGTTTCATAACATTTGGTTGAGGCAAACTTAAGTTAGAGAACGGAAACTAAAAATTTTCCAATTATTCCATTTATAAAGGGGCATAACTCTAGAACGGTTACAGTGACGCCACCAAAATTCAAACCTGATCTGTGTTTTGTGGTAATAAGCATTGTGTATAAGTTTCATAACATTTGGTTGAGGCAAACTGAAGTTAGAGAACGGAAACCAATTTTGGGACGTACGGACGGACGTACGTACGTACGTACGTACGTACGTTCGTACGTACAGACGGACAAGGGTAAAACTTAATGCCCCCACCGCTACGGCGGGGGCATAAAAAAGGAGATGTAGTATGATTGCCAATGAGACAACTCTCCACCAGAGACAAAAGGACATAAGTGTAGGTTGTTTTATGAATTTATGTCTAAGGTTACAATGTGATGAACTGTTTTGGTACTTTTCAGAAAAATATTTAAATTCCAAAATTTGTTTTAACCAAATCTCCAACTTTTGTTTTTGAAGACAAATCACAACTGCACAATAATTTTTATTTAATTCTGATTTTCAATAAGGTTTCATTATAAACAGGATAAAACTTTATACTTTAAGTGTTTCAATTTAAATCCATTGGGTTGATTTGTCATGGATAATACATCCACTTTTTTCATATCAATGGCAAACCTGCTTAAGGATGTTCGCTCCTCTTGTTTTAGAATTTTTGCCAGATTTTCGGAATCCTCTGGTTTTATCCATGTAGTGCCATTAACAATTTTTGCCCGCAAACCCCTACTTTTCTTTTCATATTTTTATTACATATAGTTTAAGAAGTCATATTTGAAAATCTCATGAAATCCTTGTTATTTTTTCACAGTTTTTGAAAGAAAAAAGGTGCCAATGTTTATATATAATAAATGTATGAAAAGTCAAGAGAGAATCACTTCCCGCCAAATTTTCAATGGCTAATATCTTGAAAACAAGCACACAGACCCTTCATTTTTTTCTGCTTTTTTAGTTCCATTATTCATATTCTTTCAATTTATAACAGTCTTTTAAAAAGCTTTTTATTCTGAAACAGAGAAGCAAACATCCTTAAACAAAATAAAATCATCATAAATAAATTGCTTACTAATTATAGATTATTGATGATTCTTGCAACAAGAAGGAATTTCTTTGCTACAATCTCAACGAAGGGGGACATGAGATAGGCCATTAATAATCTGTTTATAGCAATGTTTCCAGGCTAAGTCAATGATGTGAGCCTATGACATCATATATTCTCTTTTTACTCAACTGAGAAAATCTTGATATGGAAAATAGTCATACAGAATGATCAATGGAAAATTAAAGGAAAATAGCAATAATATGATTATTAAACTAGAGGCTCTCAAGAGCCTGTGTCGCTCACCTGTATTTACTGATGCTTTGGAAATCATGTAAAATAAGGTTAAAATCATAATTAATAGTATTAGATATTAGATATTATAATGATATCTAAGATAATAACAAAAAACTGCAAAATTTTTGTAAAATTACTAACTCATGGTCAGAAACCCAACAACGGGTCGTCGGATTTGTCTGAAAATTTCAGGGCAGATAAATCTAAATCTGATGAACATTTTTGCCACCTTGTCAGATTTGCTCTAAATGCTTTAGTTTCAGAGATATAAACCAAAAACTGCATTTTACCCCTATGTTCTATTTTTAGCCATGGCGGCCATCTTGGTTGGTTGGCGGGGTCATCTGACAAATTTGTTTAAACAAGATACCCTAATAATGATTATGGCCAAGTATGGTTAAATTTGTATCAGTAGTTTCAGAGAAGAAGATTTTTCTGTAAAAGATTACAAAAATTTATGAAAAATTGTTAAAAATTGATTATTAAGGGCAATAACTCCTAAAGGGGTCAACTGACAATTTTGGTCATGACAACTTATTTGTAGATCTTACTTTGCTGAACATTATTGCTGTTTACAGTTTATCTCTATCTATAATAATATTCAAGATAATAACCAAAAACTGCAAAATTTCCTTAAAATTACCAATTCAGGGGCAGCAACCCAACAACAGATTGTCAGATTTGTCTGAAAATTTCAGGGCAGATAGATCTTGACCTGATAATCAGTTTTACCCTTTGTCAGATTTCCTCTAAATGCTTTGGTTTCAGAGATATAAGCCAAAATCTACATTTTACCCCTATGTTCTATTTTTAGCCATGGCAGCCATCTTGGTTGGTTGGCAGGGTCATCGGACACATTTTTTAAACTAGATACCCTTATGATGATTGTGGCCAAGTTTGGTTAAATTTGGCCCAGTGGTTTCAGAGGAGAAGATTTTTGTAAAAAGCTTACAACGACAGACGACGACGCCGACAGACGATGGACGACGGACGCCAAGTGATGAGAAAAGCTCACTTGACCCTTCGGGTCAGGTGAGCTAAAAAGTAGTATCAAAATGAATTGAACTGTTTGTTAGTTTATTGTTCGATGGTACGAACACAAAATTTTTGCACACAACATGGATGTTGTTGGGTTGCTGTCTTATAAACATTTACTCTTTAATCAAAATTCTACACTACAATGACAGTACATGAGCTATATTTTACACTTTTAAGTCTTTTTTGTGTGTTTATCATTGATAATAACAAACACCTCCATAATAATGGACCAATTTGAAAGTGCAATCAGGTTTTCTTGTATAGCTAGTTAAATTGCAGTTTGGACTTGTCCGATGTTCAGTCAATTTGTTACTTTTATTGCTATTAGTCAACTGTCAGCAAAGTTAATTATTTTGGCTTTCTAAAAAGTTTGGTTCTCAAGCATTTACCTGATGGAAGTTATACCAGAGATATGTGTTGTCCTATATTTTAACCTACTGACCTCCTCAGGACGGCACATCTCATGAGCTTCTGGACCTGTTATTCCATGCTGGATCATTTCTGAGGATTTCTGAAAAAAATTGCAATCCAATTTTACAAATCTTTACTTTGAAATTGTAAATGTCCAAATATATATAAGACATTTATTCTGCAACCACACAGTTGAACCTACTAAGAAAATAACCACATTGTCTCAGTATTTTAATTTTGTTTATATCATTCCAGCGAGTCTTGCATTTTACTTGTTCTAAATCTCTGAGAAATATTTTTTATTCTCAGAGACAACCTACAAATGTATAAACCTTTCATATCGCTTTATAGGAGTCAATTAAATATAACATTACACAAGTCTATGTCAAGTCAATAACGGACTTTAATCACCTCTTTTCTCAATCGTCGGTTATGATCCTCTTCAACTTTATTTGACCTTTTAACCCTTTCAACGCTACACAAAATAAAATGCTTCGCTGGGGCGCAGCTTGATACGACCGCAGAGGTCGAACGCTGAACAGTTGGGGCAAGTATGGACACAACATTCAAGCTTGATACAGCTCTGAATTTGGATTGTTATTAAATATTTGACACAGCATAGGTTTTTGACACAGAAAGAATGTGGTCTAAGAACTTGAATTTTTTTAATTTACCTATTATGGTCCAATGTCCAAAATCAAAATACATGGTTAGATTCAGCATATCAAAGAACCCCATATATTCAATTTTTGTTAAAATCAAACAAAGTTTAATTTGGACCCCAACTTGGACAAACTTGAAAACTGGGCCCATAATCAAAAATCTAAACACATGTTAAGATTCAGCATATCAAAGAATCCCAAGAATTCAATTTTTGCTTAAATCAAACTTAGTTTAATTTTGGACCCTTTGGACCTTAATGTAGAACAATTTAAAAAACGAGACTTAAAATTAAAAATCTAAATACACAGTTAGATTTGGAATATCAAAGAACCCCAATAATTCAATTTTTGATGAAATCATACAAAGTTTAATTTTGGACCCTTTTGACCTCAATATGAACCAATTTGATAGCAGGGCCCACAAATAAAAAATCTAAATTCATGGTAAGATTCAGCATATCAAAGAACCCCATATATTCAATTTTTGTTGAAATCAAAAAAAGTTTAATTTTGGACCCCAACTTGGACCAACTTGAAAACTGGGCCCATAATCAAAAATCTAAACACATGTTTAGATTCAGCATATCAAAGAACCCCAAGAATTCAATTTTTGTTAAAATCAAACTTTGTTTAATTTTGGACCCTTTGGACCTCAATGAAGACCAATTTAAAAAACAGGACCCAAATTAAAAATCTAAAACACGGTTAGATTTGGCATATCAAAGAACCCCAATAATTCAATTTTTGATGAAATCAAACAAAGTTTAATTTTGGACCCTTTTGACCTCAATATGAACCAACTTGATAACGGGGTCCACAAATAAAAAATCTAAATACATGGTTAGATTCAGCATATCAAAGAACCCCATATATTCAATTTTTGTTGAAATCAAACGAAGTTTAATTTTGGACCCCAATTTGGACCAACTTGAAAACTGGGCCCATAATCAAAAATCTAAATACATGTTTAGATTCAGCATATCAAAGAACCCCATATATTCAATTTTTGTTGAAATCAAACAAAGTTTAAATACTGGACCCTATCTTGGACCAACTTGAAAACTGGGCCCATAATCAAAAATCTAAGCACATGTTTAGATTCAGCATATCAAAGAACCCCAAGAATTCAATTTTTGTTAAAATCAAACTTAGTTTAATTTTGGACCCTTTGGACCTTAATGTAGACCAATTTAAAAAACAGGATCCAAAATTAAAAATCTAAATACACGGTTAGATTTGGAATATCAAAGAACCCCGATAATTCAATTTAAGATGAAATCAAACAAAGTTTAATTTTGGACCCTTTTGACCTCAATATGAACCAACTTGATAACGGGGTCCACAAATAAAAAATCTAAATACATGGTTAGATTCAGCATATCAAAGAACCCCATATATTCAATTTTTGTGAAATCAAACAAAGTTTAATTTTGGACCCCAATTTGGACCAACTTGAAAACTGGGCCAAAAATCAAAAATCTATATACATGTTTAGATTCAGCATATCAAAGAACCTCATATATTCAATTTTTTCTAAAATCAAACAAAGTTTAATTTTGGACCCTTTGGACCTTAATGTAGACCAATTTGAAAACTGAACCCAAAATTAAAAATCTAAATACACTGTTAGATTCGGCATAACAAATAAATAAATGTGATCAAAGATTTTACAAATCTAATGCGCCATACTGTGCAATTAAAGATTACTTCTTGAAATTTTTCAATATTTGAAATTTGAAATAAAAATAATATTTGAAGAATAATTCTTTTTAATTTCTGAAATCTGAAATGAGAAAAAATTGACCCCCCACCATTTCTTTTTACCTCCCCCCCTTTTTTCCCCCAAAAATTCTTTCCCTCAAGATATGGTCATAATCTCAATTCAAATTTCCAATGGAGTTGGCAACCATAATTACCCATTTAAATTTACCATAGTGCTAACTTAATCTATTTTATAATAGAATTAATAAAATGCTTCGCTGGGGCGCAGCTTGATACGACCGCAGAGGTCGAACCCTGAACAGTTGGGGCAAGTATGGACACAAAATTCAAGCTTGATACAGCTATGACTTTGGATTGTCATTAAATATTTGACACAGCATAGGTTTCTGACACAGGATGAATGTGGTGTAAGAACTGGAAAAAATTTAATTTACCTATTATGGTGGAATATCCATAAACTAAATTGTTTGTTAATTTCAATATATCAAAGAATATGTAGAATTCAATGTTTGATGTAATGTAATAAAGTTGAAATTTGGACCGTTTTTGTTCAATGTGGACCAATTTGGTAACATGTATAAATAACCAAAAATCTAAATACATGGGAGCCCATTTAAATACATCATAAAGGTATTAAAATAGAAAGTGACATCATAGTCATGACTAAAAATAAACAAAAATCCTTAATCAGCAACATTTAAAGTAATATCTAAAAATAAAATTCCTTTGTAACCATAAAAGCCCATTTAAATACATCAAAAAGATATTAAAATAGAAAATGACATCATAGTCATGGCTAAACATAGCAAAAAACCCTTAATCAGCATCATTTAACAGTAATATCTAAAAATGGAAATTACATCATAAAGGTATTAAAATAGAAAATGACATCATAGTCATGGCTAAAAATAAACAAAATCCGTAATCAGCATCAGCAACATTTTATAGTAATATCTAAAAATAAAATTCCTTTGTAACCATAAAAGCCCATTTAAATACATCATAACAGATATTAAAATAGAAAATGACATCATAGTCATGGCTAAACATAGCAAAAACCTTAATCAGCATCATTTAAGGTAGATAGGGTGTCTTCCTCCATCTTGGATTTTGAAATACCAGAAAACAATCGGTCTAGATCTTTAATAAAAGGTGCAAATTTTGAGAGTAGTAGGTAATTCATGTGTAAGAATTTTTTACATCAATATAGAAAATGACATATTTTATCATATTTATGGTTGTATTTTACAAAAAAAACAGAATACTTTTGTTTGATTCTATTTTTTCCAACTTTGCCGCATAAGGGGAGGCAACTCAAATGTAAGGGCAGATAATTCAGATAAAGTTATTTTTACAATAGAATGTGTTAGGAATTTACCTATTTTATTATGTAGCAAGAAAACGGGTCCCGTGACCCCATTTTTTCTTTTTCTTATCTGAAAGCATACTATTAGAGCTATCTTCTTATATTTTATCTTAAAATTCTATGGTGTAGTTTTCGTTTTATGGCAGAAAATCGGATTTTCCATGCATAATCTATACAAAATCTGTCAATATTGCACAACCTGTAGCGTGAAAATAAGCCCCGTGACTCATTCTTTTTATTATTATTTTTTTAAAAACATGATATAAACTACATTTTGGCAAATTATTAAAAAATTCTATGGATTATAATTTAGACACCCCATCTACCTTAACAGTAATATCTAAAAATAAAAATTTCTTTGCAACCATAAAAGTAAAATAGAAAATGACATCATAATCATAGCTAAAAATAAACAAAAATTTTTTTTATTGGCAAATTTTAAATGGAGTTTATTATACTAAAACAATAAATTTGCAACCATAAACATGATAAAACCCCATTTAAACACATCATAAAAGTATTAAATAATTCAACTACATCATAAGGCTATAAAAATAGAAAATGACTTCATAGTCAAGGCTAAAGGTAAACAAAAAACCTTCATCAGCAAAATTTTATATTGGCAAATTTCCAATGAAGTTTATTACACTAAAATTGTTGGCAAATTTCCAATGCATTTATTAACAATAAAGTTATTGGCAAATTTCCAATTTACATAATTTAAAAGCAGTGTAGATGAGATATTTAAATGAGTTTGAATTACCAACCTTACACTGCTTTTAAATAATGTTCTTTACTCAATTATTTGTCTATTAAAATGGAAACCCTTGTTTTTTAACCTTTTTTCCCCTTATTCCTTAAACATTAGAGCCATAACCCCCCCCCCCCCCCCCCCCCCAAAGCCAATTATTACTTTCCAATGTAACCTAAATTTCCAATATACATAATTTTAAATTTCAGTTCCTCATGATATATAACCGTATCATTATTATTTTCTTTCATATATAAATCTGAAACAACCATCTTTAAATGGAAAATTTTAAAGAAAAAAAAAGGAAAAAAAAAAATCCTACCCCCCACACATTTTTTCAACCCCCTTTTGATTCATCATCCCCCACCTCAATCACAACCTTCAATTTGTGGTATGGTACATTGCAATACAATTTCACAGAGATCCATACACTTGAACACAAGTTTTTGTTGCAAACTAAAAAAATCCTTATTTTCGACCAATATTTGGCCCCTTATTCATAAATGTTTGAGCAATTAACCCCAAAACTCAATTCCTACTTTCTCTTCGTGATAAAAAATAACTAACTTAAAATGTAAATTTTAAACAAAAAAAAAAGGAAAAAAAAAAATTACCCCTTTTTTGACCCCGCCCCCCTTATGATTCATCACCCCCACCCCCCTTTCCCCCCAAACCAAGCTCAATAACAGCCTTGCCTTTGTGGTATGGTACCTTGTAATACAATTTTAGAGAGATCCATACACTTGAACACAAGTTATTGTCTAGAAACTAAAAAATGCTTATTTTAAACCCCTTTTTAGGCCCCTTATTACTAAACGTTTTGGGCAATTACCACAACACTCAATTCCAGCTTTCCCTTTGTGAAATGGAACCTTGTAGTAAAATTTCAGAAAGATCCATACACTTACACACAAGTTATTGTCATGAAACTAGAAAAATGCTTGTTTTTTGCCCCCTTTTGGCCCCTTATTCCTAAAATTTTGAGGCAATTAACCCCAAAATCAATCCCAGCATTGACCCTTAGTGATATGGAATCTTGTGGTACAATGTCAAAGAGATCCATATGCTAACACACAAGTTATGTCTGGAAGTTACAAAAATGCTTATTTTCGGCCCCTTTTTGGCCCCTAATTCCTTAACTGTTGGTACCATAACCCCTAAAATCAATCCCCACCTTCCTATTGTGGTATTGAACCTTATGGTAAAATTTCATAGAGATCCATTCACTTAAACTAAAGTTAGAGTGCGAAAACCATTGTGTATTCGGACGACGACGACGACGACAACGACGACGACGCCAACGTCATACCAATATACGACCTCAAAATTTTTTTGCGGTCGTATAAAAATATAGTGTCAAATCTTTCATATGGATTTTTTTGTAAAAAAAAAAGATGCAACATTTGCAGATATTTTTACTGGTCTTCCTTTATAAATATGCATTTCTTTAAACATAATTTAAAAGCAGTGTAAGGGAAGTAACCAAAACGTTGTATTTGGATTACCTCCCTTACACTGTTTTAAATTATCTTTATTGTTCATTAACCATTAATTTATACATAATTTAAAAGCAGTGTAAGGGAGATAATTTCAATGATGTATTTGATTCATCTCCCTTACACTGCTTTAATTTATGTTTTTTACTAAAGTATTTAACCATTAACCAGGACAACCTTGTTTTTCCCCCTTTTTTTCCCCTAATTCCTAAACGGTTTGAGCCATAACCCCCCAAAGTAAATCCTAACCATCCCTTTGTGGTATGGAAACTTGTAGTATAATTTCAGAGAGATCCATACACCGTTCCACAGTTATTGTCTGGAAACTAGAAAATGCTTATTTTTGGCCCCTTTTTGGCCCCTAATTCCTTAACTGTTGGTACCATAACCCCCATAATCAATCCCAACATTCCTTTAGTGGTATTTAACCTTATGGTCAAATTTCAAAAAGATCCATTCACTTAAACTAAAGTTAGAGTGCGAAAACCAATGTGTCTTCTGACGACGACGCTGGACGACGACGACAACGACGACGCCAACGTCATACCAATATACGACCACAAAATTTTTTTGCGGTCGTATAAAAATAGAAAAATGGCTGCTGCTGCTGCATTTCTTTTGTGTTCATTCAATAGAACAGTATATTCCTTTTCAGACTGCTGTATCTTTTTTGTTATTAGAGATACAGACAAAGTTAGTGCATGAAAAATGCTCAGGAGAGCAATTGAACTGTAATGTTATGCAATTATTTTAGTAAAATTTTCATCAAGCTTCCTGCATTTTCAGGTAATTAAGTAAAAGGTGTAAATTATTGTATTTGTGTTGAATTTTTAATAAAAACAACTTTTAATCTTTATTTATTTTGTTGTTTTATCTGCCATATAATAAAGAAGACACCAGTTGCTCGATTCGGTAGCGTATTTGCACCATACACAACGTATAATGTAAACGTGGCGCAAATAAATGGCTCCATCTTCAAAATTTTCCGTCAACCTCCGTTTCCCCCCTTTTTCTACGTCTCGTAAAGATCGACCAAATCATATTTCCCACACGAATTGAATGTAATTAACACATTGAGATAATGTGAAACCTTTAAACTATTCCTCATTGTCAGTTTCGCCATAGAAATGCTGAAATATTTCCATATTTACAGCGTCTTTTTCGATTTCCGCCATTTGCATTTTGTCAAAATATTTGTTTTTATTTTTCTTCTACTGCATGCTTTTACCATTAAAATTCGTGCGATTTCAAGCTCAAATGGGACCTAGTATATCCTCGATTCATATGAGGAAAAATTAGAGAGGACCCGAATGAAAACTGAATGGTATACGATTCTGGATGAAAAATCCATCGTTATCGCGACATATGCCGCGAACAGCAGTGGCGGACGGCATACGTCATCGCGGCATATGCTGTGTATAGCATTGAAAGGGTTAAGTTTTTTTTTTATTCCGCCATCACTGGTGAGGCTTTTGTAGAAGAAATCTGCGCCTTGCATACAAAATTGTAAGCCTAGTATCTTTGATTCAGCCATCACTGGTGAGGCTTTTGTAGAAGAAATCTGCGCCTTGCATACAAAATTGTAAGCCAAGTATCTTTGATTCAGCCATCACTGGTGAGACTTTTGTAGAAGAAATCTTCGTCTTGCATACAAAGTTGTAAGCCTAGTATCTTTGATTCAGCCATCACTGGTGAGACTTTTGTAGAAGAAATCTGCGTCTTGCATACAAAGTTGTAAGCCTAGTATCTTTGATTCAGCCATCACTGGTGAGACTTTTGTAGAAGAAATCTGCGTCTTGCATACAAAGTTGTAAGCCTAGTATCTTTGATTCAGCCATCACTGGTGAGACTTTTGTAGAAGAAATCTGCGTCTTGCATACAAAGTTGTAAGCCTAGTATCTTTGATGAGTTTTTTTAACTATTGTAAATTCAGATATTATGGCCAAATAAATTTAATTAGTAGATTTTCATCCAAATTTTTGAAAAAAATGGGGCGGGTGGGAGTATTTCATTTTTTATTTTTTATTAGATATGAAACGCTCTTGTGACATGTTCTTCATATATGCAAGTGTAATAATAAGGTTCTATCATGTATATACATGTATAACGAATCAAACATAAAAAGAAATGCAAAAACCAAAATTTGAAACAGGAAGTTATTAATGAAACGAAATTATCGACAGTTACCGGTAACGAAAATGAACAAAATCCGGAAATCGTAAATTTTTCAAAATAAAAAAAATTGGGGCGGAACGGTTTCAGAGGGGCGGGTGGGTATGAAAATCTATCAATTAATTTTAATTGGCCTATTGTGAGGTTTTTATTTATGCGAATAATGTGACTCGTTGAGAATTACTATAATAAGATCTTGCATTTTTATATCTTGTTATAATATCTGTATGCAGATTTTCCAGAAATCATAATAATTAATCTCACATTTTTGTCCATTCTTCATAATTCGCAATAAAATATGCACACAATAATTTCTGAATTTACAGTAAATTCTAGACTCAGGCTGAGTGACAAAAGCTTTAAGTTGTACATGCTTGTTTATCTTTTAACTCCCTGCAGTGATCTGTGGTTTTTTGTTTTTTTTTAGGTCTTGTACTTGGGTCATTGTTTCTAACTTGAATCCTCCCATTAATTAAGCTTCTAACATGTCTAAAGCTCATGATATTTATAGATTATCGTTGGTCATCTCAACGAGATTGATTTTCTCGCTTGAGCCGGTACGGCGAAAGTGAGAAAAGCAATCGAGTTGAGATGACCAATGATAATCTGTTTATCGCTATTTTGCCTATGACGAATGGATTTTTACATTGACAACGGCACATGCCCCCTTAGTTTCTAGCTATAATTTTTCATATCACTCTACTGTGCTGAGAAAGGAAATTATCAGTCAGTAAGATCAAAGGAAAATTTCGTAAAATAGCGATAATTGTTATTAATTGACAGGTTCTAACCTCTGCTATTAAATGTCCATAATAGACAGGTTCTTACCTCTGCTATTAAATGTCCATTTTCAGCATGCACCATACCCAAGGCACCTAACTCTCGACATCTTTTAAATACTTCATATAGTTCATTATCTTCTAACATAAATACATCTTTATATGCCAGGAACATTTTAAATGAATTTATACCTGAAAAAAAATTATTTAGATCAAAACTTTATATGAATGATATTGAAAGCTTTCTAATGCAGTTTTAACACAGCAAATGTACACTTAAATCTGCACAAATCCTTTTAATTATGATTGGTGCTTGGCAAAGATACAGGAGAAAGGAGCTTAAAAAACCGTGAATCGAACCTAATTGTGTTGGGGGCCCATAAACATGTATAACATGTTACACTGACACATTTTGTATGCCTGTAACCATGGTAACTAGTCAGGAGCAGGTAATTCAGTGGTTGTCGTTTGTTGCTGTATATCATATTTGTTTTTCCTTCATTATTTTGTACATGAATCAGGCCGTTAGCTTTCTTGTTTGAATTGTTTCACGTTTGGTCATTTCGGGGCCTTCTATAGCGTGTTATGATGAATGGGCTTTGCTCAATGCTAACTTCTACGTCATGGTCTCTGGTAGAGATTTGTCTCAATAGCTATCATACCACATCTTCTTATTTTCATAATGATATAACAAGACCCAAGAGGTGGTTGTCAGCCATGTCTCTATTGAGTTTTTTAACTCATTTCTTATTTTTTATTTCCTCAAACAACAGCACATGAACTTTTAACATCAGACGAATTCTTACTTTAATCACCAGACACGCTATAATTACCTTTTTCTTTACATAGTATATCCATTTCTTTGGCGACTTCTGGACTCCACCATGTAACACATGAATGTAAGGCATAGTCGCAACATACTTTACTGTCGGCCCAGTTCCTCCATTTATCATAGGCCTCTAATAATGAAACATTCTTCTGGTCCAACACAAAATCAACTGGAAAAAAAAACAGTAAATTTTGTCATTGGTCTCAAACTAAAGGTATTGCAAGCAATACATTGATAATGCCACACAACTATAATTTACCTTTGTGGAAATTTGAAGTTCAATTAATTTATCTCTGATAAAGTTCAGATATATCTATTGAAAACTGACCAATAAGAATCTGGTGGTCATTTTTTTCATCCAGTTTGAATAAAATTAGAAATTTTCTACAGGACCTTATATAAATTATTCGGGGCAAGTTTGGTACAAATCAGCTATATATACTATTTTAGGAGTTGACAATGGTTGATGAAGATGTGGAAAGTTAACACAATATCTCAAAATGACCCTATGGGCAAGGTGAGCTATACATCTATATCAGCATCAAACCTCCTAACAGAGTTTTTCATCATTATCTCTGTGAAACATTGGAATTCTAAAGATAAAATTCATTATCAACAATATGTACATTTTTTGTTTCCCGTTAAATCCTACTGCTTAATATTTTTTAAGATCTGAGGCAAACAGGGTGTGATACTCAAATATATATGTTTTAAGATCTGAGGCAGACAGTGTGTGATACTCAAATATATATTTAAGATCTGAGGCAAACGGTGTGATACTCAAAAATATATTTTATAAGATCTGAGGCAGACAGGGTGTGATACTCAAAAATATATTTTATAAGATCTGAGGCAGACAGGGTGTGATACTCAAATATATATTTAAGATCTGAGGCAAACGGTGTGATACTCAAAAATATATTTTATAAGATCTGAGGCAGACAGGGTGTGATACTCAAAAATATATTTTATAAGATCTGAGGCAGACAGGGTGTGATACTCAAAAATATATTTTATAAGATCTGAGGCAGACAGGTTGTGATACTCAAAAATATATTTTATAAGATCTGAGGCAGACAGGGTGTGAAACTCAAAAAAATATGTTTAAAGGCAATGATGCCATACAACAATACAGTAACGTCATGTTTTTCATGCCCATTTGCCGCAATGAATTCACAATATGTCATTCATACAACCAAACAATTATTGAACCATTTTGTATGCTGGAAAAAGAATTTTATTAAATATTTCATGTTATTTCATATTCTTCCCTAAGAAACATATTGTTAAGAAAAATTGAAAATCTAAAGAATTTATTGATACGGACTTGTTAAACAAGCTTGAATATCAGCTCGCAGTACCAGGCTTGCTGGACATTCTTGCTTATAAAGTCAAATTCAAAAACAAAAATGCCATTCTATAATTAAGATATACTGTGGATTCATTACTATTTGTGGATTCATTACTATTTGTGGATTCATTATTATTTGTGGATTCAATACTATTTGTGGATTCATTACTATTTGTGGATTCATTACTATTTGTGGATTCATTACTATTTGTGGATTCACTACTATTTGTGGATTCATTATTATTTGTGGATTCATCACTATTTTGTGTATTATTTACTATTGTGGATTTTGTGGATATAGGTTATTTACCAAGTTTGAAAAAAAATCAATTTTCCTTTATGCTTGTATTTAAAAGTTGTCAAAACAAGGAAATCAAATATCAACTAAAAACACTTTTTTCCTCAATGTGATTAATTCAAGATCTGTCAATAGATTTTAAAGATGGCACTCTATATATATTTATGAATGACCACTTCACAGGTCTCCTTAATAACACAACGCCTATGTGTCAGAACATTAATGGGTGAAATTATACAATTATCTAGTTATAGTAAATACATCGGTATAAAATTGATGCAATTATAAATCTGAACGTATTTTTGTTTATTATGAAGAGTGCATAAAAGGTGAAAAAGCATCTTACTCTTAAATAAATTAATTTAAACATAGGTAAGTGCTTTTACATTTCAATAGAAATTCTTCCTGCTTCAATACCAGAGACACAACTTCAATAGTATACATTATATATACAATTAAAAAACCTTTGGGAGAAGGCTCATATACCCCATGCCCCAACATTGTCAGTGGGCAAACAAAATCTCACTATATTCTTAAGTTCAAAGACCCATAACTCTTTCAAAAGTCAACTGATAATAATTTCTTGTGGATATGCACATCTACATATTATGTCCTTATTATCTACACAGATTCAGGAAATTCTGTTTTGTGGTTTCAGAGGAGTTGCGATGAAAAGCTGTTATAATAGTATATTTAAGCTGAAATTTTAAGTTCAAAGGGGTATAACTCCTAGAAAGGTCAACTGATAATTTTTTGTGGATATTCACATCTACATATAATGTCCTTTTTATCTACAAAGTTTTATGAAATTCTGTTGTGTGGTTTCAGAGGGGTTGCGATGACAAACTATTGCAGTAGTATATTTAGGCCAAAATTCTGAGTTCAAAGGGCATAACTCCTAGAAAAAAAAATAGAATCATAATTTCCTGTCGATATGCACATCTACATAGTATGCCCTTATTATCTACAAAGTTTCAGGAAATTCTGTTGTGTGGTTTCAGAGCAGTTGCGATGACAAACTGTTGCAATAATATATTTAGTCAAAATTTTAAGTTGAAAGGGGCATAACTCCTAGAAAAAAAAATATAGTCATAATTTCCTGTCGATATGCACATCTACATAGTATGTACTTATTATCTACAAAGTTTTAGGAAATTCTGTAGTGTGGTTTCAGAGCAGTTGCGATGACAAGAACATGACTGATGGACAGACTGACAGACAGACGAGTCAAAAACATTATACCCTACAGAACTTTGTTCCTTGGGGTATAATAAATAAGTTTTCAGTAAACTGGAACATGTTGAAGCTGATGAGCAATGAATCTCAAAACCCTTAACACAGTATAGCATGCTCACATAAAGACTCATACCAAATTTCAGAAGTTCTGATTTGTAGTTCCTGAGAAAAAGGCAGTAAATCCCCCTCTGTATGGAAATTTCATGGGAAATCAATAACCCCCCTCCTTCGGAGGGCTATACAAATATGAAGCATTCATTTATTGCATGGGAAACAATTTGTGGATTTAGGAAAAAAAGGTATTTTCATGGATACCAAATTTCATGGTTTTAAATAAATTCTAGACACAAGCTTTTAATAAATTTGTAGTTTGTTCAAAGAGTGGTTCTCCTTATCTACCAAATCTGGCAGCATGATCATAAGTACCCTTACAAAATATAAAGAAGTTACCATTCCACATAATTAAAACACAGTGCTAAACAAGTTATTTGAAAGACTTCAAGCTGAGTAAAGTTTCTGGTTTGACAAAAACTGAATTAAAGGTCAAAATAAATATTTTCCCAACTTACATAATACATGTACTAGCAAAATTAAATTATTGTGATTTTTTAACTACATGTATTAACTTTGAAAAGCCCAAAGATTCATTTGTATGCAAGAATACCGGTATGCCATTTATTTCATTTAGGTGTATTTAATGTCCTTATAAAAGCCGGAAATAGAAAGCCTACACAGAGAGTATCTTCACAGAAATATGCTTTAAATGACATAAAATAAACCTTAATTATTTTAGATTTACATTTTTACTGAATTTGAAAATCATTCAAGGTGTGTCATTATTTCAATAGGAAATTGTACAAAAATAACTTGTATTCAAGTTAATGTGAGTACACCATATGAACATCAACAAATGTATGATGTTAAAAACCACACAAAAACTATTACGACATCAAATTTTATGTATCGTGGTTAATTAAGCAATTTTTCATGGAACATACCCAAAAACTAATAATGTCCTATATGCCAAAAAAAAAAAATTAAGTTCTGTTTTCTGTCTCCATATATAAAAAAAATAAGAAGATATGGTATGATTGCCAATGAGACAACTCTCCACCATATACCTACTCTAAATGTTTGGTTAAGCATTCTTTAAGTTCAGAATATCTCCCTATAAAGTCTATGTAAAATTTAAAAACAAAATTTATTTTACCTACCTACCCGCTTGTTTTTAAGGCAAAGGGGCAGGAAACAGGTACATTTTTTTTTGGGGGGGGGGGGCCTTGGAATCAACATTACCCCGGTATGTTATAAGAACCATTAAAATAATTGTTCTCTATGCACTAAAATGCCACAGGAGATTAATATTGAGCGTTTCAATAGGAAACTCTTAGGACAGCATGAAATTTTGACATCATATTTGAACTTTGATCAAGAAAGAACTGAGATCAAACAAACCACCCGTTGAATATAAAAAATTAATCAACTAGTAAGGGGAAAGTATGAATCAGCTTAGAATTATAGAAATATACATTACATACTGATCATGGTGGTTCCACCAGCCAAAGCTGCCTTTGTTCCACTGTAAAAGTCATCCACAGCATGTGTACCCATAAACGGTAACTGCATGTGTGTATGTGTGTCAATGCCACCTGGAAATAATCATAAAACAATGAGAATAGGGTCCATAAATGGTAACTGCATATGTGTATGTGTGTCAATGCCACCTGGAAATAATCATGAAAAATGGAAATAAACTGCTTTGCAGAGCGCAGCTGGATACGACCGCAGAGGTCCAACCCTGAACAGTTGGGGCAAAAATGGACACAATATTCAAGCCTGATACAGGTCTGAATTTGGATTGTAATTAAATATTTGACACATTATAGGTTTCCGACACAGAATAAATGTAGTCAAAGAATTTGAAATTGGTTGTATGATTTGAATTTATATTCAATTGAGGATGTCTTGCTTTTGTGCAATACACTGTGCTGGTGTGCAATACTTAGTAAATCTGTTTTCAGACTATATACAAACGAATTAGCAAAATAAATTGTGACCCCCAATTTTTTTCTTTGTAAAATTGACAATTTCTTCAATCTTGAGGGGAAAAAAATTTACCCTCCCCCCTCCATAAAAAAATAATATTTGAAGAGAATTTTCTTTTGAGGAAAAAAAATTGCCCTTTTTGTAAAACACTTAAACACAAGTTATTGTCTGAAAACTAGAAAAATGCTTGTTTTAGACCCTTTTTGGCCCCTAATTCCTGAAAGGTTTGGGCAATTACCCCCAAAATGAATCCCAACATTCTACTTGTGGTATTGAACCTTGTGGTACAATTTCAGAGCAATCAAAATACTTATACACAAGTTATTGTCCTGAAACTAGAAAAATGCTTGTTTTGGACCCTTTTTCCTAAACAGTTGGGACCATCACTCCCATAAACAATCCCAACCTTCTTTTTGTGGTATTGAACCTTTTGGTTAAATTTCATAGAGATCCATACACTTAAACACAAGTTATTGTCCGGAAACCAAATGTCTCGGATGATTCTGACGCCGACGACAACGATGTGAAACCAATATAAAAATCATAAAAAATCATAAAAAATGTGGAATTGTTTTTAACAGATTGTGACAAATTCCTCATATACATATTTTGGTCTTTCACTTAAATCTCTACACAAATTCTGGATTCTGATTGGTGTAATATTGAAGAGGTGACTAATCAGAGATAGGTAAATTCTGAACTAATTCCAAATGACTTTAGCAATCATAGAGCAGTGGAATATAATGACTAAATTATTCAGGCTAAGTCTTACAAATTTTCGCTAAGCTTCAATGGTTCTAGCCCCTTACCTGGTATAACAAGTTTGCCCTTTGCTTCAATGGTTCTAGCCCCTTACCTGGTATAACAAGTTTGCCCTTTGCTTCAATAGTTCTGGCCCCTTACCTGGTATAACAAGTTTGCCCTTTGCTTCAATAGTTCTGGCCCCTTACCTGGTATAACAAGTTTGCCCTTTGCTTCAATAGTTCTGGCCCCTTACCTGGTATAACAAGCTTGCCCTTTGCTTCAATAGTTCTGGCCCCTCCAGGAATAACAAGGTTGTTGCCAATCTGCCTAAAAAATAAACAAACATATTCATGTTGTAGACATTTATTTGTAAACTTAGGGTTCCTAGTTAGCTTAAAACAGTACCCCTCTCTGTCCTTTCTGTGACCCTCTGCCTTTCGTGTCCTGCCCTTTGCATTTATGCTTTGTAAATAAATATTTTTCAATGCAAACTTTAACAAATTTTACTTCTGGAAAATGCTTTTTATAACCCCAAAATATGTTAAATCTAGCAAAAATACTAGAATTTTTCATCTATAAACATATGCACGATCAAGTTATTCAACCAGATTTCGTTAAATAAGGTGGAAAATGTCCATTTTCTTCAATGGGTGAAAAATAACTTGACATTTTAATTTGATATTAAGATTAAACATTTTTAGTCAGCTCTAGTTTGAAAAGACCACTGGATGTTTAATTTTCATAATTTTCCAAATGACAGGAATTGTCCTAACAAACATGACAAACATTATAAACCTTATAAAATTTGGAGATGTGGTATTATCTACCAGAATCCAAATGACATGGATTTAAGCAACTATAGGTCAAGGTATGGCCTTCAACAATGAGGAAAACACACACCCAATAGTAAGCTTTAAAAGGTCTTATTTATATAAACCTGAGACAAAATGAACTATGAATGGCATCATCGGACGATATCCAGGACAGATGGTTTTATTATAGTTGTGTAATATTGATTTTGAGTCATGTCTGTAATTCAACAGACAGACTATTGATTCAGACTGGAATAAAACTGCACAGAGATTCAATCTAATATATCCAGAAGAAATAACAAGTTCTAAGTATGATTCAATTCAACTGGTCATCACACAGTTATGGACCAGAAATATTTCTGAATATTATATGTAGTCATTTTATTACTCAATGCATTGAACATCAATTGCAACCAGTCTATATATTATGATGTCATGAATATTTACATTTGGAAAGATGGTCAACAAAAATAGTTTCAAAATTTAAAGCATTTGTTTCACATGCCTTTTATACCGTTCAAAATCAATATGTTCATGTCTTGTAAAAATGTTGAGTGTAAAGAACAACTGTAATTTGTAATAAGGGCACAGCAACAGAAACTTCTGACAATTTTCCATTTCAATTGGTTAAAATGGATGACGCCCGAAAACAAAAATAAGAAGTTCCTGTCGCAAAGTTTTTTATTGGGATGAATCAGTTGGTGTTGGTCAGGGTATTTAAATTCCAGGAAGGAGAACTGTCCCATTGAATAAATACATTATGAAATGTCTTCTTTCCTTTTAATACAATAAAACTCTGTCAGTTGTAGGAAATAAACATTGATTGGTTGATTGGTGTTTAACGCCACTTTCGACACTATTGTGCTATTTCGTGGCAGCCAGTTTTTATTGGTAGAGGAAGCCAGAGTGCTCGGAGAGAACCATCTACCTTCGGTAGGAAAACTGACAATCCTAGTCAATTATGTAGAGATGAGTGTACCTGCCCCATGCAGGATTCGAACTCACAACCTCAGTGTTGACTGGCAAGTGGTATAGTAGTACGACTATTTAGACCACTCGGCCACCGAGGCCCATATATAGGAAATAAACATATCTTTTAATCAAGATTAATATCACACAAAATGAGTCAGTCAAAACTTAATGTAGCTGGTGTTGAGTGATTCACTTTAAAATAGGCTAGGGTGATTGTTAGTGATTTAGAGTGATAATAATCTGATTTAAGACAATTATGCGCTTCTGGTGCATGGTCAACCATTGAACACTGAACATTACGGTAAATATGGTTATATTATTAACTCATGTTATATTCCATATTTGAGCCGTATTTCTTTTGTATTATCTATACTGTAAATGTTAAATGTGCTAATTGTACTGATTTTGCTGGTAATGGGTCCTCTGTCTGAATAAAAAAAATTTTGTTTATTGTGAATAAGATCTATGGAATGGACTACGATGCATACAAAATGTGAAAAGTTGAAAACACTTTTACTATAAAAAGTATATATAAGTAGTGTGACGTCCATTTTTGCTGAACTAGTATACATTTTGGTTTAGTGGCCAGCTGAACCAGGATTTTCTCACTGTGTTGAAGACCCACTGGTGGCCTTGGGCTGTTTTCTGCTCTTTGGTCGGGTTGTTGTCTCTTTGACACATTTCCAGTTTCCATTCTCAATTTAACTTGACATTGTGCACATGTCCTGCTACGTACTTATGTGCTGGTAGTTGTTGTCATAATGTATTACTTTTATATGTACACAATATGTTTTTGTTTTTTACATATGTACCTCTTTGAACTGTTTTATCTTTAACCATGATAAATTGAACTATTATGATTGTAAATTAGCCATGTGTAAATATTTGTTTTTGATTGTATAGTATATGACGGCCTCAGGAAACTAACTTGTCTACCCTTTTTAAACAATGCATCATTTAGGGGTACGTAATACCACCATTGTTTTCCCATATATATTAGTTTTTGTTAAATTGGCATTTTCAAAAAATTGTGCAGAATTTATATTTGTTTCGAATAAATGAATACTTGGCATGAGTAAAGTATGTGAAAATTTCACATAACATTTCATTGCATCTATTAAGATAATAACCATCACTGGAAGTTAACCAATCAACTTTTCACCCCTTTTTTCCCGTTAACAAGCTTTAGTAACCATAACACCTCAAGTTTCCAAAATAGTTTATAGAAGCACCAAATAAAGAAAGAAGGTGTTTTAAAACATGTTTAAGACTTAAAAAAATTTCCTCAATAAAATGCAGTGTTAACTACCAAATTCAAGGGAATATTTTTTTATCCTTTTTCGCATGAAACCAGATGTGACTTACTATGTTTTGGTGGTATTACACCTATTATCAAGGTGGTACCATACACTTTGACTAAAATTAATTTGGGTCGTTTAATTTTCATAAAATTTTGACAAAATATTTACTTTGACCCTTTGACAAAAATATAAAAATTTCAAAAAACTTGAACCACACACTTTATCGGAAAAATTTCATTGGATATATAGCAGTTTGAAAAACACTAGTTTTAATCATTGAGAAGCTTAATATTTCCTTCACAATAGAACGCGATTAAAATGTTCAGCTGATTTTTACAGAGTTATCTCCCTGTAGTGTTATGTACCACTTTAAGGAATATAAAGATGTATATTTCAGACTCTGCCCTGTCAATTTAACAGTTTATGTCAGAACATTGAATTTATATCAAAAGTAAAGTTTAATATCGTTTTTATGTCATTCATTGTTGATAGATGCCCAACAGATTACTATGATTGCCTTTTGATACTAAGTCTTACAGGATTAAAATCGAGATAATAATACAAAAAATGTCTGGCTGGATCAAATATTTTTTGGAAGCCCTGTTTCAGAGTAAATGTCTCATAATCATTATTTACAGTGGAAAATCACCAACAAAGGTGGATTTATTACTTTCTGGGCCTTAAGTGAACTGTAGTGAGAACATTTTGGTGAGGAGGGTTCTTGATACTATCAGGACTATGTGTTGTTTAGACATAAAATTTGTTCACAATATATAATGTGACTTATACCCACCAACCAAAATTATTCATATTGTCCTTACTTGATAATTCCATCTTCTATGTAGATGTCTGCATCAAAAGACTGGTCATCGTTGACAATACGTCCACCTTTTATAAATAGCCTGGACTGGGCACTCTGAAAAAAGTAAACAAATATTAAGTATATATTAAACAACTGGTCTTTGTTGACAATACGGCCAACCACCTTTTGTGAATAGCCTAGACTGGGAACTCTGAAACAAATTAAAAAACAAACAAACAAAAAAATAATTGATAAATAAACTGGTATTCATGCCATTTATGTGCACTATTTTTCCCATTATCAAGTGCTATGAATATTTGACCAGTACTCCATGTACTATGCAAGCTCTGTTCTTTTTCCTTACATTCCAAAAATTTTGTGGACCACTGCATTATAATAAAGCTAGATGATAAAGAACTTCCCTGAGACATTGACCAGTCTTTAAATGTTTGTGTCAAATAGATCCTCTATAAATCTTTAAATTTATAGAGTTTCTTGTTACTGTAAATTCAGAAATTATTGCGTAAAATTGAGAATGGAAATGGGGAATGTGTCAAAGAGACAACAACCCGACCACAGAACAGACAACAGCAGAAGGCCACCAACAGGTCTTCAATGCAGCGAGAAATTCCCGCACCCGGAGGCGTCCTTCAGCTGGCCCCTAAACAAATATATATACTAGTTCAGTGATAATGAACGCCATACTAAACTCCAAATTGTACACAAGAAACTAAAATTAAAAATAATACAAGACTAACAAAGGCTAGAGGCTCCTGACTTGGGACAGGCGCAAAAATGCGGCGGGGTTAAACATGTTTATGAGATCTCAACCCTCCCCCTATACCTCTAGCCAATGTAGAAAAGTAAATATTTTACGTGCATTTATTATTGCGATTTTGTCATTTTAGACTTAAATGCGATTTTAATTTTACGATTTTGAGAAAAATCCTGTTTAATTGATATAAAATATTTCAAAATGCGAGTTTAAATTATTGCGTTTACAACTCTGGCGCATTTTTCGCAATAATAAAAACCTCGCAATAATTTCTGAATTTACAGTAACTGACTGATGCACATTATAACTTTTCAAGTGTTTTAAAAGTGTAATTTAACTCTTATATTTATAAATATTTAGTATTTGTAGTCATATTTGTATTTTGTATACAATGACCATGCTAGTCTATATCAATTCTATTGGTATCCCTGTAGGTAAATTGTTATAATCCAGCACAAAAACATTAATCAAGGGAGATAATCCAGTCCACAGATATGACTGCCATTTAATCAATGCCTTTCTTTTGGATAGGATACACAATGCATTAGAGTACTACATCAATATTGACTTAAGTCATACTAATGTTTACAAGTTTGTCACAAGTTTGAGTAAATACAGGAATATTTAAATCTAAAATCCTTTGATAAAAGTTATTGTGTAGAAACTGATACATAATTTGGGGTCTAGGTGTAAAAGATTTCCTTCCTGAATAAACTTGCATTAAATGATTAACATTTACAATAGAATGTCTGTTAAAATGTTTGATACTCGGGATTTCAAATAACAAACTTGATTTGGGGGAGAATTATAAAGATTGCACAGGCTGTAATACTGAGTACTCTGTGCAGAGGCAAATCCTGGAAGTGGTCAAAGGGAGTCAAACTCATTCAAACCTTCTTTAAGATCTGAACATTTGAGGGTTTTAGTACATTTTTAATTGAAGGACCCTTTTTAGAAAATCCTGGATCTGCCATTGTGTTTGTTCTATTCATATTTAAACCCTTCCTGGATTCAACGCTATAAAAATGTTTTACAATTTCTACTGTCCAAATAATTGGTCTTAGGCATATAACTGAAGATAGTTCATTCATTTGTTTATTTTATAGAACCCTTAATGTGGTCTAGACGTACAATGTATGAAATATATGAAATTGAGGATACAAGATGAATGTTTGACATCATACAGGTCATAAAATGACCTTGAAGAGTTGTTGTGAAAAGCTTGTCAAGATTTGGTAGTCAATTTGGCACTTTCCCTATAGACAAGATAGAAGGTTCTATTTGAACCTGATATATAATACCAACTCCCCAAACCATTGGTTTTACTGTTGGGAGTAAGAGTCCAGGTGTTCATATTTGTATTCCCCCTTCAACTCTTGGGGTTTAATTAACTGACAAATATATGAGACGGGAGACAACCTAAGATCAGTACGACCCAAACCATGATGACAGTCATGAAAACAATTGTGCAAAGAAAGAAAATTGAGTTTGGGGAGGGGGTTGTCACCAACAGACCACTGCAGTGTAAAACATGTACAAATAACTTTTTGCTTGTGGAAAAAATGTAAAAACTTACTAAAATTTTCAAACATATAAAACAGAAAAGATTTAATATTTTTTATCTACAGTATGTATAATATTTGTTTATGTTCATAAATTTTCTATCTATATTTCTAGACAGGTAAATTGACCTTGACCTTTATGAAAACAGGAAGCCATTATCAAAAGTTTGGACCTCAGACAACAAAGACAAACTTACAATATGCTGCTCACAGCCACAACTATGCCATGTGTCTGCAGAGCCCTCAGGGGCCTCTCGGGTGTGACTACACTCCATGTCGTCCTGACTCCCCAAACAACTGGGTATGTCAGCAAAATCTTTCCCGCGATTGACAATTACTTTAAAGCAATGGGAGAAATCCATTTCATCTCTGGCAATCCAATGCAACGTGATCCAGACTTGTGAATATTACGTAATATCTTAACATAATGCATTGACATCTTCCGAACACAAATATTGATTTAAATTCTCCGAGTTTCAATGAAATGAATGGATGGACCACTTGCTGCTGAATCTGCCCACTACATGACAAAGATGGAGTTGTGGGAAATAACAACTTGAAACTGAAGTAGTTTACATGCATTAGTCATAAATTTGATCAAAAATAAATTAATCCAGTCATGACTACATAAAAGCTTTAAACAAATCAATATTTAACCATAACAGTAAGCTTACTTGTAATGCAGATTCCTGAACAATGCAGAAACTGAGCTGATAATGGGCATTGCCTTTTTAAAGACTAAAAGGTCAAAAGGTCAAATGATGAGCATGAATCAAAAGAAGTTTGAGGGTGTATGTCCAGCAGCTCTTTCCAAGTCCATCCTCTTTTGAATTTTTTTTTGCGAAAATATATTATACCTATTTTAGTTCAATAAATAATATAAATCCACTCTGATCAAGACCCAAATCAAACTTGATAACTATTTGGTCATACATGTTATTTGTACACTTATAAAAGATACATTAAAGTCACATAATTATCTCACTAAATGTAGAAATTAACTGTAAAACTGTTCACTTGTAAATACATTTGTAATAGTAAGGCCACACTTAAAAATATTTTGGTTTGCCCAAACCCTACCCAAAGGTCGAGAGGTAGGTAGGTAGGCATTTTCTTTTCTTTTTTCGACAAAGAGATTTTGAAGTGTCAGATGTTTGTTGTCTTCATGTCTATCTGATTAAAAAAATACTTTTTCACATCAGGACAATAAAAGATTTTAAGTAGGCAGCTAGTTTCTGGGTTGGTAGGGTTAGGACAAACAAATATATTCTTTTTTATGGCCTAACCTGTATTTTGTAAACAAACCAAACATAAATGATATTTTATCCAGGTGACAAGATTTACATAGGAAATGTATATAAAACACTATTTTATAGGGCTTCCTGTATTTAAACTTCCATTCAGTGTCATGTTTTATACAAGTTTGATTATGTACACCAGATTAAACAAGGTTCACTGGATAAATACTTTAGAACAGGCTGGGAACATCAAATCTATATTCAGAGGAATGATTTGTTTTAAATATCAGGGTTTTTCGTTGTGTGATATAAAAATATTCTCAGAAATGGACAATTACATATTATTAACTAAAATTAATAATCCAATGCCCTGTTTCCCCTAAAATCATTGTCAGGTTAAAATATTTGCAATAAGTCCATGTTCAAAATTTTTCATGGAGATATTCATTTGAAATAAAAGGAGATGTCTGGTATACGCTAATGAGACAGAAAACCATCAACTTTGGATTAATTTATTTTCGTGGGTACCAATTTTCGTGGATTGAGGACAAATTGTATTTTTTCGTGGATATTTGATTTCGTGGTTTTACAAAAGTCTGCATACAAACCTATAGAAGATTTGAACATAATTGAACATTTAAATTCGTGGTTCACCTGTAGCCACGAAATCCACGAAAATTGGTATCCCAAGAATAATAATGAATTCACAGTAACTAAAAAACAACACACAGTCTGATGTATATTAATGATCATTTTTTTCCATTATGTAAAGATTTTATCATTCACAACCCCCCCTCCCCCCTTTCCATTTCCCTTACCTCATTCATGTCTATGCTTATAATGTCAATATAAAGAGACAATTATTCACATCTTTCAGCAAGTGGACATGAACAATAAATCTATAATCTATTACTCTTCTAAAATATTTGAACTGTCAGAAAAGTTACCCCATCCAGAGAGGTGGATTAGGTGTCAGATGAAATAGGCATGATATTTTCAATGAAATATTTGTTACAACCAGAACAAGACAGGTAGACAATCAAAATACTTAAATTGCAAGATTTAATTATCACAAGATAAACTAAGAATGTTGTTACTATTTTGGAAACCACAAATCATTTTGACCTAGAAATGTATATTTACATTATAGTACATTTTTGTTTCCACCTTGAATGGTTTGTATGACTTATAAATGCAAGTCGGTCAACATTTAAGTCTGACCAACATTCATCATCATACTATAATTACTAAATGTATACTAGTCCATTTTCCAATTACTGACTTTGAGGGTCTGAATTGGGGAGTCTTCATTTGAGTATTTTATAATTTCTAAGGTTTCTCAATTTTTTAATTTTTCCCCATTTGTCCCTATTCTCTTTTAAGAATTTTTGGCAAAGCAAAATCTGTTTAGTGAGTGATATGAAGTAATTTTTGACTTTGTACTTGAATTAATATTTATAGTAATATAGGATTGCAAAATAAGTGATTATGTAATGAAAATTCATGAAGAATTCAGTTTTTAATTAGAAAATACAAGAC